TCTGAGCTCGTGATCAAGGCTGATGCACGCGTTCAAGAGCCCAAAGGTGGTGAACTAATTAGAGTTGTCCCACGGCCTTCTGTTTTAGTAAACATGAGCTTAGAGGAAATGAAGCAAATGTTTGCTCAATTACCCGAAGCCCTTAGTTTGCTGGCTTTAGCTAGAACAGCTGATGGCACAAGAGCTCGCTACTCTAGACTCTACAAAACTCTGGCCATGAAGGTTCCCTCTCTCAGGGACCTTGTTGGTGAACTGGAGAAAGATACCTAAGTCATGAAACGGCATAGAGATGTTGCAGAGATACTATCCAGCAACGGAAGTTCATTGTGTATTATTTATTCTTTCTTGTGAGGTTTTCGGCTGGGCTAGTTCGGCGCATTTATGCTACCTTTTAGCTCCAGATTTATTTGTGTAATATGTAACTTCACAATGTATCTTGCTCTCATTTTACACAGCAGTAAGTGTTTACTTTCACAGCCATTGGACTTTTTATATTGGAACATCGGGATGGGAAAAAATCTAGTTCAAGTAGCAATAAATGATTTGTACAATGAAAGCTACCATTTAAAGGCTGATAACACATAAGATGGGAATGCATTGTATTTAGCAGCAAGGGTCTTGACTGAGTCTAGACTTGCAGTTTCATCAAACGAAGTAAGACCAAGCTCTTTACCATGAATCCCTCCAGTGATGAATATTGATTCAATTCCTGAAACATTTGCTCCCTTTATATCATGATGTAGCGAATCTCCAACTGCGATAGACTCAGATGGATTGACTCCCGCCATTGCCATAGCCGACTCATAGATCATCTGCCAAATACACACAGTCAGCAAGGCATTAAAAAAAGACAAGTAGCAACTTCATTGATAGTTCAATGTTCAAACCTTATGAGGTTTGCCCATCCATTTCACTTCTCCTCCAAATTCTTCATACTTGGAAGCCAGTGTACCTGACAAATTTGTGAATGATTTCTATAAGTCTTTATATAACATCATAAGTGGAAGAAAAATTTGGACAGTTTAATAGACGTAAGTGAATGAACCTGGCATGATATGAAAAACATTTGCTTCAACAGTCACGTAATCCGGGTTTGCAACTATCATGGGGATTCCTCGAGCTGCAGATTTCTCCAAAATCTTCTCAAGCCCGTCCAGGGGCATTGGAGTTACACCCCCCGAAGGAAGTCCTAATGCTTCAGTGCCGTGCGCTAAAACAAAGTCAGCTTCTTCCACATGCTCCACAACGTTTAGATCTAGACCCTGAAACAGAAACTACATCAAATACCTACTACTAGCCTTCATCGACAAATCAACCAGCAAACAAAGAAACAAGGTGATAAGTAACCTCCAAAGAGATTGCTCCTCGATCTTTCCAAGTCATGTGAATACAACGCCTTCCCAGTGCAGCGAACCACGGATCATCCCTCCTGTAACAGACAATTCTCAGTAAGTTCTAGTAAGTAAATAGCATCTATATCGCAAACAAGAAGTTGTTGGACATAACCTTTGCAAAGATTGATGGGTAAGTTCACCACTAGTAATAGCTCCAGTGAAGAAAGAAGGATCAAAGCCAAGGCCTTTCAACTTTTCAATTGTAGTTGAAGCACGTCTGGAGGAATTACTTAGGACCACGATCTTCGCACCCGTTGTTGCAAGATTTTTTACTATAACCCCAATTTAAAACAAAAGTTAAATCAGTCAGTATACTAAAGAACTCTGAAAGAAAAAATATCATGAAGTGGAAATTCTCAAAGCATATCACTTCCGGCTTCACAGCTTATATGGAAAACTATTCATTGCTAAATCATCTCTGACTATATCAAATATAGTCAACTCGGAAGCCAAGTCCAACCTAAATATTGAATAGCGAAAGAATTGGTTTTTCTACTAACCACAAAATGTTAAACCTTAATGTAATCAGCCAACGCAAATAACGACAGGCCAAAGGTAAGAGATGATAGCGTACAAGTTGAGATAGCGCCCGGGTACGGTGTTTTGCCATCATGAAGGACTCCATACTGATCCAAAAGCCATGCCTGTGACACACTTTATCAAGTTTAGCATTTTAAACAAAAAAATACCTCAGACATATTTACTAGTTGTTTGATGATACTGAAGATAATACAAAATGTTAAGCTACACGCATTCTTCTTTACCAAAATGGTACTCTCTCAACAATGTGATGATTGCTCAAATCGAAAAATACACTTAGCGATCCACCAAATTAGTACTAATCGCGTAAAACATTTGAGCTCTGCTGATATATTGGCAAAAAGTTACAAAATTTTATTTCAAGTAATCAGACTCCCAGATACTCTTTACAGAAAGTTGTATGCTTTTCCAAATTACAAGAAGCAGATTATACAATCAAAAGAAAACAAATTCATTAACAAGTTGAAGTAAATCCAAAAGCACGATGACTTTCTGACAATCGGATCATCAGACTAACATACATTCGCTAATGGGCTCGCTCGTCTCAAGAGCAGAAAGTCAGAGAACACATAAATAAAAAAGACAAGGGAACTGAGACAGATGAGGTAAGACCTTAAAATTTCGTGTCTCTACGAAGTCTTTGAGGCCGTTCATTGGCTGGGAGAGATGCGGCGAAGAGATCATTTTTTCTTCTTCCTGAAACCCAAAAGAAAATCGACGAGAAGAAGGAACACCTTACAGAAGAAACAAGGGTCAGAACCAGAAGCCAATCGGAACACCCAAAGTGTTTTTCCCTTTACTACAATCACAATGCATACCTACGCGCAGTGTCCGAGAGTACGCTCCACGCTTTGTTCCTTTTAGTAGAAAACAAATATTTTAAAAAAGGCCCTTAAAAAAAAGCGCGTAAGCCTCCCGGGCAAAATTTGGTTTACGGTTAAAATTTCGTTTTGTTCTTTTTTCCGGTTTAATCTTGTTAATTGTATATATATAAAAATACATTAATCGTAGATAGAAAGTCATTCAACCAATTAACGAGCCAAATTTATAGTGTTATTAATACCTTACCCAAAATAGTGGATGACATTGGACTCATTGTAGTTTGACTTGAAATAGTGGTTTGATAGCTCAAATCCAGTTTCGAGGTAAGACTATAAAACCATGATTATTTCGTCCATTAGACAATGGGTTGATGATTGTATCTATATCATCAGTTTTCAAGACCTTCTCTGTCTCTATATATTGTGATTGTTGTGATGGTGGTTCATATTAAATATAATAATAGATCAACCATGATCATGACAGAGAAGGTCTTGAAAACTCTAATATAGATGCAATCAAAAAATTATTGAATGAAATAGTTGACGTTATAACATCCATTGTGATATACGTTTTCCTATCTCTGAAACTCTTAACATTTCTTGTTCTACTTTGGTATTCTCACATTATACACCTTTAAACATCGAAAATTTGATGAAACACATTACACTGATGTCAAATTTTTTTTCTTATATATAACATTTGTCTACATATATAGATGTTATATATGTATACTTATGTCAATAATTTTCAAAAAAAATCACAAAGACAAAAATCGACATAGATTCAAATGTTTTGAGGATTTCTTCTGAAAAACCCTAAAACTTGTTTTCTTTCATCTAAGTTGGATCTGATCATTGATGTCACATACCAACTGTTCTGTTTATTTTTGTAATTCTTGATTTTTTTATTTTCGCATCATATCTTATTTTTTTCTCAAATAAAGTTTAAGGCTTGCATTTGTTTTTTTTTTCTTCATCACCACTAAATTCTTTTGATTTTTTTTTTCCAAAAGTGATCGAGTAATATATGCTATATAGTCGATAAAATATCTTTTTGCAACTAATTATTTTCTCTATTATCCACCACAAATGATTGTGTAACTTATTTTGATGAATAAAATACTCGTATAATTTGGTATTACATGCAAAATCTTATCGTCATGGCTTCTCATAACTTACTATGTTCTTTTCCCTTGACATATATTCGTATTTTGTTTATCTAGCTATTGGATATTCAAAAGCTATTCACATTTATTTACCAAAAGTTGTACAGTAGCAAAATGTGGATTATAAATGGAAAACTTGTTGACAGAAAACTTGTACATGGATTGTACATGGATTGTATAATGTTGATCTATATACATGAAATCTGATATACATGGAAAACTTGTTGATAAAAAGCATTTAGCATGTCAAAAAAGTGTACAAAAAGCATAAGTGATTCCCTGATGTCGAAATACGAGAGGCAATGGATGAGAATCAAGTAATCTGCATTACAAGAGAGGTTTTACGAATTAGGTTTTAAATATCGAAGGTCGCATAATCTTTATACCTCTCTGCCGCATCTTGCTAGGGTTTACCACTTCACAAGCTTCAAAATGTTATTTGCATTTAATTACTAAGGTCTCACAGTAGCCAAAATACATACACATTAGTGGCTCAATGCCTTACAACTCCCGCTTAGATTATAAGATTAGAATCATATTTCAAGCTCTTGAATATAGCCTTATAACTCCCGCTTAGATTAGAAGATTATAATCATATTTCAAGCCCCTGAATATTTCAAGTTTGATTTAAGCTAATGTTCCAAAAAAAAAGCGTTTGATTTAAGCTAAGTTTGTTGTTCCACCGTGTGAGAACGACTTCTATATTGTATATAGTCTGAGTGCCGAGTAAACGTCCTAAACTCCATACGTTTAGATCGCTATCCCGACAACATCTATAAAAATACTGACTTTAAGCTCCAAATGACAAACCCAACGCAAATCGTTCAGCTCATGTTGGTTTACGTAACCTAATAAAATAAACTTAATAATAACACTAGTTCCATAGGTTACAAAACGTCGCTTTGGCCGAGTGGTTAAGGCGTTTGCCTGCTAAGTAAATGGGTTCTACCCGCGAGAGTTCGAATCTCTCAGGCGACGAATTTTATTAATTGTTTCAAAGTTTCCCGCCCTTTTTAATGCTCAACGGTCAGCTTGACCTGAAGGGCCATTCTCACTTTGTTTCTTGTTTATTTTTTTATTATTTTGGTTTTAACACTGATGAATTTGTTTATCCTACTTATAAAAACCTGGCTCTGGCTATACATTTTATTGAGCAGAAAATGAATATGTATGAGCCTTTCTAGTCTATATTTTATACCATGTCTATGCCTAACTGCTCTACTTCTGAATAGTCAAAACTATGGTTTCCCGCATTTTTTATATATTTAAACTACCCAGAGAATAACAGAATGTTTCTCTCACTGTCTCTCTCAGTAGTAATAGCCTTTCCTATCTTCATAGAGTATAGACTGAAGCTCCATCATCGATCTCGGTGCCTCCAAATCTTCTTCCCTTACCGAGTCTCCCAACAAGCTTAGCATCTGAGTCACGAATATCTCATCTATAATCTGCACATCACCATTTTACAATAACAAGATTAGATTCAAACAAAGACATTTGTTGGTTTGTTTGTTTCGGCAGTGATAAAGACTTGAGAATGTCCAAAAGAAAGCTGAGTTAGTTACATCAACAGCGATTGTCAGGCCTTTGTGCCAATTCACTTTATCTTTCCTGCCTTCCAAAAGACAAAGCACGTCCTGCAAACAAAAGAAGAAAGACAAAAAAACAGAATTAAGAACAGTGAATGCTAGTGATAACTTGTTTTGCGATGTGGTTTCTCCTTCCTAACCTGTCCCATTCTGTCCCATATTCCTTTGCATGTTAAGACAAACACATCGAGCGACAAAACACCATGCAGGTGATACATGGTCTCGTCTAGTAAATCTTTCAAACTCTGCATTCTGTTTCTAACATCTGCTTCTGATGTTGTTCTCTTTAAGTCGTGAATGATGTTCTTCATCTTCATGTGACTTTGCATCCTCATCTGTTCCATAAGATAAGATTTCCTCAATGATCTGAGAAGAGAAGACAGAATAATCTCAGAAGATACAAGTTCAGGAAGGTGTTGTAATTAACCAACATTCTCTGCGAGTTTCTCCACAAGCGCTTGCATATAACTTCTGAATTTGGATCTTAACAATACGGTCACTTCGCTCAGCTGCTCCCCCAAAACTCCGATTTTTATATCAGAGAGATAATAATTCCACACTTCGAACCGGTTTTCAATACTTGGCCGTAAATTGTCAAGCACTGTTTTCACGGAATTTAGGAAAACTCCAAGCTGAAACATATTTGAAAGATTTTCTCTTACAATAACACCTAAATGAAAACATGAAAAAAAGAAAAATAGAAACACAGTAAGTAAAACATACCTCTTTTGGAACAGAATAGAGATGAGATGTGCCTATTTTAGTCAATCTCTGGACGTATTTCAGTGGACATGTCTTGCTGTCCTTTAAGGGAGATAAAATTTCCGAAAATTGCTTCTCCAACGCTTCTATCATTACCCTCTCCGAATCTGCAACAACCTATCCATAGAGCAAAACCAATACACTTATAAATTAGCCTTCTGATCCCTAGAGCAACCGGTCCTAGTTCATCTCCCATGAAAGCAGGAGCAGAGAAATCATCAAGCCCAACACAACTACTTTTGATGATCTTCATGTGAGTTTCAAGTAAAGAGACAGTTGGAACTGAAAGAATCAAAGACATTTTTTATTTTTTCACTTACTCTCTCCAAGGATACTGCATATTCTGGCCAACGCCTGATGATGAGATCAAAGTCGTCAAGTGTTGCGTCGAGTAACACATACATTTCCTCGACAAAAGGAGAGGTCAGGCCTTGAATCTCACTACATGCTTTTGCCTGATTACAATAAAAAAATATTCAGTTGCATTCTAGTGTCAGCACCATAGAGAAGTTGTTGCAAGATTAGTACCGTTTCTGACTTGCAGAATTCATACAGAGCATTTCCTTTTTCTTCGATCCAAGCAGTAATATATGGATTGAAAATCTCTATGGCAGTAAAACCACCTTTGATCGGCCTACCACCAATAAAAGTGCATGTCAGTGATATGAAAGTCTTTAAGAGATAGATCTCTAAAGTACTTAGTAAATTAGCAATATCAAATATTACTTTATATTCCAACGTGAGAGATCAGCTTCAAAGTCAGCAGTTGCAATGACAAGGTCGACAACTGGAGGCGATGGAGAAGGAGGAGGCCATGCGGTAACATATTCCCTTAGTCTGTTGAATAGATCCACACTGTATATCGCGGCCGATAGATTAGGAAGGTCTATATACCTGTTTTGGTGTTCACAGAGAGAATCAATAGAGAGAGATACAGTAAAATAAGTGATAGAAATGTTGCAGATATATGAAACTTTGAGAAACCTTGGGATCACATTGCAGTTATTGATGGCTATATCAGTTGAGATTTCCTTCTTAAGGCTCAAGATTAGAGACTTCATCTTCTGACAAGAAGTGGCTTGTGCACCTTCACTATGATATTCGTGAAGTATATCGTTTGTTTCCAGTATGTATCTTCTTGACCTTTTCTTTGAAGCAGCCTAAAACATCCATGTAATAACGCAATGAATAAAAAGTGGGAAAAGTGGAGAGACAGAGAGAGCGAGAAGGAGACTATTATATGTGTGTTTGATACCTGAAAGTATCTGCAAAGTCTTAGTTGTGCCTCGGGGATTAACAAGTCATTGAGAAGACAGTAAAGCTTGATAGCTGGTGTTAGAGCGGGTGCCGGAGTGCCTGAAGGAGGCTCGAAAACATTTTTGATTCCGGAAAATGAATATTCATCAAGAGATTTATAATTCTCAAATGTCGAAGCAAGAATCTTCTGAACTTGTTCATCAATTTCCCCAAGCAAGCGGTTCTTTCCAATGCACCAAAAAGGTAAGTGAGCTACTTGAATATTGAAACATGATCACAACAGAGAGCAACAGAAATCAAATACACATACCTCTTGATGGCTTAATAAAGCCTTGTGATTGCCTTTCGTTAATATAGGCGACAGAAAATCATATATCAGATCAAGACAGTCCTTAGTAGGTGAGGCTACATCCATGACATATGAAAGATATCTGCAAATAAATCAAAAAAACCTCTCGTAATCAATTTTTCTGGTTACGAAACTAAAAAACCATTTCTTGTCTGTAAATTACCTTAGTTTTGTATATGCATCCGAAATCCCATAATAGGATGCAAATTGAGTTAACAACCAATGCCATGGCCCTTTGATTATAAGATTTCTGCGCTGAAAATTCTCAGCTTTCATAGCCACTTCCAAGAGCAGGTCATATGCTGGAGTTTCTGCTACCAACCCACACTAAATATAAACAGAAATCGTTAGTATACGATTTTGAGACGATTGAATAATGTAGGGAAAAAAATCATGTACCTTAGTTTTTTCATCTAAGCTGCTTGAGTAGTTTATATGAAGTTGGATTCTCCCAATACGTTCATGCTCCGGTTCATGATATATTGCCCACCATTTAAGCTTCTCGTTCTTCTACAATAGCCAACACTTTAGATTTCAATCCAAATCATCTTGTGGACACAACATACAAGAATCTTACCGGTTCATCAGCTATTGCTGCTAGTTGAGCTAAGACACGGCCACAAAACTGCCCCTTTGAATCCCGAACTTCAACAATCAAATCATCACCGATACTATCTGGTAAGCTACAACGGAAAACCATATTTTTAACTCCAGCTATAAAAGAAAAATAATATATAAAGGAAAATCATGAATGTACAATGGAAACGTACAAGACAAATGTCTCGCCAGATTCAGGTTGTGTTTTAATTTGATCCTCCTCGTCACAGCTCTTTAGCCTCAACGTACATGAAAATTTTTCTGACAACAAAAGACTTTTATAGTTAGATCATCATACAGAAAGGAAGATGACACAACTAAAAATGGAACCGAATGAATATACCTTGTATTGCTTTTAGAGAACGTGGTCCGTTGAGAGATGTAACAAACTCTTTTTGAAGGGCTTTTGTGACCTGTTTAAGGTACTGAGCACATGCTCGCATATACGCCAGACTTTTCTCCGAGATTGAACCATTCAGAGGAACTCGAGGAGCCACATGAACCCTCTTCACTGCTTTCCATCCAGAAGACAAAGTAGAATTCAACTCCGCGATTGGTTGACTAACAATCTCATGCTTCAGTGATGGCATATTGCAACGAGGCTGTGGATCTGATCCCATCTTGATCCTACCAACTGTAAAAATACACACTTTTTAGTTTTCTTTTCCAGCAATTCTCTGTAGATCATATGGAGAAATAAAAAATATACCTTGGAGTTTGATTTTTCCAACACTTCTCTTGAACTTTGGAGTAGTTGTCTCAGTAACTAAGGTAGATGGTCTGTTTCCCAGTAGTTCTTCTTCGGATCGAAGGAAGAAATTCTGCAAACTGATGTTTTGTTCTTTAACATTAAACAACCGTTACAGTGCACAGAACTAGTCACAACAAACCAAACACCAAAACATGTCTCACCCAAATGCATTTCGGATTAAAACGCAATCATTGATGAGGAAGTATGAAGCCTCACTGAAACTATCTGTTGCCAACGCGTGAACACATAGCCGTACACAGGCTTCATAGCAAATCATTGCAAACCATGGACCTTGTTCACTACATATATATAATAAGAAATTATATAAGTGAATGATTTCTGAATCATAGAGGGTAAGAGGTTTTAAAGAAAAGCCAGGCTATGTAACTCCCTTACCTTGCATGGAAGACTGGAAAACGGGAAGGTAATGTCTCGTTCTGGATAGATACAATCTCAGCATTTCCTTTTGTTGGTCCTGAGCTATGTTTAGATGGAAGCTCACATTCGTTATAAGAAGATTTCTTGTTCTGCACACCATCGTTTTTTGACTCCTGTAAACCGATTAATCAAGGGTAATCAAGTAAGAACAGCTTGGAGTTATTGAGAACAGAATCATGATCATGGTGAGGGAGGGAGAGTACATATGAAGCTTTAGTGCTCAATGCTGAGTCAGGCAAATCATCTGCACAATGAACCTTTGAACCAACACGATGATTTCTTAAATTCTGAGGTGAGTATATCTCATCAACCGACCAATGAGAAGCAGTTTCATTCCAAACACGCTTAGCATTTACTCCTCTTGAAGCACCATCCTATTGACATTTCTTATACTAAGAGATCAAAAATAGACAGTAACAGAACCAGAACACAACCTTATGAGTTCGCTTGCAAACATGGTCATACCTCTCTTAAGCCTTTATTTCCAAAACCTTTCTCGAACATTATTCTTCGGCTTCAACCTTTCCTCTATAATTTTTTGTTTTTGTATTTATTTGATATGACACTTCCTTTCCTCTGAAGTTATAAACAATTCCAGTAGATTACTATTATTTCATAGATCAAAGATATCAAGAGATAAGAAAAACAGAACATTTCATTTTTAACTTTAATCTATCAATCCAAGTGCATGGAAAAACGAAAACCCAATCCGGCCTTTTCAGATGAATCTAAACCCCCATAAACGTATAGCTTAAGAAATTTTATCTCACACAGTGCCTCGAATATATCATGACAGATTGACAGAAATTCATGAAACAAAATTGAAGAAAAATATGTCTACAAAGACAAATGCAAGATTCAAATTCTAGTGAAACGGACCAAGAGAAGAAAAAGGATCGTTTTTTTTTTTCTCTTCCACGAAATACACATTAACGAAGAGAAATCTAGAACAGAGACCCAAAATTAGAAGATAAAAGTTTGATTCCTGCTATTAAGAAAACGAAAAGCAAGTCGTTAGCTTACACTGTTTCTTTTGTTTAGCAAAATAAAAATCGGAGATTTCCTCGAGAAAGGCGCAAATGTGTAAGTGTAAACGAAGTACTCAGTAGTCCGCAGAACAAAACTAATCCTCGTTTTTTGTCAATCTAAAGTCAATTTTAAGATTGCGGAAAAGAAAAAGAATCAGTCCTTGCAGATCATCGAATCAATTTCATCATTAAGCAAAGAAACAGAAAATGGAGGATTAAAGAGATCTCTTTTTTTTTACTCTGTCACCAGAAAATAACAAAGGAAAAACAAAAAAGGTAACAAATGTGGGGAGTTTTAAATAGGGACTCATTTTGTGAAATCCTTTGTGTTACAATATCAACTTTGTTTTTTTTAGGAGATTGTCTTTCTGTATAGATTTGTTGCTGATAAACTAACAAGTGTCTTATTATTGTTGCTTTGATTGAAACTTGTTGTTGACTTAAAAGATCTCTAATGAAATGTTTTGGATTTGGTTGTTTTCTAAATAGTGTATTTTCTAAATAGTGCTAATTAATATGTTCATGGATTCTTTACACTTAAAAATACTCAAAAGATATCTAATGAATTGTTTTGGATTTGGTTGTTTTCTAAATAGTGTTTTTTTCTAAATAGTGCTAATTACTATGTTTTTGGATTCTTTACACTTAAAAATACATTTGCCAGCAAATGTATTACATAAAAATACATATAGATTAAGTTTGAATGCATATATATTTTACACATCATATGTTTTAGGATACACTTACTTTTTAGTTTTTACGAATGAAATATATGATACTTTACATCTGTTTAAAGATCATAATAATATTTAAACCACAAAAGAAAGAGGTTTTAATTTAAAACTTACAGTCCGAGTATTTCGCTTCACAAAGCCCATATGAATAGGCCTAATAAAGGCCCAAATATCCAGCCGGAATTCAGACTTTGAAACTAGTGACTGGAAGCTGACGCACTAAAATATTTATTATTAGCGTCCATTCACTCGCTCTTATCGGAAAACCAACCCCCTCTATTCATTCCCACGCGCCTACACACTCCACTCGCCTGACTCTACTATAGCTTTCAACGCCAAACGGTGTCGTAATATCGAGAGTGTAACGACGCGCGAATGGTAAAAATATTTTTTCTTAATAGCCCACCTGGCTCTTTCCCTTTATTCTTCTTCTCCCTTAACATTTTTTGTTCATTTTTATTCAAAAAATTCCCCAAAAAAAATTAAAATCTCTCTTTTCTCTCTCTAATGGCGGCGACATTAGGCAGAGACCAGTATGTGTACATGGCGAAGCTCGCCGAGCAGGCGGAGCGTTACGAGGAGATGGTCCAGTTCATGGAGCAGCTCGTTACAGGCGCCACTCCGGCGGAGGAGCTCACCGTGGAGGAGAGGAATCTTCTCTCAGTCGCGTACAAGAACGTGATCGGATCTCTACGCGCCGCCTGGAGGATCGTGTCCTCGATTGAGCAGAAGGAAGAGGGCCGGAAGAACGAAGAGCACGTGTCGCTCGTCAAGGATTACAGATCTAAGGTGGAGACGGAGCTTTCCTCCGTCTGCTCCGGGATCCTCAGGCTCCTCGACTCGCATCTGATCCCATCCGCCGCCGCGAGCGAGTCTAAGGTTTTTTACCTGAAGATGAAGGGCGACTATCATCGCTACATGGCTGAGTTTAAGTCTGGAGACGAGAGGAAAGCAGCTGCTGAAGATACCATGCTCGCTTACAAGGCAGCTCAGGTAAGATTTTCGGATTTTCTCTATTCTGGTTTGACTGTGGAATTGATCCGATTTGGCTGCTGTTTTTTTTTGTTTGAAACTCTGTTTCCGAGATTTCTTCTATTGGGAATATCTTCCAAAACTAGTAATTAGTTCCTGATCTAGAAATTGCCTCGAATTGAGCTACTGAACTGGATCAAATCTAGATGCTATTTGTTAAGGAGCTACAATTTCTATTTGGTACCAAACTGATGGTGACTTATTTGTCCCTCTTTCGATGTAAATGTTTTTGAAGGATATCGCAGCTGCTGATATGGCGCCTACTCATCCAATAAGGCTTGGTCTTGCTCTGAATTTCTCAGTGTTCTACTATGAGATCCTCAATTCCTCAGACAAAGCTTGCAACATGGCCAAACAGGTTACTCTTCCTCTTTCGTTTTCACTATTTAATTCTCAAGTAGGAACGTCTCTCTCTCTCTCTCTCTCTCTCTCTTCGCGGAGAGTTTTCTCCTGTTTCTTGATCGATGTTTTTTGACTAAGGGAATTGACCACTGGTTGACTTTTCGTGCTTTCTGCTGAAAAGAAAAAAAACTGATGCTTCAATTTGGATGAATTTGACTGAGCTTTCTTTAACAAAATCCCTTTTCTTATTAAGAGACACACACTCTCTGTGATGAATTTGATCCATGTCTCACTCTGTTCAAACCAGACCTTCTCGCTCATTATTTAAAAGAGATTTCATTGCACAACGAATCTTTTCTTTCTGGGAGGAGGGCATGCTTAATTTTGATGCTTGGTCCACCTGTAGGCTTTTGAAGAAGCCATAGCTGAGCTTGACACACTGGGAGAGGAGTCTTACAAAGACAGCACTCTCATAATGCAGCTGCTGAGGGATAATCTAACCCTTTGGACCTCCGATATGCAGGTTTCTCCTCTTTCCATCTCTTTATCCTACACCTCCGTTCTCTTTTCTACATTCAAGTTATCTTAAAGTTGTTTACTACATACTGTTTCTCTTTCTCCACTATGCGAAAAAATCGCGTGTTAGTCTGAATAGGGCTTCGATCATAGACCGAACCCGTGCTTAATATCCGTGTTCAGATGCATCACATAAAGACAGAACATAAAGTCTTAAAACTGAAATAACCGATAAAACATGTGTGCTGACTGCTGAGTTATTAATATTCTTGATTCAGGAGCAGATGGACGAGGCCTGAGGATCTTGGGGAGGGTGGAGAGTGTTATGCGCGCTGTTTCCGCCACCATCTCAAAATCCCCATAACCTTTGTGTTAAACTGTGAAAAAAATATATATTTGTGTTTATGATGATTATGTGCACAGCTTGGTGATTTATCTACTCTGCTAGAACTATGTTCTCTTAAAGTTTGTCATATCTCGACTTTGCTTTAGCCTTGAATCTCTTTCTCCTTATACTCGAATTTTGATTCTTCTACGGTCTCCTCTGGTTCAGTTGAAAAACAAAATCTACTATCTTCTGGTTCAAGTTGGAAATCAGAAATTACGGTCTGCTCTGGTTCAAGATGGAAAGCAAGAATCTTGGAATTTTATTGGGGTTAATATAAAACTTCAATCTATTTGTAAATACAAATCCAGTCAACGTCAAAGCAACAAAATTTATGTAACATAGAGCGACCATAGACGTGCACACACGTATTCAAGATTCGAGATGAGAATCAAAGAAGTCGAATCTCATCAATACACAAAGAGGTGCAAAACATCAAAATCGTACTTGGACCACTTTGTCTACATTGCATGCATGAAACGATATAAAATAAAATAAAGTGTCTTCGGTCGATTTGTGTGATACATATAACTGTTTTCTCATTATTACTTCAACTTTTCTTTTCTCCCACCAATCTTTTGAGAGTATGACACTGTAAAAACTAAAAACTAAACACCAAAAGTTGCTCGCTCACACCATCACACGTGATTCTAGTCCACCTCCGTTACAAAATTATATAAACTGTTGTCATTTTAAAATCAAATTCGATTTATAGTTATAGAATCTAGAGTTTAATAATATATGGTTTTCTTTTAACTCGAGTCATCATCATTTTGTTAAAAAACAAAAAAAACAATTCACGGATCTCTTTTCTTGTGTTAGAGTGTATTCCTTTTACTATTTACTATCAGAATTCTCATATTAGAATTTAGGGTGAATTTATATTAGACACGAATAATTTATATTAGACACAAGGAATATTAAATAACTAATTTAATATTTTCTGTTCATTATTTGTTTGTGTCTAAATGTATATAATTTCACTATTTACCGAATTCAAATTGTATATTAGTTTTTATTTAATCAAATTATAAATTTGTTGCTTATATATTTTAATTTTTTAAAATATAGTGCGTCATTCATTTAATCTCTGCAAGAACAAAATCTGTTAGGTATCGAATGTATTAAAGAACTTTAACTAGATGATAAATGGTTCGATGTATCTACTGATAAATTGGGAGCCATTCTAATCTCAACATATAAGAATATAGAGCAACCATTGAACTTTTTCATATAAGTTTTATAATTAGTTTCCATATTTTAATAAAAATATTTGTTTCCATGATAATGATACCCTTTCATTTGGATTTTCTCATTTTTCATATCAACATTTATTCTTTTTTGCTCTCCTCTCCATCACATTTCCTCTCTTACCATAAACGTCACATTTTCATCTACTTCTCAATAAATCTCCTCTCTTTCTTAGACCCAAAAGTAAAAAAAACGCCACCAAAAAAAAAAAACCAAACCTAAAACAAAGAACAAGAAAGAAAAAAAAACAGAGATAAAATCTTCTTTCAGTTCAATCTCAATACTAATAACAATTTTTTCATCCAATTCCCGTAACAGTTAAATTTGTATAGATCGAAAACGGAAACAGTTTTGACGCTCTATAATGTCAGAAATTGTAAAACCAAATCTCGTAGCCACAGATTTTGATGATGAGAACGACCCATTTGTTGACACAACCTCGATTACTTCTTATGGAACATCGATTCTTCAGACGGGTTTTCCATCGGAGACCGCAGAGATCGTTAGAGAGATGATTGAGAAGGAGAGGCAACTTTCGCCTAGAGATGATTACCTCAAGAGACTGAGAAGTGGGGATTTGGATTTGAATGTCAGAAACCAAGCCCTTGATTGGATTTGGAAGGTCAGATTTTGTTCCTTGTTTTGATTCTTTGTGTGTTCCTTCTGTTGACTCAATTCCTACCAAGTCAATATTCTAGATATCTGAGTGACTTTGTTCTGAAAAAGACGTGACTTTGCCTTATCTTTGATCTGAAGAGCAATGAACTCTATAATCTCTAATGCCCATGATTGTTACAGGCTTGTGAGGAACTTCAATTTGGACCATTGTGTATATGCCTAGCAGTTAACTACTTGGATCGTTTCTTATCTGTTCATGACTTGCCTGTAAGTCAGACTAACTCCTGCCTGGCCTAAGATTTTAGTGCCTATGAATATCGATTGAAATAGTTGTGATTCTTCTGTAGAGTGGAAAAGCCTGGACTGTGCAATTGTTGGCTGTGGCTTGTTTGTCCTTGGCAGTCAAAATTGAGGAAACAAAAGTTCCAGAATTAATACATTTGCAGGTTCTGTTCATCTCCCATTGCCTCTAATTGTAGTCTTAAAAACTAAAATCAACATTCTAGTATTGATAACATCATCAGGTTGGAGATTCCCGGATCTTGTTTGAGCCTAAATCAGTTCAAAGAATGGAACTTTTGGTGTTGAATGTATTGAGATGGAGGTTACGAGCCGTGACACCGTGCTCTTACATAAGATACTTCCTGAGTAAGATCAATGGCTATGATCAAGAACCATCCAGCAGACTGGTCTCCAGATCACTACAAGTGATAGCCAGCACAACCAAAGGTGAAAGGTCTTCCTTTTTCATTGGATTTTGGTTTTTTTTTGGAACCTCAACTTTAAACCAGTTTTTGCTTTTGGGTTATGGGTTATCTGTCTTCCTTTCCTTGTGTTTTTATGATTTTGGGTAAAGAAACAAGAATGATGGTGGTTAAGAAAAGTTGTATGATGTGTGGGCAGGTATTGACTTTTTGGAGTTTAGAGCTTCAGAGATTGGTGCTGCAGTTGCTCTTTCCGTTTTTGGAGAACTCCACACATTTCAAGTTGACAAATTCTTCATCTTTTCGTTTTCCTTACACCTGGAAAAGGTAACTAACCAAAATGCTCTTTTACAATTACAAAATTGGTGGTTCAATATCATATACAGTCTACAGATTGTGAAGAATATGGAGACAGATATAAGCATTCATTGCACATTGTAGACTTATGTCCCTTGTTTGAATCCCAAAAGTAGCTTTGAGTACAGACCAAATACGACCAATTCAATTAGTCTCTAGTTGTGAGTCTCGTGACAGACTCACATGTTGGTAGAAATGTTCTGTTTCTTTTGTTTTGCTTTTCTCACTCCAAATCTGATGGGTTCCAACTACAGTCAAACGAGATGATCTGGGTCCTCATGGGGACCAAAAAAAAGGCTCAAGCTTTACATTTTGTTTCTCTGTTTTTTATTTACTTCTTGTTTCAGTTTTGTTTTGTTTTGACATTATTAAGTTTTGTTTTGGATCTGTATCTGTGTGTGTGTGTGCTGCGTGCAGGAGAGAGTGAAGAAGATTGGTGAAATGATTGAAAGAGATGAGCCGGCTTCATGTTCGCAAACACCCAATAATGTAGTCTTAAAATTTAAGACTCATCATTCTCCCTCTCTTTCTTCTACTTCTGTTTCCTCCTCCCTCACTTCTCTTTCTTAATTTCTCCCTTTTTATTTGTCATTTGAAATTTTAATTGATGAAGAAAAAACAAAGTCAAAGAAATTTTGCAGATTTGATTTATGCTAAAGATAAACAAAGGGGAAGATACGTTTTCTCTTCGTTTAATTTTGAAAATACATCGTAAGGCTATTGATACGTTCTATCTTCGTTGATTTTAACAAATATATCGTAAGGCTATTTATTTTGGCTTTTATATGGTTCCCGCCAAATATAATAGCGGGGAAAAAAAGTCAAAAACGGACTCCGTTGTGAGAGCGAGAGTGTAGTTGACCGCAACAGACCTTTCAAAAAGCGGCTCGTGTTGTAAGCCCATTTCGTGAGCCCATTTCGATATTTTCCTTTTCCGGTCTCCCACTTTGACTTAATCGGTCACACCGTCAAAACCGGTTCGACGAATGTAAACTTATGTTTCCCCTAAATTTTGTTCTTTATCTTCTACGTACGAATTCATTTGTATTATTGACTTTCTGTTACTCAGTAAATGAGCTTGTTATAATTTTATTGTAAACCCCAAGCTTAACATTCAAATAAAATTAATAAATTATAGCAAGGGGCTGCTGATTTATATGTTATAGCGTATAAAATAAAAGAAGCTAGTCTTCATAAGAAAAATAAAATATATTATGACCAAATGAAACTAACCATATTGAAATAATCATGAGTTCGTTAAACATATGTTTATCTTAAACAAAAGACTATTTGAGGCCCCAAAAAAGAAGGAAAACTAGGACTATTTTGGTGTGATAACATTTTAAGCTTATTCGAAGTCATATGGTTTTATGTACTAATGTTTTGGGAAAGAGCGGATTTTAGTTTGGTATATCACATCAAGTAGCAATAAATTGCCAACTATGTGTGATTCACTAATAATCAATTATTCATAAAAAAAAAAGGACAGCTTACCTTCTGAATCACTGTCAAAATAACCTTTACAGGTTATCATCAAACGTCTTCTCTTTATACAATTTTTTCTGTTACCTTATTATATTTATCCAAATATTTTAATTCACTGACAGCTATTTCCAACGGGTATATTAGCAATGTCTAACGGTAACAGCACCAATTATCTATCAGGTCAGGCACATGGGGATTAATGATTATTACGATTTTTTTTTCACATTTCTTTACTATATGCCAATATTTAGCATAATATATGACATTGTTAAATCAATTAAAATGATCATTTATGTATATTAATTAAAATAACCGGTGGATCAAGTAGACAGAAAGACATGCGAAGTTGCAACTCTTAATTTTTGTATGAACTGAACATGTTAGCTGTCTCCCTACATTTGTCACGCTATACACTCAGTTTGCCTAACATAATGATTTTTTAATAATATCATCACAACTTTTGGGTTCTCTCTCCAATTACATTCACCATCCAATCACAGCTCGCAATGTCAAAATGTTTAACCCACTAATCAAAATAAACTCCTCCTAGTGTACCGTTAATTCATTATTCATGGTGGTGGATTGTATACCAAGCAAGCAAAGTCAATATAATGGTGGTGGATTGTATACCAAGCAAGCAAAGTCAATATAATAAGATGTTAGGACTTCGCCCGACAAAAAATTTGATATTCATCTTGCATATGTAACTCGATTTACCTTGTCATCTATATATAAATCATCATAGTCATAATTATATTCAAAAAAATTAAGAAGAATTTTTTTAATGAATTAATGATTCGGCCTCGGAGAGTATAGACAGGCAACCCCATGTTCCAATTATGCGTTTGCATGTTAGTCTGCAAGTTTTATCTTTAAAATATTAAAAAGATTTCTTAGGAATCTCGTTGTTTAATTAATCGAAACAATTCTTAATTTTCCCCCTTTTTATACATCTCTTCCATTTTCCTCACCTTCACAACTCTCTCCCTAATCTCATAATCTCATAATCTCATAATCTCACTCTCTCTCTCTCTCAAAAACCAAAAGAAGAAGCATTTCCTCGAGAAAGAGGGACAAATTAAGATGGGTTCCAAAATTGTCCAAGTTTTCTTGATATTGGCTCTCTTCGCCACGTCAGCAATTGCTCAAGCACCAGCTCCTACTCCGACCGCCACTCCTCCGCCGCCAGCCGCTACTCCTCCTCCTGTCGCAACTCCTCCTCCCGCCGCCACTCCTCCTCCAATGGCCACCCCACCACCAGCCGCAACCCCAGCCCCAACCACCAGTTCACCACCGGCCGCGACCCCAGCCCCCGCCACTACTCCACCGTCGGCCGCTCCTTCTCCGGCAGATGTCCCTGCCGCCTCTCCACCTGCGCCTGAAGGTCCCGCCTTGAGCCCAAACGGACTTGCTCCAGGTCCTTCAGGTGATGCGCTTGCCCCAAGTGCCGCTTTCTCCAACAATGCTTTCATCGCCGGAACCGCCTTCGCCGCCTTTGTCTACGCCGCCGTTTTGGCTTGAGATTTTTTTCTTTTTGTTACATTTTTACAAATTCACGTTTCTATTTTTTTTTCCCCAATTATTTCAAATCCTTCGTGTTATTATGTGAGAATTTATTTTATTTCGCTATTTAATCGTTTAAACTTGTATCTTGTTTATGTGTGTCGGATTAGGGAAAGTAATTATCTTCGTGGGAAACTAATGGAATGTTGACACGTGTTATATAAAGTGGAAGTGCATATGTCTGTGTAGAGGTGGGATCTGTTTACGTAAATCCAAATTATCCAATGATAGATTAATAAGATAATTTCATTATTCTTAAGTTTAAATAGTTCATCACAAATAGCAAAGACAGTTTACCATGCTTTCTTAGGAAAAAAGTAACGAAATCTGGATGTAATTCTTATTCTTATTCTGTATATGATGCAATAATTAATCTACGACGCTCCATATCACTGAAACTGAAGCAGCTAAACCAATCAAATAAATACACTTACGCAAATTAAGAGATTTGTGGAAGAAAAAAATTATAGTCCATAGCATTATCATTATAGTTTTTTTAATAGGAAAACGACAAATATTATATCATTCTTTTCATCGCCAATTCCATGAGTTTTGTTCGTTTTAATGATCAACCAGGTCCCATAATAATGAACAAAATTCAAGCTGCTTTATACAGTACAGTAGTCCATTGCAGTGAAGAGCAAAAGCTGAGCCCAATTTACATATTTGGGCCTTATTATTCATTTCGAAACTGAGCCCAATTTATATAGTTGGGCCTTATTATTTATTTCGAAACTGAGCCCAATTTACTGAGTCCAATTTACATCTAGTCTCTAATGAGAAGCCACAAAAGCGGAATCGCTTTCTTTAAAATTAAAATTATATTCAAAATTTAGTGAATCGTTCAGAAGTCTTAAGTGATGTTGTACGCTTAATTTAAAAAAAGTTTCATATTGCATGCTTCTCGAAATTTCTATAAAGAGGCTCTATCATACTCTCCAAAACTTTTTTGTATGGAAACCCGCAAATGGGTGCCTAAATGTGGAAGCCATGCATGGCATCCTGATGTCCTATAGAAAATGAATTCTGCAATAGTTTGTCGGAGGAATTCAATGAAAGAGGAGTATAGGAAATTAACCAATATTTATTGCTACTTACCCGTAGTAAGAAAATATACTGCTATATGTTTTCTTCAAATGTGATTCACGTTTCGATCAAGTCTCGTATTTTATATTTAATTTCCTTTAAGCAAAAGCAGATAAAAAAAAAAAAAAAAATCAGCGATGGAAAAAGCAATAGTAGAGGCCTATCGGACGCAAGAAATTGAACAACATATTCAAATATGTTTTTTTTTTTGGTTATTCGATCTATGTCTTATATGAATAATCAACTGGAGTTAGGAAACCAGTTATTCGGTATATCCGTTTTGAACTTTGTAAACCGAAACCCAAATCAATGGCGTGACTGGTTAGGAATACGCTTGCTTTCACGTCTCCTTTCATATATTTTATTTCTTCTGGATTTTGCAACAATTAATCTATAAGCGTGAAGTGACTCGGATCTACATAGCAGAAGAAATTATTACATTAGATATAATGAAATAAAATGTGAAGGATAAAATAAAGATAAAAAGAAGTTGTTGAATCCGCGACATCAAGCAGTGTGGACGTACATGGCATATATAAGTATAACGAAGGAAATTGAGTTGTTGATACTTTTATTTTTGTCAACATTGAGTTGTTGATCAAAGACAAAAGATATGTAATATATTGGAATCAAACAATGAAAGAAGACAATAAGAAAGATTGTTTATTTTTAAATAGAAGACATATTTGCATATATAGTCACTTTTTATACGTCCATCAATTTTCTAATACTTTTTAAAAGTGTTAAAAAAATTTCGCATTTTGGTTTGAAACGACGATTTGACTTCTTTATAATTTTTTTGTGTATCTATTCGTACCCAAAACAAACGCCGTATGTAACATAGACAAAATCGTGATGAACAGTATGAAAATGCTAAAGTTTGCTAACACCTTTATATACGAATAAAAATATGAAAAATGACTAAATAATATATATTATTTATTACTCTATATCATCACGTATCTGCTCTCAAGTCTCATCTACCTCTTAATTTTTATTTATTATAATTCTCAAAAAGCTCGGTGATGGGAGAGACAGGCGACGAAGCACAAGGTGTAGAGCAAGCGAGGATTCCTCTGTTAAGGGACAAAAATGCGGCGGAGGAGAAAGAAGGAGAAATATGGGTGGAGACGAAGAAGCTATGGCGGATCGTTGGACCAGCCATCTTCACCAGAATCTCGACCTACTTAGTCTTCGTCATCACTCAAGCCTTCGCTGGCCACCTCGGCGAGCTCGAACTCGCCGCCATCTCCATCGTGAACAACGTCACCATTGGCTTCAACTTCAGCCTCCTCGTATAACTACACACATTTAGAAATTAACCTTTTTAATTAGTTTGGCTTAATTAATCATATGCTATAATTAATGTTTAACTTATGAAGAAACTGTATATATCTTTGCATGCAGCTTGGAATGGCGAGTGCGTTGGAAACGCTGTGCGGTCAAGCGTTTGGAGCGAAGAACTATGACATGTTGGGAGTGTATTTGCAACGATCTTGGATTGTTTCCTTCTTATTCTCCATATTGCTCCTCCCTATGTACTTCTTTGCGTCTCCGATTCTTAAGTTCTTTGGCCAGCCTGACGACATCGCCGAGCTATCTGGTACCATCGCCATTTGGGTTATTCCTATCCATTTTGCGTTTGCCTTCATTTTCCCTCTCAACAGATTCCTCCAATCCCAGCTCAAGAATAAGGTTAGGTAACTTGAGATTTGAAATGTGTTCCGTAGTAGCTAGATAGCTTTTTTTTATTGGTTCTAATAGGTCAGACTTCTTAGTAACGTTTTAAAACTATTTGGATGGTTAATTATTTTGGGGGAACTTACAGGATTTGAATGGTTTGTAATCAGAGTAACGAAAGGAACGTACAACTATTAATAGTGGAGAGATTAGAGGAAAAGATCTCAATTTTAGTTCTATATTATAAAGTAGTTGACTACTAATATTATGTTGTTCTTGTACTCTAGTATTTTCCATAGATTAGTGTTTATTTTTAAAAAAAAATTGGTGAAAATAAGGAGGAAAACATTTATTCATCTAATTCGTTTCCTTCATTTAGGTAACCAGTCACAATCACAAATATATTTTGACAGCTAGTTCTAGCATTTGTAGCATAACCATTTACTCCGAAGTCTAATGACTGAATATTTTCTTGATATTAATATTGCTAAATGTGTTTGGTTGATAAAAATATATATTCTGCTACATTACCAGGTGATTGCAATTTCGTCTGGAGTGGCACTTGTAGTTCACATATTTGTGTGCTTTCTCTTTGTGTACGGTTTTAAACTTGGAGTCATAGGCACCATGGCTACTGTTAACGTGGCGTGGTGGCTTAATATCTTCATAATGTTTACTTACACCACATGCGGTGGTTGTCCTCTCACTTGGACCGGTTTCTCCATGGAAGCTTTCACCGGACTATGGGAATTCGCTAAACTCTCTGTCTCCTCTGGAATCATGATTTGGTATTTATTCGTTAAACGCCACTTGAGTCGCATCTTTTTTTTTTTCTAATATATACATGGATTGCAACACAACTTCTTACGGTTGATATATTTTTTTTTTCTCTTTTGTAACATTCTTACGGTTGATATTTATCGAAACAGTTTGGAGAGTTGGTATTATAAGATTTTAATTGTGATGACTGGAAATCTCAAGGATACAAAAATTGCTGTCGACTCTTTGTCTATATGGTACGTCAAATATTTATCATTTTTTGTTCTTGCTTTCACCATTCTAATTAACGTACATATTTTTCTAAACAAATTTTACAACTTACAATTTTTATCGCCAGTATGTCGATAAATGGTTTGGAGATGATGATCCCGCTTGCTTTCTTCGCCGGGACCGGGTAACCACTAACCAATCTCTTATTTTAATAGCTATCGTACAGATACATTTTAATTTTTTTTTTTGGTTCGGTTGATATTACTCATAATCTAAAGACAGGTTAGATCTGATTATAGTACTCATTAAAATCTGACCATTAAATTTATGGCTGTGTTTGTCAAAAAAAAAAAAGAATTGTTGTGTCAAAATCTTACCATAAAATAGTGTGTCGTCCAAAATTTGTTTTCGCTAGTTTAGTTGATATGTATATATAACAATAATTAATGTGATACCTTGTTTATTATGTAGCGTACGAGTAGCGAATGAATTAGGAGCAGGCAACGGAAATAGAGCAAGATTTGCGATGACCATATCAGTGACACAATCGCTAATCATTGGAATAATATTTTCGGTGCTTGTCTTATTTCTTCATGATCAAATCGGTTGGATTTTCTCTTCAAGTGAAACTGTCATAAAAGCAGTCAATAATCTTTCTATTCTTTTAGCCTTCACGATTCTTCTCAACAGTGTCCAACCGGTTCTTTCCGGTACGCCTCAAAACCAATTTTTGTTGCTACTCCAAATAAACCGGGTCAAAGAATGTATGGTGTGAGTTGGTGACTTTTGATTTTTTTTTTTAATTAGGTGTTGTGGTTGGTTCGGGTTGGCAATCATTTGTGGCATACATAAATTTGGGATGTTACTATGTCATTGGACTTCCACTCGGATTTGTCATGGGCTGGATTTTCAAGTCTGGTGTCAAGGTAACCCGGATTTTATATAATAAATTTCAATATTTGAAGGTTAGTTGTCTCTCTACGTATGTCTATTGTGATTAGGGCATTTGGGCTGGCATGATATTCGGAGGAACCGCGATTCAGACATTGATATTGATTTTTATTGTTACGAGATGTGACTGGGAAGAGGAGGTAACTCAATTTTATTGTTAATTGCTTTTGTTTCGCGTATATGATATCGATTTTCTTCATGTATGACATCTGATACAACTGTTTCGTCATTTGTGTCAAAATCGTAGGCACAAAAAGCAAGTGTTCGTGTTAAGAAATGGTCGGCCTCTGAGACAAGAAATTGAAATGGGCAACTTGTATATATTTGTGTAATATATAGTTTGGTTTTGTAAACCTAAACCGGAAGAATGACTGGTTTGTACCGCTACATACGAATAAGGAATCAAAACCACTTTCATTTTCCAGTATTTTCTTAAGAAGTTTATTTACGTATGAAATCAGTCGTACTTCGGATTAGGTTTATAATGATCCCATGTTCAAGCGAAAATCTAACCATAAGGGATTAGATTTAGAACTTTAAGCATGCAATATGGTAGATGGTAGTTTTGGTTTGGATAAAGTAAAACATATTATAGACAAGTTTGAACGGACATGAAGAAAATGTGCTAATTTCAAGATTGATACCACTTTATGAAAGTGGTAAATCCACAAGAGTTTTTAAAAAGAAAGATAGAATGAGGAAAATTTTCATTAATTTATAAGAGTGGGTCAGAGGGAGTGATAGCTTTTTAAGACGGAACATTAATTATAAACGATAGAAAACTGATTTAAAAGGTAGGAAAAGATTTTGTTGAATCCATGACATCAAGCGATTGTGGACGTGAGTGGCATGTAAAACGAGGGAGATTGAGTTGTTGATCAAAGACAAATATTATATGGAGTATGAAAAAGTACTATATAAGCAAAACTGTTAAAATAATACAGATTTGTATATTGTTTTTAAAAAAATTAATGATACAGAACAGCAAATCATATAGATTTGTATTATTCTGTGGGTCCAAATCATAACAGCAAATCAGATATAGTGTTAAACAAATGGAATATGTGTAGTAATTAGTATAAACTAAGCGGAACTTAAAGGAACAAATGATACAGAATGAATGGAATACAAATTGAATGTCAAAACTAATAGGTAAAATACATCTCAAATTTTGAATAACTTTTCTAAAATTTAGAGTGATTGAATTTTTTCCTATGATAAAATTGTATCATCTATAATATTAACTAGTAATTTAAAAAAAAAATTAATATATGTTTTGGAAAAGGTTATTAAATAAATGAAGAGAACAAGGACGCACCGCATTTGGTATCAACAACAGTATAATTTGTTCCACAAATGATATAATTTAATTTGTTCTTATTTTTTTATCGTCTTGATTGAAAATACACATGCAGATCCTATTATTGGTTGAATTGCGACAGAAAAGTAGTTTAAACAAAACAAAACAAAACATAACAAAAAAGCATGAAGGTAGTGGGGTCTCTACTCAAGAGGCTTTAGAATATCTACATCAGAGGATCAAGAGAGGTTCATGGCACAGTTTTTGAGACAAAAGAGCTTAATTTTAAAGAGACAGTGTCATCTCGACGAACCTGAAGAGACGGTATCATCCGAAATGGAGCATTCTGATTGATTGAAAATTATAATTTTCAAATTAAATAAAAAAAAATTATTATTATATTCTGGTGAACCCCTCTCTTAGTCTCATCTAATATCTTCACTCTCTCGTCACGATCGTTAAAATCGAGAAAATGGGAGAGAGAGAAGAAGAAGCAGAAGGTGTGGATAAGGCAAGGATTCCTCTGTTAAGGGATGAAGATGAAGCGAAGGAGGAAGATGGAGAAACAAAGAGAGAGATATGGATGGAGACAAAGAAGCTATGGCGTATCGTTGGACCAGCCATATTCACCAGAGTCTCGACCTACTCGATCTTTGTCATCACTCAGGCCTTTGCTGGCCACCTCGGCGAGCTCGAACTCGCCGCCATCTCCATCATCAATAACGTCATCATCGGCTTCAACCTCGGCCTCCTCGTATATGCACACACATATAGAAATCTTTTTTGGGCTTATATGCCATAATTAGTGTTTAACTTATCAAGAAACTATATGTATCTTTACATGCAGCTTGGAATGGCAAGTGCGTTGGAAACGCTGTGCGGTCAAGCGTTTGGAGCGAAGAAGTATGAGATGTTGGGAGTGTATATGCAGCGATCTTGGATTGTTCTCTTCTTATTCTCAATCTTGCTCCTCCCTATGTACTTCTTTGCGTCTCCGATTCTTAAGTTCTTCGGCCAGCCTGACGACATCGCCGAGCTCTCTGGTACCATCGCTGTTTGGGCCATTCCTACCCATTTCGCGTTTGCCTTCTTCTTCCCTCTCAGCCGATTCTATCAATGTCAGCTCAAGAATAAGGTATGTAGGTTAATAATACAATATGTTGTATACGTAGTCTTTAAAAATTGAGGTTTATCTTGGGGCACATAAAGGAACATTGAATAATTAAATAGTGAAAAAAACAGTAACTGATGATAAGAGGATTAAACTATTACAACTTTAGTTCTACATCTATATAAAGTTCAAATTTGCAATACTATGTTGTTCCTGTACTCTGCTATTTTAAGAATAATTACTGTATGTATTTTTTTTTGGGAACATTTTCGTTATTACTGTATTTTATTGATCGGTGGAAATAATGAGAAAATTTTGTTTTCACCTAATTCGTTTCTTATGTTTAGGTAACCAGATCACAAGAACAGTTATTATTTGGCAGCTGGTTCTAGTATTTGTACCATAACGATTTACTTCGAAATCTAATGATACATGGATATTTTCTTGATTTAATTATACTGCTTTTTGACCAAAAAAAAAAAAAAAAATTATACTGCTTAATGTGTTTGGTTAACATTCTCTTATACAATACTAGGTGATTGCAATTTCGTCTGCTGTGGCACTTGTAGCTCACATATTTGTGTGCTGGCTTTTTGTGTACGGTCTTAAACTTGGAGTCATAGGGACCATGGCTACTGTTAATTTGTCATGGTGGCTCAATGTCTTCATCTTATTTACTTACGCCACTTGCGGCAATTGTCCACTAACTTGGACCGGTTACTCCATCGAAGCTTTCACCGAACTATGGGAATTCGCTAAGCTCTCTGCTTCCTCTGGACTCATGCTTTGGTATTACTCTTTATACGTCACTTGTGTCGCATTATTTTTCTTTTAGTTGACGGGAACATACTTCTTACGGTAGATTTTTATCGAGACAGCTTGGAGTATTGGTATTATAGGATTTTGATTGTGATGACTGGAAATCTGGAGGATACAAAAATTGCTGTCGATGCTTTGTCTATATGGTACGTCACATGCATATATAGTACTTTTGGAGATTCATAAATAATTTCATATATTATGTATGAAATTTTTTTATCACATTTTCCTCTCAAATCTTTTTCTGAACAAATATTATAACTACAATATTCATCGGCAGCATGTCGATAAATGGTTTGGAGATGATGATTCCACTTGCTTTCTTTGCCGGGACCGGGTAACCAATTGATACTTTGAATTTCGTTAGTTCAGTTTTTTTATTCATGATTAATTAAAGAGCCTTTAAATATGGTTAGACTAGTTTTTGGCTTATAAATACTCGTTTAGAAGATTGAATTTGTATTTGTAGTGTACGAGTGGCGAATGAATTAGGAGCAGGCAACGGGAAAAAGGCAAGATTTGCAATGATCATATCAGTGATGCAATCATTAATCATTGGAATAATATTTTCGGTGCTCGTAGTATATCTTCGTGATCAAATTGGTTGGATTTTCTCTTCAAGTGAAATTGTAATAAACGCAGTGAATAATCTCTCCATTCTTTTAGCCTTTACGATTCTGCTCAACAGTGTCCAACCGGTTCTTTCCGGTACGTCACACAATATGCGTTTATCTCAAGATTAAAACCGGATCAACGGTTTGGGTGTTGAGTGTTTCACTTTTGATTAGGAGTTGCGGTTGGTTCGGGTTGGCAATCATTCGTGGCATACATAAATTTAGGATGTTACTATTTCATTGGACTTCCGCTTGGATTTGTCATGGGTTGGATTTTCAAGTCTGGTGTTAGAGTAAGTCAATTTTCTTTATTTATCAAAGTTTTGATATTTGAAATTAAGTTCTCTCTATCCACATATGTCTATTCTGATTAATGTTAATAGGGCATTTGGGCTGGTATGATATTCGGAGGAACCACGATTCAGACTTTGATATTAATTTTTATAGTTATGAGATGTGACTGGGAGAAAGAGGTAACACTTTTTTTTTTATTGTTCACGTACTGTGTATGATTTGTTATAAATATGTGTGTTAATGTGATTGTTTCGTCATTTATTTCAAATTTGTAGGCACATAAAGCAAGTGTTCGCGTTGAAAAATGGTCAAATTCAGAGGCAAGAAAGTGAAGATAGCATTGAAGATTATTAATAAGTATTTCGGACTTTTCGCACCAAATATCATTCATGGCCACGGATTTTAAAAAAATTCGGACCTTTCTAAATTATTTAGAACTAGCCACTGAATATCATTTGCCAATCTGTGACCAGTATGCTTATCTTAAAAATAAAAAAAAAAATCTAAGTATCGTGCGCGCGTATATGATCAAAGTTTTTGACAAATTGGCCATATTGATTCCTGAAACAACAAATCCAATATCATTCCATAAACCTCAAATTAAGCATAATTACATTCAATATCGAAGTCAACCCGGCCACGTTGACTCGTTTATTACACTCCATTCATTATTCACGAGTACCCTAAAGACCAAAACGTTGGCTAGCTCTTCAAGTTCTAGTTTTAATCTGGAGTTCTCTACTATGTACATCAAAGTTGGCCAAGCCAATAATTTCTCACGTATTATCAATTCTCTCTCAGTCAAATTGGTTGGGGTATTGAAGTCCCGGCCCATATATATGGTTGGGAATTGAAGTTTGAAGTTAATGATTTTTTATAGAATTTTAAAGATTAGATTTAAAATTTACTAATCAGAATCTGACACATCTCCCAGTTTACTAAACAAAATGCAAGCAAACTGAAGTTCCATAAACTTCAATACATTTATGTGTTATATGTTATTTTCATAATTGTGTTTGCTATGTTAAATACTTAGATGGGATGATGATGATGTTTATTAAATATGATTATATGTCTATAATTTGGTCCTTCTATAAATCTAAGATTTATGGTCATACAAGGAAAAAAATACTTATATGGTTTTATACAGAAAAAATATATATAAACGAAACACGAGAGTCACGAGACTTTTTTTTTTGTTTTTGGTCTACGAGACTATCTATCTTTGTATAGTAATAGTTAAATTAAATTTCTAGCTCCGTACGTCACTGGTGTGGGCCGTGTGGCGCACGTCGTGGCGTCGTCTCCACTCATGGCAAATAAATCACCACATCACGTATATGTTCCCTCATCTACTCTACTTTCTTGATTTTTTTAATTTATTTACAGAAAGATCGGCGATGGGAGACAAAGACGACGAAGCAGAAGGTGTAGAGACGACGAGAATTCCCCTACTAAGGGATCAAAATGCGACGGAGGAGGAAGGCGGAGAGATAAAGAGAAGAATATGGACGGAGATGAAGAAGCTATGGCGTATCGTTGGACCAGCCATATTCACAAGAGCCTCGACCTACTCGATCCTCGTCATCACTCAGGCGTTCGCTGGCCACCTCGGCGAGCTCGAACTCGCCGCCATCTCCATCGTCAACAACGTCATCATCGGATTCAACTTCGGCCTCCTCGTATATACCACACGCACACATGATATAAACATTTTCTCTTGACTTATATTATATAGTGTTTAATTTATGAAGAAATATATATATATATATATATATATATATATATATGCAGCTTGGAATGGCGAGTGCGTTGGAAACGCTGTGCGGTCAAGCGTTTGGAGCCAAGAAGTATGACATGTTGGGAGTATATATGCAACGATCTTGGATTGTTCTGTTTTTATGCTCCGTCTTGCTCCTCCCTATGTACATCTTTACGTCCCCAATTCTTAAGTTCTTCGGCCAGCCTGACGACATCGCAGAGCTCTCCGGTATTATCGCCGTTTGGGTCATTCCTGTCCATTTTGCATTTGCCTTCTTTTTCCCTCTTAATCGATTCCTCCAATGCCAGCTCAAGAATATGGTATGTAACTTCAGTTTTTAAAGGTTACTCCAAGTGTTTTGTGGACCAGAGGGCTCTGCTTTTGGGGTAGATGGTGTGAATCTTGATAAATTTTTTGCAATAGATATAGAAAAAAAACAAAAAAAGGTCTCCATCCGCTACCACTATTCAAAAAAGCCTTAAAACGTGTTATTGAAAATAGTTAGAGAGTAATTTTGGTACACAAAAATATATATAACATAATTATTTAACAAAAAAAAATTATAATCAAATGCTGTCCAATTAGAGTAACAAGATTTACTTTCTGTTGTACATTGTAAACAATAATATTGTTCTTGTCCGTTGATTTTTAGATAGAGTAAGGAAGAAACATTTCCCACTATTTTCTTTCTGGCTGGTAACAATAATAACAATAATGAGGAAAACTTTTGTTTTCCCACCAAAATTCATTTCCTTCATTTCGGTAACCGATTATTTGACAGCTGGTTCTAGCACTTCTTCTTTGATCGTAACGATTTACTCCGAAATCTAGCAAGTCTGATGATGCTTGGTTAATATTCTCTTACATTGCCACCAGGTGCTTGCATTTACGGCTGGAGTAGTACTTGTAGTTCACATATTTGTGTGCTGGCTTTTTGTGTACGGTCTTAAACTGGAGTCATAGGGACCATGGCTACTGTTAACGTGTCATGGTGGCTCAATGTCTTAATCTTATATACTTATGCCACTTGCGGAGGTTGTCCGGTCACTTGGACCGGTTACTCCATCGAAGCTTTCACCGAACTATGGGAATTCGCTAAGCTCTCTGCTTCTTCCGGAATCATGCTTTGGTACTGTATTAGTTAAACGCCATTTGCTTTGCATTTATTTTTTTGGTTAACTAATGGAAACACAACTTCTTACGGTAGATTTTTATCGAAACAGCTTGGAGAGTTGGTATTATAAGATTTTGATTGTGATGACTGGGAATCTGAAGGATACAAAAATTGCTGTCGACTCTTTGTCTATATGGTACGTCAAATATACATTGGAGGTTGATATATTACTTTATATGAACTTTTTTTATATCTCCCATCACATTTTGTTCTGAACAAAGCTATAATTATGATTGTCATTGGCAGCATGTCGATAAATGGTTTGGAAATGATGATCCCAATTGCTTTCCTCGCCGGAACCGGGTATAACCAATCTTTCATCTTTATTTATAAGTAGTACTTTAACTTTTTTTAGACTTTTTTAGTTCAGTTTATATGATTCATGATTTAATGGCTGGATAGATGTGGTTAGACTAGTTCATGGCTTATAAATAACCGTTTATAAGATCAATTCTATATTAGGTGTGCATAGTATATTTTGAATAGGTGAATATAATGAGTCATAAAAATTTTACTATTCAAAATGTATGGTCGTGTCGGGCGGAAAAGTGTGTTGTCCTAAATAAGTTATTGCTTGTTGCTATACAATTGATTGGCCATGTGTCTATAATAACAATGATTGATATGAAAACATGTTTTTGTAGTGTACGAGTGGCGAATGAATTAGGAGCAGGCAATGGAAAAAAAGCAAGATTTGCGATGATTATATCAGTGATACAATCGTTAATCATTGGAATAATATTTTCAGTGCTTATAGTATTTCTTCATGATCAAATCGGCTGGATTTTCTCTTCAAGTGAAATCGTCATAAAAGCAGTCAATGATCTCTCTATTCTTTTAGCATTTACGATTCTTCTCAACAGTGTCCAACCGGTTCTTTCCGGTACGCCTCATAAACAAATTACCTTTTTTTATTATCCCAAACTGAGTAAACGGTTTATGCGTTGACTTTTTGACTTTTGATTAGGAGTTGCAATTGGTTCGGGTTGGCAATCCTTTGTGGCATACATAAATTTGGGATGTTACTATTTCATTGGACTTCCTCTCGGATTTGTCATGGGCTGGATTTTCAAGTTTGGTGTCAAGGTAACCCATTTTTTCTTTATTTATTTGATATCAAATTTTTCTTTATTTATTTGATATCAAAACTAGCAATCTTTTTTTTCTTCTAAACAACTAGCAATTAATAAAGTTAATTTCTACATATCTATATTGTTTTTTTCTTTGGTGATAGGGCATTTGGGCTGGTATGATATTTGGAGGAACCGCGATTCAGACTTTGATATTGATTTTTATAGTTATCAGATGTGACTGGGAGAAAGAGGTAACTTAATTCCCTTTTTGTTTATTGCTTCGGGTTTGCGTCTATGGTTTTTTCATGTGTATGTCTTCTAACAATTGTTTTGTCGTTTATTTCAAAATTTTAGGCACAAAAGGCAAGTGTTCGCGTTAAGAAATGGTCCGTCGCAAACCCAAGAAATTGAAGATTGTAAATTAACTAGACATATACATTCCAAAAGTTAGTTAATTCAGCTCTAATGAGCAAACATATCGCATCATTTCAATGACGGTTTTTGTATTGTTAATGAATATTGAGTAAAGTAGACCCAACTAAATGGTCAACTAGTGTATCGGTGTAGTATCTGGTTCGGTATTCTAAGCCGGAACCGGAGTAATGGCCGATTTGTTTTCTTTATGAATATTGAATACAATAAGAAATTCAGCACACTTTCACTTCACAAATTTCGTTATTTACATACGGAATCACTATTACTTTTTTTTTTCTTGTCTTTGTGAATAAGGAAGAAATTAAGCATAATAATAATAAAAAAAAAACACATCCCTTTCCAGACAAAAACCAAACTAAAACGTGAACCGTTGATATGTATGTTCGTAGCAAGACTCCTTACCAAGTGTAAACCGGATCTTTTCTCGCCTAACTGGGCCAACCAGTTGTCAAATGTTATGTATATAGGCTGAACCGGACCGGTTCATTAGTTAATCCCATGGGGTCATCAAATGTTACCCACTCAGAATCACAATTTACAACCTCGTCCGTTGCTGACTCGGAGTCGCTGAATATTACCCATTCGGTCTGAACCGAACATGCCAATTCGACCATCTCCTCATCGTCATTAACCGTAGTCTGAACCGAACCGGAAAATTCAACCATCGCCCTATCGTTAATTACCGTCTCGGCCTTCAAAATCTCCACCATACACCAAAAATCTTCTGCCAAACGTCTGCAACGCCAAAATAATCCACTCAGACTCTTCTTGCATTCTTCAATTCTCAACAAAACCAACCTCAAATCGTTTGAACCGGAATCACCAACAGCTTCGATACCCGGTTTAATCAATCTTTCACTCAACACTTGAAGCCGTATCATAACCAATCTCACAACCGTGAAGTAGTCTTGAATCACGAGCTCTCTGATCTCGTCAACGATCTTGTTTTGGAACAAAGGTGGAGTCTCCGGTCTGGTGCATATATGTTCAAAGAAACTCACAAGAGATTCTGTTTGTCTCATTATAAACCCGGTTTTATAAGACGAAACACAATCTTTCTCTATAGATTTCTCTTTTGAGCTCTCCAATAGATTTGGAAAAGACCCTAATACCTTCGAAATCCATGAGAGACGATCCAAATATAATGCATACCTAAAATAAACATATAAATGTTATAATATCCACAGTCGGTATGGACCAGTTCAAATAATTTTTTTTAGTCCAGAAAATTAGATAGATGTCAAAATCAAAAATAAAAATAAAATAAAAAAGGAAATATACCATTTAACCCATCGAGACAACTCTATGGTGAGATTAGAAGAAACGTCGGAGAAATCATTTAGTTTTAGATTGTTCCGTCCACGATCAAGTCCTTGGAAATTGTCTCTCGATGATTTGATAAGTTTGTGGAAGACGATGAGAGATTTGGTGGCCACGAAAGCGTCCTTTGTGACTCGCAACCTCCACATAACCGCCGCGAAAGCTGCCGGACCATGACGGCTGTTGGAGTAAGAGATAACGTCGGAGACATAGTTGCTATCGGGTGGTTTGTGACAAGTATGAGTCGTTGATTTCAAAAGGGCTAAGTGAATGTTCTTGACGGCTTTAGAACTGAAACTATGAAACAATCTGACTTTGCCTATTGAAGCTTTGTCTTTGACTTTCCCGATTATGAGAGATTTTAGTTTTGTCATTCTCTTAGCGGAAAGGAAAGAATAAGAAACGAAACTGCCTCGTTTGATTACTTATGTGTTTGATTTCTTGTAGGCGTCAAGGTTTGATTCGTTTTTCTTTTCTCTGATAGTTTCCTTTTTTATTTTAGGAAAAATAATCTTAATATATCATATATGTGGCTATGCTTCTGAAAATATCCATATTTGATTATTTCCTTTTTCCACTCTTAGTTTTGTATATATCTTCTATTTCCAAAGCCGTCAGTTCATTTTTTTAACCTACTACTATACTATTAAACAGGACAAGTTCATAGTCAACGTCACATATCAGACCAACTATAATATTATTTGCTAACGTAATAATAATTTTTAATAATAACTTGTAAAATGTTATATATCATATCAATAAAGAAAATTAGAAACCATAAAAGCTAAGAGATCACCAAAGATTTGGCATTTGAACCATCTGCCGACATAGTCTACTCAATTGCCAAAGATAGTTTTGTAAGATTAAGCTAAAATAACTTGGGGTTGATGTATTAGGTGATTTGGCAATTGAGTATATTTAAGTTGCTCCATGGTTTTTTTTTTTTTTTTTTTACAGAAAAAATTGAACATAAAATATGTCGGTAGATGGCGCAATTGCACAACTAGCCACAAGCGAATTCAATTCACACTAAACAAACAAAAAATGTCGTCCCCAAAATTTTTAAATTATCAGTATGAATTTATATATCAATAAAAATATGTTGAGACCAAACTGGTAAAGTCTAGCTTGCATCTATAAGAATAATTCATCTATTATTGTTATATGTGCCATTCGGCATTGACCATAGTTTAGAGCATGCTGGCTGGATGGTCGTCGTCTCTTACATGCGATTGCCTTGGGCTTGAGAGTTTTTTTTTTTTTTTGGGGCCTGAGAGTTTCGTAATACTAACATCAATATCAGCCTTCGGATTTATCTAACTTATCAGAACTTCAACGGCTCTAGCAAAAGACAAACTCTAGATTCAATTTGAGATGAGAAACGACCACAATTAGGATCCATATAGCTTAACAATTGAAGGCTATAGAATCCAAGTTTATTATAATTTATTTTGTTCCAACTTCCAAGTATAAATATGGATTACTCATTACATCAACCCAAAAAAAGAGTTTCTGAGTTTTTGTACATGTCTTTTTTTTTTAATTATGAAAAATATTTCAATTTTCAATGTCATTAATTTCTGGAAATAAATCGGACGACACACATTCGTGTAAAAAAAAAAAAGAAAAAATACTCGGGCGCTACAAAAGTGATTCTGATTGGTCAGTAAACAATGACGCGGATAGCAAAGATACAAACAATCTTAACCGTCGATAATCCAGAAGATCTAACGGTTCAAAAACCAAATACATCCTCTCTCCCTTCAACCCTTATAAATAACACATCCCATCCTCGCTCAATGCACACCGATCACATTCTCTGCAAATCAAAAATTAAATTGAGTAACATTCCTTTTTAAGATAATCGCAAATGGCTCGTACCAAGCAAACCGCAAGGAAATCCACCGGAGGAAAGGCTCCAAGGAAGCAGCTCGCGACGAAGGCGGCGAGGAAATCGGCTCCGGCTACCGGAGGAGTGAAGAAGCCACACAGATTCCGTCCAGGAACGGTGGCGTTGAGAGAGATCAGGAAGTATCAGAAGAGCACAGAGCTTCTGATTCGCAAGCTTCCTTTCCAGAGACTTGTTCGTGAGATCGCTCAGGATTTCAAGACGGATCTGAGGTTCCAGAGCAGCGCCGTCGCGGCTCTTCAGGAGGCAGCTGAGGCTTACTTGGTTGGTCTGTTCGAGGATACTAACCTTTGTGCGATTCACGCTAAGAGGGTTACAATCATGCCTAAGGATATTCAGCTTGCGAGGAGGATTAGAGGCGAGAGGGCTTAAGTGAAAGAAGAAGACGATCTCTACATTCTAGTCTAGCAATGCATTTGCTACTTTTGGGTTTCACTTGTTTGCCTCTTATCTCGGATATGTAAATCCTTTTTAACTATTGTCACGGTTTTAGATTTGGTTTACGAGTGTCTGTAGTCTTTTGCTTAGATTTGTCTTTAAGTTGTTCGATGCAATGCGCAAATGAGTATCAATCTACTGTTATTATAAATTCTACCACAATTTCAATTTGTCAATTTAGATTCAGTTATAGTACTATTATTTGCAGTATTTCGCTTTGAGTTTGCTTCCAGATCTATGATATACGTCAAAGTAGTTTACTCTATCTGCAACATTCAAGATTCTCAGCTCAAATTTTTGATTCAAATTACAAATAATCAAACAAAAAAGTTTATCAGAAGTAAAATTTTAGAACATGTTCTCATGCCGTCACAGCCAAAAATCGTTAATTTCTGTCCTGTAGAGATTTAATTTCTCTTAATTATTTAGTTATTTCACAGATTTATAATCAGTAAGAAGCGCGATCGTATGTCCTGTAGAGATTTAATTTCTCTTAATTATTTAGTTATTTCACAGATTTATAGAGTAAAATATTTTCTCGGATTTGTAACGCGAAGTACAAAAAGTTTACTAACTATTTGAAATAAGTTCGTTCTGAACTTCTGATATTTGTCCAAAATTTTCAAGTGGCGCTAAAAACTTGAAAAAAATTTGGAAGAAGCGCAAAAGGTAGCGTGTTCTGGAAAAGGATGATTTTAATTGGTTGATAATACATCACACGGATAGGTGATCGGAGTGTTTTAATTAGTTGATAAAGGAATCACACGGATTGAAATCCTCAGCCGTCGATACTACTTTTAATCCAACGGACAAGACAATACTTTTCCCTCCAAAACAAAATTTCAGGAAAACTCCCTCCAAGTTTTTTACTCCAGTTTTTTAGCTCACCGCCAATTTCTCTTCCCATAAAAGCAACCCATCTTCTCCTCTACTCTTCATCACCAAATTTCGCATTCTCTTTCTCTAGAAGAAGAAAATTCGACCAATTAGCTTCTTCGTAGTGATTGTTTGATTTCGTAATGGCTAGAACCAAGCAAACAGCTAGGAAGTCCACCGGAGGCAAAGCCCCAAGGAAGCAGCTTGCGACGAAGGCGGCGAGGAAATCCGCTCCGGCCACTGGTGGAGTCAAGAAGCCGCACAGATTCCGTCCAGGAACTGTGGCTTTGAGAGAGATCAGGAAGTATCAGAAGAGCACTGAGCTTCTGATCCGTAAGCTTCCGTTCCAGCGTCTGGTTCGTGAGATTGCTCAGGATTTCAAGACGGATCTGAGGTTCCAGAGCAGCGCCGTCGCTGCGTTACAAGAGGCGGCCGAGGCTTACCTTGTTGGTCTGTTCGAGGATACTAACCTTTGTGCGATTCACGCCAAGAGGGTCACCATCATGCCTAAGGATATCCAGCTCGCAAGGAGGATCAGAGGTGAAAGAGCTTGAAGACTCTTGTGCGATCTAGCTTTGTTTAGTTCGTTAATGGGCAGTTTATTTCTGGGATTTTTATTTGCGTTTAGCTAATGGGTTCTTAGAAGTGTAGAGCTTTGCTCGTTTCTTATTCTGGGTTTGTTTAGATTACGCCTTTGTTAGGATAGTACTCAAGATGTTCGACGAAATGTCCCAACCAGAGTTTCTTTTGTTTATTATAACTTATTGCCCAATTTACTTGAAATATTTTGTTTTTCTTTAATTTATGTACGGGTCTCTACGCGTTAAATCGCTCAATCTTTGTAGTTCTGCAAAATCATAATCTTGAACCACTGAAACATTCAGTTTATTTCAGATACGTTAATATAACATAACACACTAAATTAGACATAAGATTACATAAACTTAGTTGTAGTCACCATTGAACCGGCCTACCTAGATACAGAGTGCATTCGGTCTGGGAGAACCGGGTCTTGGTTCCTTGATCTTATTGACGTTGAGAAGAAGTTTGCACTGAAACTGCTGTATAATTGTCTTCTACTTCTAGTTGCAATATCATCACTATCCCCATCTTTGAGTGACGAGCTTCCTCCAATTGAAAACGACCTTCTCACAGTTTCCAAGCTTCCCGAGCCACAATGGCCTGCCAAATCGCTTTGTGCCCTCGGAAGAACGTTACCGTTTCTAGAACCCGAGCTCTCCTGTTCTCCATTAAGGTCGTTGCTCGATCCAGACTCTGATTGATGATGATGATTCGTCTCTGTTTCTAGATGACGAGGCTCAGTGAGAAGAATAGGGGCACGACATAAAGGACAGTTCTTGTGGGAGAGCAACCAAGTGTCGATGCAGTTTATGTGAAAGGCATGACTACACTTGGGCAACAATCTAAGCGACTCGTCTTCTACGAATTCGTTTAAGCAGACGGAGCATTCTGTCCCGTCGATTATCCCTTGTCCCTTTTTGAATCCAACGACTGTGATGGAGTCGATCGCAGAACGGTGGAGACCGACGGTTGTGATTCGCCAGGCGTGATGGTAGCCGGATAAATCTCTTTCCCCTGCTTGGTTCTCGTCGTCTCTTCGGTTGGTGTCAGCAGCAGCCACTGCAGCGGCTGAGCTCCGCCGTGACTGCGTGATGTAGAAGTAGAGGAAGATCACGAGAGATAGGAGGAGTAAGACGGAGCCGCTTATGTAGATGGAGGTGGAGACTAGGAAAGAGAGTTCTCTCTGCGGAGGTGGCGGCGGAGGATAGGTCTGGAAGCAAGGGATGATGATCGTCAAGTTGAAATCTTTTCCTGGTAGACATGGAATGAGCATCTTTCTGTGATTGAAGGTCATTTTCGGAGTTCTGAGACCACAGAAACAGAGCAAGAACAGGGGACACTGTTTTCAGAGACAACTAGTCGAAAACAGAGCAGGAACAAGGGAAAATTGATTTCGGACACAAACGAAGTTTCTGCTCTTGAGGAATCAAAGCGAGAAGAAATAGGACGCTCGATGAAGTCTAAAACCCATAAATACGTTAGAATCTACACAGGGTCAAGATGATCCCAAAATTCCAAGGCGTGTTTTTCCGTGGGTGAAATAAGTGGCTCGTTAAGTAACAAAAGAAAATATAAAAAGAATTGGACACAAATCACGATCTACAAGACTCTCAGAAGGATCGAGAATTTGTCCTTTTCGAAAGTGGGTGGAAATTTCATGGGAAGTGATAACGCCATTAAAGAGATGTCATTGTATGTTGGAAAGTAGTTTCCTTTCAACTTTGTCTTGACGGGAAATGTGTCAAAACACGACTAGACTTTACTAAACTCTCTGTAGACATTTACGCGTAACAAGTCAAGTTTATAAGTCTCTCCTATGAATTATTAAGATCAGATTTCTGTTGGTTAAAGAAGGTATAATACTGAACCACACTATCTCGACATATGTACATATGAAGCAAAACCAGATGTTACAGAATATAGATACATGGACTTACTTTAGACAAATTTGTACAATGAAGAGGTCCGATTTCAAAACAGGGGGTTACCAAGGTCGTCCGCAATGCCGATTCCACCATGAATTGTCCTTAAATGCTCATAGCAAGGTTCTGACTGAGTGAAGAAGTCCAAGCAGACCCAGCAAATGTGCTTCCCACACCGGCACTGCACATGGTTACACCCTTCAGATTTCTCTATCGTGGACTTGCAAGCCGGACACATCTTCACGTCCTTCCCTCTTGCCCAGTCCTTTAGCGACAAGTCCGGATTCTCCTTGAACTGTTTGTACCTTTCACAAGAGAGATACGGGTGATACTCAAGGTGACACCTTGTGCATGTCTCTGAGTTGCAGGCTCCACAGATGAATGGTTCGCCGGATTCTTGAGGGCCAGCTACACGGTAGATGGACGGGCAATCAGGTGTGGAGCAAAACCGGAACTTTCCATCACTAGCTGTTACAAAAGAGGACAAGGATGCTCGGAAGAGTTCATCGAGCTTCTCTTGTGATAAGAGAGTTCTCATATCAGCGAGTACTAATGGAGCTTCACAGTCAATGTGAGAACAAACTATGGGAAATGCGTCAAAGTTTCTCATCGATGCCTCAAATTGTTCCAACAAACAGGCTTTGCAGAAGAGGTGTGAACATCCTTCAAGAGAGTAGCCATCATCAACCTCAGACAAGCAAATGGGACAGTCAACTTCAATGTCATCTTGTTCTTCGCTCGGTGCACTCTTTTCTCGTGCAAGTTCATAGACCATCTTTTCTACTTCCAGCCTCATTGCTTTGCTCCCGTGAACTTGAATAACATGGTTCCGGGTGTTGAGCTTGAGATCCACATCATGTACCTTCTCTTTGATACCTTGGAGCTCCGGACCAAACCTCTTCACAACTTCCTTCATGAGGTCAGGACGAATATCAGGACCTCGGAGGTGGATTTCAAGTTGCTTACTCTCGTGATAGGCCAGAAGTGACTGAACCAGTTCTTGTTCAGCCTCAGCGATTTTCTCTCGTGATCCACAAATGCGTACTGTGTGATTGTGCCTGTCAAATATAATGTAAGTTTCTGTCTCTTGTTGGATCTTCCGCATCAGAATAAAACCATCTCTGGTCGAAAGATGCTGCAAGACTCTAGGGATTAAGTCTGGATGATTTATGTGCCTTCCTCTCAAGAGTTCTTCAAGATCTCTCCGCATCTCTGCGATGGTTCTTGTTGCATAAGACCAAATTTTAACACGATAAGCACCGCTGAGAGTTGGCTCCAAATGCCATTTACCTCCTACAAAAATACAAGAAAACGTTCATGCATATCAAACCTATGCTTATGAACCCTTTTAATGACCTATATAACACCAATTAGAAACTGTAGCCTCTAAAATAAACCTCGTAAGTCATGATTGTTCATCATTATTATCATGATATAGTAAGGTTATTTGTTGGTTGCAGTTGATAGAAGGTAATAAAATCTAAAGAGCAAACAGCTCAAATGTGGATTAGGAACTTTACCTCTTCGTCTTTCAAAGCTTGATAACAAATCATATAACTGTCTTTTGACTATGTTGTAGACAGAAGCAGAGCAGATTATGGAGCTCTGAAACAATTGCTCACACTTTATCTTCTGCCATGGAAGGCATCCAGGTAGCACCTCTCCATTTAACTCCTGCAAAGCTTTCGCAGCTTCCAAATGTAATCTCCCGTCAAATGTAATAGTCGCTCGCATGAAAGAATCTGTTTCTTTTGGTTCAAAAACTTGGACTTGGACACAGTTCGGATCTAAATTCCTCGATGACATGGATCCAAATATTCTCTTATGCAGCAGTTCTTCGCAAGCAGTAGGTGATGAACTCTGCACACTGAATTTTCTGAATAAAAAAAAAGTCAGATCTCTTCTGGACGTAGCGCACTCTAAAACATCTAGAACTTCTTCTTCCGAAAGATTTCTGTCAAGCCCACTTATCAAGACAGAGTCATCGGACTTTTGATCTCTCTGAACGTGGACATAATTTGTACCTATCACAAGGCCGGAGATCCCATTAAATATACTGTGAACATCACCAGAAGGGCACTTAACACAGCCTTTACCAATGCTTTCCTTTCGCGGCCAACGAACCTTAGCTGTAACAGAAGGGAAAGAAGGCATCCTGAAAATTCCCCCACCACCTGTTGACAGCGATGGAAATAATTTAAGCACTGATCCATTGAAATCAAATCTCTGAATTTCTGCTGCCTTCATAGCAGATTCCGGAGAGAGAAAGGTTATCCTACCCCACTTTTCCTTCTCATGACTGTCTTGCTTGTTAGCAGCAAACTTATGAATAGAGCAAATACACCCATCAGTATTCTTTTCCAGAAATGTCACAAGTTCTCTGTCATCAACAACATTGTCGCCATAATAAAGTACATCAACTGTCAAAAACCTCTGGTCAACTTCAAGATGCTTTATCTGAGCACCAGATCCAAACAGTGCAATAGGTACTTGTCCCCGACCATGAAATAGAGACTTCTCCAAACATTCATTATGCATCCATTTCTTTTCACATTCCAATGCATCGTTCACAAGGGCTAACACTTTGTCCATGTCGAGGGGAGGCGCATACAGTAGAATCTCATTCTGATCAATATCGACTTGAATACCAATCCTTTCGTCCATACAGAGAGACCTAGCACGAGAAACAATTGAAAGCAGTCTACAGTTAGATTTCCCACAGAATCGTTTTAGCACAGTGCTACTACAACCAACCACTTTTTCCACTCGGAGCCTCCGGTCATCCATCTGAGATGCATCAAAAGGTGGAGGTGGATCAAGCATATACAAAGCCTCAAAATCACACGCAGTTACACATACCAAGTACTCATCAGCAATTGATAGAAGTTCACCGAAAACAACCCAGTTTGGCTTCTGGCCAAATGCTAGCAAAGAACACGACGGATGTAACTGAACTTGTTGACCAGTAAGTGCCACCTCGTATCCAAGCTGCTCATAGCCAGTGTACATCGCCACATTCTCTGCAAGAGATGCAAGTATAACCATTTTCAAATGCTTATCGTATTTAGTGCTCTCAGTTGGATTCCAAACCCAGTAACTAGGACTGACAAGAGTGAGTTCTCTCTCAATGCATTTCTCCAATTCCTTCACTGTGTCTTCACATCTCCTCATTGATTTTGCATTCAGGCTGTTATCCCAGCACCATTTATTTCTTCTCTCTCGCGGCAGAGATGCCCATTCTTTGTAAACCGAAAGAAGAGTAAACAGGTCTCCATTATGATTGCAGAATTGTACCTTCAACATGTCAACGTAAAACCTTTAGAACGTAAAGCTAAAAGTTCAGACCTTTAGATGTATACCGATAAATCAAATGTTACATAACAGGAAACGGTAATCACTCTATGGAAGAAAAATAATACAAATAAGAAAGTTAAACGGAAGCTCAGAATAATACCTTTAGGCAATCAGCTTTCATCTTATCATCGAGGTTGCCAACTCTGCAAAATATACTGCTGGCATTAGCCATGACAGCAGCAAGAACAATTCCCTCTTTACCCATTCTGTGTCTGAAGCAGCCTAAAATTAACTTTCCAAGCCTTGGTTCCAAACCCAGCTTGACTAAGCAATGCCCTTCCTGTGTTAATTCAAGAACACCGTTCTTCTCAACGACTGCACCCAACTGAACAAGATTCTGGACAGCCATTGCAATGGCTTCAGGGACAGGCGCGTCAACAAAGTCAAAATCAGCTATGTTGTCTACACCCAGAGCAAGAATCCTCAAAAGTGCTACACCAAGATGGACCCTCCGAATTTCAGGTTCCTGATTACGATTCATTGAATCAAAATCTTGTTGTGAGTACAGTCTGTAACATCTTCCGGCTTCTGTCCTGCCAGCACGACCAGCACGTTGTCGAGCAGAACTCTGACTGACCCGGCAAACCTTGAGGATGCTCATACCTGTTCTAGGTTCATATTTACTCTCTTTCACCATTCCGGAATCAATTACATACTTGACACCAGGAATAGTCAGCGATGTCTCTGCGATATTTGTGGCAAATATCACTTTTCGTCTCCCAGGATGGTTCTGGAAGACCCTAAATTGTTCTTCGAAGGAAAGCTTTCCATGCAAAGGCAAAGCAACTGCAAATGGAGCTATAAACCTCTCGCATGCCCATTCAACCTCTGCTTGGGAAGTCAAGAAAGCAAGGATGGTTCCTTCTTTCTCTGTTTTATGTACTTCCACTGCCATCTTAACAACCTCATCAACATATGGAGCAATCCTGCCAACAACACAAGTCTCTCCTGTGTAACTAGGAGAATACACAATCTCCACCGGAAAGTTCCTCCCACTTACATGAAGAACCCCACAGCCGAAGAAATAGTCTGAGAGTTGGTCGTGATCAGCCGTGGCAGACAAAATGACAAGCCTTAGGTCAATCCTTCTGCATAGCAAATCTTTGAGCAATGCCAAAAGAAGGTCTGTGTTTAAGGTTCTTTCATGGGCTTCGTCAATAATAACGCATGAAATGCCAGACAAACTCGGATCCTTTATGTAGTGTTGAAGCAAACAATTATCTGTCATGTACACAACTTTGGAACTAATCTCTTCAGTAGAAGAGAAAGCTGGAGTGCAGCGGACAAAATTTTCCTCATAACAACCACTGCTTTCGATTCTGACCCGTTCAGCCAATGTCAAGGCAGCAATTTTCCGTGGTTGTGTACAAACAATCGACTCACTAGCAGCAACTCCGGAATCAGCAAGGAACTGAATTAACTGAGTGCTCTTCCCTGAACCAGTTTCTCCGATCAACACCATTATCTGTGAACACATTAGGATAAATTACAGAATCATCTATAAATACAGAGATAACCAGCAATTCATGCCAATTTCAACAAAGATCACTTGTCAGATTCGGGATTTTACGAGATACGTACCTGCTCGCCATGAATCTTTTTCAAGATATTTCGCCTGTAGGCATAGATAGGTAGCCCATCCTCTAACCTTCGACACTCCCTGCGGATCAAATTATGAATACGTGGCCAATCATAGTCCCCTTCCAAACTAAACACGGCCACGTCTTCTCCATCAGACTCAGACCTGCTGTTTCCTTTGAGATATCGCACAATGCTCTTCATGGCATTCTTAAATTCTTCAAACCGCTCAACAGCCAAATCTTTCTGCTTCTCAAGAACCTTCTTTTTCTCAAAATCCTCAATTTTGAGAAAAGTTTTGGACGAAAAGGATTCAACTTGACGAGATCTCTCATCAATCTCGGTTCTAACCTTCTTGACGCTTTCTCCGTTTTCCATAAGCGACAGAACGTGAGCCGAGAAAAGATCGCGAAGCCTGTCATTAAGCTCGTCCATGTCGGACGGGACGATCACATTGGGAATCAGCTTGGGCACGAAATCATGTTTCCCTTGAAGGCGATAATCCCAGAGAGCCACGACGGAAGAAAGCGCGTCGACCCACTGACGAAAACTGAAACTTCCGGCGATACAGCCGAATTGGGGAACATGGACGGATTCCTCCGGGATTTCGCAGAGCGAAGCGAGGCTTCTGATCTCTTCCTCCCTAACCGAAAAAGACGGCTTGGCGTCGCCGTTAGCGGCGGTAGTTCTCGGGTGAAGAAGCTCAACGATGAAATTCGGCTTAATACGGGTACATGGAGTAGAGATTCCCGTCGCCGGAGCCCGATCGCGTCTGTAATTTGGCGGGAAATAGGAATTAGGGTACTGACAGTGGTGGTGCCTCTGAGTAGGTCGGTGATTGAGTGGCGGAGAAGACTGCATGGAGCGAAAGTTACAACGGTTGGTGGAAGCGGAAGAAAACGGCGAGTGACGATTAGTCGCCGATCTTCCACCGTCGGCGGGAGGAAAAGAGCTCCTCATTGGGTGATGCCACTTTTTTGTGTTTTCGTTTTCTTTAACAATTGAGAGAGCGAAAGGGACTGTGTAAGTTGAAAAGATTCAGAGGCAGACGAAACACAATCTTATTTATAATGTATTTTTTTCCTTTACTCTCTTCGACCCTTTCTAATTTCCCAATAACCTAATTCTTTTTTCTTTCTAGAATTTTTTTATGGTTATATTAGACATTTTAATTATCTGCTTCTTTATATATAATACTTAATCTGATAAATCTAATCTAGATTATATGGAAACTTTATTCAAAATCTATTTTTTAAAATTTTTAAATTGAAAAAACGATGCGGAAACACGATTGTTAGAAAAACTTAGTTTAAAAATATAGTAAAAGAATATAATTAATATTGTTATAATTAAAAAATAAAAATTAGTTATCTTCAAGGATTAATAATTATTTTTTTTCCTAGTTAATTCAATATAATGTAGAAATTTAGATCTGAGATATAAAAGAATAGAGATTATAGCTTAAGATCCATATAATAAGATAATTTTTTTGAATAACTTCAGTGTTTTTATTCTTATTAACCTAGTTGTTGTTGTTTTTTTTTTTTGTTGTTTTTTTTTCAACTCCTGGTTGTTTAGGAAGGAAAGGTAAAAAGTTATAAAGTTAAACCAAGTGTAGATTATCCAATTACCTCGAGCACACTAATTTACCATAGTAATATGATGCTCTAGACAAACTCTATATGATGCAATTTATACAAACTTTATATGATGCTCTATATATACATTTCCGCTTTTAAAATTTTCTAAAAATAATACATTCATCATTCAAACATATTTTGCTTTTATGTATTTGTTTCCCACCTATGTAACCAAGATTTTAATTTGATCAATAATTAGTTAAAAAAACATAGATTGTTTTTTAGTCATTAGTCAATCGAATATTTTGGTCAAACATTTTATTCATAATTGTATATTTTGGTCAAAACATTTTATTTAATATTTTGGTTTTTTACTAATTTGAAAATAGTTACTATGTAAGATAAATAAGAACAATTAAACTGGAGAATATGAAAAAGGAAACAAATTTGAATCTACTTATTATAAGAAAATCATTGATCTGAAATTTATTAATCTCATATCCTTTTCTCTCTTTTTTTGGCTATCAATATCTTGCATTACTCTATTTTTCCTTACAACCTAATTATGTCTGTTACTTTTTCAAGTAATTTTATATTTTGTAACAGGTATTGAAAATTGTCATATTTTGAAATTTTCATTTACAATTAACAGGTAAAAGGTAAATAAATATACATTTGTTTTGACCATAAACAATATTCGATAGTTGATCTTTTGAATCTAGGAGATGGTATTGAAATAAATGTCATCCTCTCACTAAAACCAAAAACCAAAAACAAAACACAACTTTAGGAACAACTTATGTAAGTAATGTAATCTCATAATATTTTCATTCATAACGCCAAGTTTCGCCAAGTAAGCTGCTACTGATTAGAGAGAGCCCATAGAGAGATTAGAGCACTGTAATTCTACAAGAACTTGGGCCAAACAGGCCCATAATGATAACATTTGGGCCCACTTCACTCAAAACCTAACTGTATCTCTCCTATAAGTTGGCCCTTTTTCCTTGCGCGTAAAACCCTAGATTTGCCAGCCGACTATCGCCCGAGAGCTGCTTTATCTATTCGATCTTCTCTCGCAGGCTGTTGTAGTGGCAGTGTCATTCGCAGAAGATGAAGGTAGTTCATCGTTTTCTTCGATTATCCGCGGTTATAATTCTGTGTTATTTCGTTTGTTCATTCGTTTTTTTTTTTTTTGAATTTTGTATCGCAGTTCAACGTCGCAAATCCGACCACTGGTTGCCAGAAGAAGCTCGAGATCGATGACGACCAAAAGCTGTAAGATCTCTTTTCCTATCTTATCTTCTTAATTTTCTTATAGTTTCGTAAATTTGTTAGAGATTTGGGATTAGTGTTTACGTTTGGGTAATTAAGTGTAAAATGTGGAATATCTCATTTGAAGTTAGGATAAGTCTTCGGATGCGAACGTAGAATCGTATGATTGTTACTGTTTACACGTGCTGCAATATTGAAATCTGATGTCGCTGGGATATTCTTATATATTCTCTAACCTGTAGTCGAACGTAGGCTTCTTTTGGATAAATTTATTGAGTTTGGTTTTTGATGTATGTTATAGCCGTGCTTTCTTCGACAAGAGGCTCTCTCAGGAAGTTAGCGGAGATGCTTTGGGCGAGGTGAGTTTCTTAGTACTCGTTCGTTGTTTAAATTTGTGTTCTGTGTCTTCAAAATGGTTTGTAAAGTTTTCTGTGTATATTTTTTTATCTACTTGCAGGAGTTCAAGGGTTATGTCTTCAAGATCATGGGAGGATGCGACAAGCAAGGTTTCCCAATGAAACAGGGAGTTCTGACTCCTGGTCGTGTCCGCCTTTTGCTTCACAGAGGTACTTGACTCCACCTAAATCTAGCAACTTGTGCAACTTTATCAAGTTTCTCTTTGTCATTTATCTCTCATTTCTTTGGATTAATGTATCCTGGTTTTCGTGTGTGTAGGTACTCCTTGCTTCAGAGGACACGGAAGGAGGACTGGAGAGAGGAGAAGAAAGTCTGTCCGTGGTTGCATTGTGAGCCCTGACCTCTCTGTCCTTAACTTGGTCATCGTGAAGAAAGGTGAAAACGATCTTCCTGGGCTTACCGACACCGAGAAGCCAAGAATGAGAGGTCCCAAGAGGGCTTCAAAGATCCGCAAGCTTTTCAACCTTGGAAAAGAGGATGATGTGAGGAAGTATGTCAACACATACCGCCGCACCTTCACAAACAAGAAGGGTAAGAAGAAAACAGACCGATTCACTTGAACGTTGAGAGTAATGATTTGAGAGATTCACTAATTTTGTTTCTTGGATGTGCAGGCAAGAAGGTTAGCAAGGCTCCTAAGATCCAGAGGCTTGTGACACCACTGACTCTCCAGAGGAAGAGAGCTAGAATTGCTGACAAGAAGAAGAGAATCGCCAAGGCCAACTCTGATGCTGCTGAGTACCAGAAGCTTCTTGCCTCCAGACTTAAGGAGCAGCGTGATCGCCGTAGTGAAAGTTTGGCCAAGAAGAGGTCTAGGCTCTCTTCTGCTGCCGCTAAGCCCGTTGCTGCTTAAACTCCCCCCTCCAACAAGATTAAGAGATTTCTTCCTCTCTAGTTTGTTTCTTGTCCGTATTTAAGTTGCTCTTGAGACATGAAAGCGCCATTTTGAACGTTCTATTTTCGGGTATCTGTTTTGTTTTAACTTTCAAGTCTTTTATTATATTATTAAAGTTTTGAACCTCGTACTCTGTTGTTATATTTCGTTTAGATATTTACATACCGTTTCTCAATTAATATAGGTTATTTAATCTTAAGATGATCTCAAATATTTATATATAATTATCGAGAAAAGGTAATTTTTTTTTTCTGATCTCTACGAACAATTCAAACCAAAACAAAACTCAAGTTCAAAGAAAATCCCCAAAACAAAAACGAAAGCAAAGGTTCAAGGTTCTAAGAGTTGCAGCACAATCTATTCTTGGTGGGAATCACCTGAGCAGGACCTGGAACAATATTGATCTTCTTACCAGCAAGCGACGCGGCATCGCCATTACCCTGTCCTTCTCCAGCAACGAGGTTCTTCTTGTTCACGATGTTGAAAATCTCAGTCAAAACAGTCGAGAAAGCAGTCTCCACGTTGACTGCGTTTAGAGCCGATGTCTCCAAGAAGAAAAGACCTTCTTTCTCCGCGAATTCTTTGGCATCTTCCATCGAGATTGCACGTTGATCTTCAAGATCGGATTTGTTCCCGATGAGTATAATCACAATGTTCTTGTCTGCGTGACCTCTCAGTTCTTCTAGCCACCGTGGGATATGGTCGAATGTTTGACGCCGAGTCACGTCGTACACCAGCATCGCCCCAACCGCTCCTCTGTAATACGCACTCGTCACCGCTCTGTACCTGTACGGCACCGTTTTACTTCAAATCTCGAAACGAAACCAATTCGAAAATTTCGCACAATGATCGACATGAATAGTCAGAATTTGAAATCCGTATCCTCTCGGGGATATCAAATCTATGAGATCTAGTTCGAACAAAACGACGGATCCAACTGTTGCAAATGAAAAGCGAAAAATCAATTTTTAGAAAGTTTCACAGAGTTTTGAGATTACCGTTCTTGGCCTGCGGTGTCCCAGATCTGAGCCTTGACACTCTTATGGTCCATTACAAGTGTTCGAGTCTGGAACTCGACGCCGATGGTGGCTTTGGAATCCATGCTGAATTCGTTTCTCGCGTACCGAGACAGTATCTGCGACTTCCCAACCCCAGAGTCTCCGATCAACACCAGCTTGAAGACGTAGTCAATTTTCTGCGACGGGTCTCCGTATCCACCACTCGCCATCTTTTCACCGGAAATCCCCTGTTTTCAACAATGGTTCGAGTGTTGGAGCTATGAAGTAAAAATGATGGAAGAAGGGGAACTTTACATGCACTGATCATGTGCGGTCAAGTTTTGTGGTACTCTTTGACAGTGCTTACGTGTCGAATTATTATTCGTTAATTTCGAAAAATTTCCTATGTGTCAGACGCATGTTTTTCGGTGCTGTGCTGTTACTACTTAAAAATATAAAATTCTAACAAAACACGAGGGCCGAATCTAAATTAAAGAAAACATTGGACCTCTTCATTAAAGTCAGGCTTTCCCGTTTCTGAGGCCCATTATGAGACGACGACGTTGTACTAATCGAAAATCTGGATCGGTAATAAAGTGCCAAAGAGAGCTTTGATTCACCAAAGCAAACAGTAATCGTTGTTTACATTAATCTTGAGCGAGGAAGATTGTAAAGAAAAAAAATGGAGGACGAAGAGCACGAGGTTTACGGCGGAGAGATCCCTGATGTCGGCGAGATGGAGGTTCCCGATCCGGATATCGATATGTCCGCCGGCGATGATGACGCCGTTAAGGTCTGTGTCGCTCGATTTTGATTTGTATTATGATTTATGCACATGTAGTTCTGTTTGATTTTAAGTAATTCTGTGGTATTAGGAGCTTGATGAGATGAAAAGGAGATTGAAGGAGATGGAGGAAGAGGCTGCTGCTCTGCGCGAGATGCAAGCTAAGGTCGAAAAAGATATGGGAGCTGCTCAAGGTATGTGGCTATTTCGTTTCATCATTGCTCATCTGTTTTCGAGACGTTTTCTTGAGACTATCTTTTTAAAATTCGATAACCTTGTTAATGTCTGGATCAGTTTTTCGAGAATTGAAGTTCTTACTTAAATCTGTTTTGCTTCCTTTTTGCGAAATTTTGCCAATCTTTTAGATTCTGCTAGTACGGAAACAGATCAAGCAGTGAAGGAGGAGGTGGATGCTCGATCAGTTTATGTTGGCAATGTGAGAAAGCTTGTTTTCTACTTCACGTTATCTCTGCTCCCTTTATCTTGCTTGAATCGTTGTTTTATTTAAACGTTCTGTTTAATGCCATAGATATTATCACTTATGGATCTTAGTGTGGATTAACCTAGGCTGACTATTTTGTTGTCATAACTAGCTCCTTTGAGAAAGAACTGCTTTCAATTTAGAATCCAACCTCTCAATTTGTCTTATCTTCCGATTTTATCTCTTTTACCGTTATATTCAGTATCAAGATGGTTTCTCTAAACTTAATGTTCTAAAGTATGATTATTGTTCTGGTCTGATACAGTGGTATTCTGGTCTGATTATATTGGATATTGATCCCTGAAGTTTGCTGTGTGGTTCTGCTCTGATCATAGTTTGACTCGATGTCGTATATAATCGCAGGGTTGTTCTCATTGCTGAAGTTCTTATTAGTTCTGGCTTTTCAACTAGGTTTTGTGGCTGTCTAGATAATCTCCTTGTTGTAGTGTTGGAAAGCCTTGTTGTGGAATTTGATTATAAAAGTTAAAAAAAATTGTTGTGAAAAGAAAAGAAAAATAAAAGAAAGAGAAAAAAAAGTGAGAAAAAAAAAGGAAGATTGAAAAAAGAGTTAAAGCAGCAAATGTAGAAAAAAAGAAGATTGCATGAGTTTGAGAAATTACAAAAAAAAAGGGACTTATTGAGTGGAAAAAAGGACTCTTGAGTGAGTTGGGTGGGAGTAGAAATCAAGGTATTTGAAATCCTTGAGGAGATGGCCTTTGAAAAGCTGAATCAAGATGCTGGATGCTTTCAGTCTAGACCCAAAGCTGATGTCTGCAGAGAGGCTACTTGGAGCTCATACAGGTTTGGTTGTTTTGTGGATTTGGTGAGAGGCTGCTGTTTGATGCTCGCCTGTTATCATATATTTTGCCTCACGCTCTTAAATCAAGATTCTCATAAACTTTAATGTTCCTTGCACATCTTAGGGTCTAAAGTTTGCACTAGTTCATCACTCGGCTTCCCTTACTCCACTGGTTAACTTATTTATCTGTCATGTGCTCAATGACTTAAGATTTTCTTCCTGCAATCTAAATGCTTCTGTGTTATACTAAAACCACATGTTTCACTCTCCAGGTCGATTATGCTTGTACGCCTGAGGAAGTGCAGCTTCATTTCCAAACATGCGGAACAGTCAACCGGGTTACCATTCTGATGGACAAGTTTGGACAACCAAAGGGATTTGCTTATGTGGAGTTTGTTGAAGTGGAAGCCATGCAAGAAGCTCTACAACTGAATGAAACAGAGTTACATGGCCGTCAACTGAAGGTACCTTCTCTTCCTAAGACCAATACTGACCATGAAATGGACACTTCATTGATCTCAATATTCTCTTGGGTTTCATTTTTTCCCCTCATTTTCAGGTCTTGCCTAAGCGAACCAACGTTCCTGGAATGAAACAGTATCGTCCCGGGGGTTTCAACCCTTCAATAGGTTACCGGTTTCGCAGACCATTTGTGCCTCCGTATTTTTATTCTCCATATGGGTACGGGTAAGGGTTTAAATTCCGCAACTCTACCATCCATTATCACATATGGCTATTTATCTTTTTCTTCATCTTAGACAACAATGCCTCGTGCAGGAAGGTTCCTAGGTTCAGAAGGCCTATGCGATACATGCCTTACCAATAGAAACTGTTACCAGAATACGAGCCAGAGATATGGAGAACAATGAGAGAAAGAGAGAGATGAGTGATGCCTAGAGAATAGAGGTCTCTCCATTTCGGGCTTTACTTTACGAGTTTTTTTTAACTTCGCTTTTCTTGCACCTAAACTTTGTTATTTGATTCTATTATGTACACGGATGAGTTTATAAGCTTTGGTATCTTGAGATATCATAACATGTTTTGGTCCATATGCTCTGCTTTATTCAATACACCAAACCAATCATCTAATAAGTCCTAATTAAATTTAAAAAAAGGCAAGACTTTCACGTCAGGATTTCAAACCAATCATCTAAAGTCCTAATTAAATTGGAAGCTGAATGTTACAAAATAAGGATTTCAAATTTACAGTTTTTGTGACAATTCTATTTCCATGGAAGAGCTAAGGCGATTGGAGAAGTTTCAGAGTGTTGTATCAGCCATTACTTCTCACGGTTTACTTTCTTCTTCTTCTTCATCTTCCGATCCAGCCTCCTCTCGCTTCCTTTCCAGTCTCGTCCTTTTCCTGGTAACTCAAAAGCTTTAGGGTTTCGAATTAAATCTCCACTTTGACACTGTGATATGTACTGGGGAATTCTGATTTCATTTCTTCTTTTCAAGGTACAACCTTGCGGCGACCTCGATATTGGTTCGAAGCTCGGTCTAGCCTCTGATTTCTTACCGAAAGTAAACAAGCTAGATTTTTTTTTGTTTCTTTTTCCTTGAAATCTAGATTCTCCTTTTTCAAAGTGTTTTTTTTTTTTTGCTTCATTGCGTAGATAACTGGACCTTTCCTAGAGGAGATATCGATGTCAATTCAGGGAGACAATGAAACGAAACCTGTAGACACAAGTTCAGGTTCTGCTCTGCATGGACATCTCAGTTTTTGATGTTTCTATATCTCAGTTTCACCTCACTTGGTTTGCCTGGTTCGAAAATGTATTTGGCTGAGTGATTTTAAAACTAGTGTTCTATTGTGATAATGATGTCCTCAACACCTGTAGATTCTCTGCAATTTTGATTTGCTCCCAGAGTCTTTTTAGTAGGGTATATAACTGCGTTTCATTGTTGAATTTCCATGTAGCAGAGTCCCAAAAGAGTTATCTGAAGAGGAGTGTCATGGACAATATTGATCCTTACACGTCACAGAAACACCAACAAGTCGTGCCAATGCTCAGGCTTGATGCAATGAAAAGAGCAAACTCTACACTTGAGGATTTCGTAAGTCTTTCCTCATACAAGGCATTTCTATTTTCTGTCTTGGCTGGTTGAACTAGTTTAATAGATAACGGGAGATTGGTTTGTGTAAACAAACGAAGCAGGAAAATGAATGAAGAATAAACTTCTTTTCTGAGTTCTGCAACTTCTCTCTCTCTCATGCTTTCTGAATCTGCTGTCTTAGTAATTGCCCATATCCTGTTGCAGTCCAGGTCTTATTTCATGTTCCACGGCTTGGATATTAACGAGCCGCAGTCAATATTCAGATACTTACCTGTGCTTTCATTCACAGAGAGTTACATATATCAGGTAATAATTGTGTAATTTTCCCTCATTTCTCAGATTTTCCGTGTTCGGTAAAGGTGTACACTGCAACAATGTTACTGGAATCTAAGATGTTTTGTTTCTGTTAGATGGATGCTCTTAATGAGAAGATAGTCAGTGAATCAGCTTGTGGATCCCAAGTCACTGTAAGATGGCATGTGTGATATTTAGGAGTATGGGAATCACCAAATCGAATGTACAACCTAATGGTTTGAGATGCAGTATTCAAGTAATGGATGGAATGCTGAATCACGAGTTCTGTTTGAAACTGATCCATTGAAGCCGCTCGGAGATCTGCTTGAACGCGAGGGTCTTTTGACACAAAGGTATGTCCTTGAGATAACTTCCGTTTTTTACTGGTTTATCAGCAAAGGAACAAACAATAGCACTAATAGATATTAACTATTTCGTGGGTTAGAATACAACAAGAATTTAAGTCGGGAGAAGAGTATTGGGCGTTAGAAAGAAGGCTTTGCCGTGTTCTTTCAAACAAAAACAAGGTAACTGGTCAAGTTATGTCGTCAAACATTTTTTTTTTTGCTACTGTTTCATCTGATATCATTAAAGATCTGTCTGGAAGATGTGATGAGAGCAATTCATTTGAAGTCTTTTGATTACCGGGTGTTGAATCTTCTACTATACAAGTTGAGAGGAGAAGAGGTAAGTAGTACATTCATGTGCCTTTTCTTTTGTTTCTTTTCTTAATGTGAACTCATCATATTGAATCCAACATTTTCCACTTCTAGTATTTGATACATGTCTTGTCTTCTTACTTTGGAACTGTGGAAAAAGGTGAATGAGTTGCATATGGACTTCTTGTCAATCTCAGAGTTCCTGGTTGAAGTAGCTGATGATCTGTACGCTTTCTTTGAAAACATATCCATCTACCCATAAACACAAAGTTTGAATCTTTCAGAATCTGAGTAGTTTTTACTTTTGCAGGTTCGATTACGAGGTTAGCTACACACTCAAAGGACAGAATTCCCGTGTCATCGCGAATCTCTACTGATCATCATAACTCGACATGGTTTCTTGTAGGACGATGTGGTCGAGAACCATTTCAATGTATTACGAATGTTTGTGGGGATATTCGGCCCATCGAATGCACCCACTGAGCTGGTAAAGAAACGTTAATAACTACAATCAGTCAACGTTTCTCTCAGAAGATCTTTAGAGCTCATTTGTTTCTCATTTTTCACAGGCGAAGCAGATATCGGAAGCTGAAGAGAAGTATGAAGAGATAATGAAATCGTTGGATCCACATTTGTCTTCTAATTACAAAAGAAGATGTGAAGAAGCTACTAAAGAAGGTGCTAATATATTGTCCAAATTCCATTTTTTTCTTCTTCTGTTGACTTACTACTGACTTCAATGATAAGAAAAAAAAAGCTTAGGTGGGAAAGTTTGTGGGCATTCGCTGGGAACATGGAACATACCGGCGGTTATTTCCGACGAAGAAGCATACCGAGCTGCTCAACGATAAAGTTAAGGTTATATACCGGTTTAAACCGGGAATGGGAATTGGGATGAGTAACGTTTTTCATCGTATCCTTCGCCGAGACTTGGTTAGGCGTAAGCTTGTGACCAAACAGCTGAGCCGTCTCTGAAAGGGAAAATATGTAGAAGAGTGTGGGACCTACGTATCAAATAGGAGACAAAAGCCATTGACTCTTAGAATTGGATCATGCGATAATAATTTCAGCTTTTTTTGTTTTTTGTTTTTTTTTTTTTGCGATCTCGTTGTGTTACTGTGAAAGTCTTCTCTTTCTGCAGATCTTTTTTTTTTTTTGGCTACACAATCTTTATTTTGTGTGACTTCATTTATTTGTTTATTTTTAATTTTTTTTTAAAGAGAGAATTGCGACAAATCAGGTAACGTGGAAAAAGATAGTCACAGAACGCATTACGCGTTTCTACGGAACGTAAGTTTCACAACCTTTATTTCGTATATTGTTATTTTCCCACATTGTTCAATTTTATATTAGAAACGATAACTTCAGAATTAAAATGTTCCAAATTTCACGGGTTTAGGTATATGGATATTCCCTGTCCTTCCTGAAGAAACAAAACAAAAACAGAAGCTTTTCCTGGCTTCTTTTATTTCTCACTTATTTTATACATTTATTTCAAATCATAGTATTATTCAAGAAGCCATACAAAAGTCGATGCCACCATAAATTGTAAACGAATTTCTCCTTTATAGTTTGGTATGAGCAGTATTTAAGGTTCATCAATGGTCCATTCCGTATACTATTCCTTTTAATTATTATGTCGACTAAAACTTTGTTTATTTATAAATAGTAATCATTTGGGTGGTTACTTATTAGTAGTACTTTTACTCCAAGAATTAGAAATAATAGGAAAACTTCATTTCTTTTAGAAGAACTAATTTTCTAAAAATGATAAAGAAGATGAAACATAAATTACTAAATATTCAAGAAATAAATGGACAGTATAAATAGAAATGGAGTAGTAATGAAGGAGAAAACGATAGTGCGAAAATTGTTGGAAAACAGCAGAAAGAGACGCATAGATGTCCAGAAAAAAAAAAAAAAAAAGAAGAAGACACGCATATATTATAGACTTATAGTATTAAGGGCACAGATGCTCACATTTAATAACATAAGATTGTTGAAAATATTAAATGAAGCAGTCAAAGTGATAAAAATGTGGCATCCTCCTTCTTCTTCATTTATTGATCTTGGAATTTTTTACCTCTTTCCCCCTTTTGTTTGAAAATCAAAACTCAGTCAAAGTGTGGTTTTTACTACTATTGCTACTCAGTAATTTCCCTATTTGCTTACTATTTTCTGATGATAAAAGGAAACCCAATCTCCCTATTCGCTTACTGTTTTCTGATGATAAAAGAAACCCAAATTTGATGTGTCAGTAAATAGATACTTACCGGTGAAACGTTATTCGACTCTTTTTTACATTTATTGGGAAAGCTAGCATTAGTAATCAATCACTGTGGAACCATGAAACAATTAGAAGTCTAAAGCTCTTGGTATTAGCATATTGACTCGAGATTCAAGGATGCTGGTTGATTAAATGGAGTCAATGGACGATGAACAAAAAGCTTTAACTATTATGGTCCTCCTCATTAGTGTGGAGATACAACCAGCACAAATGAATTGAAATTCAGCTTATGCAATACACAAACTTATATTTAAATGTAGTTTTTTTTGTAAATATAGTAAACTGTAGTTGGTTTAAGCAATTAGAAGATCTTCCATCAATTTTTGAATCCGAATGCAGTGTTCTTTTTGAAGAAAAACAACAAGTTTTATTAAGGACACATTAATAGTTCTTTATAAAAAAAAAGAAAGAATTTATGAACTCAAATTTGAAAAATTAAATTATATATTCCTCTTCAGATCGAAAGCGTCTTTTAGAAGCTCAATACTGATGACAAAACATTAAGTTATTGTATCTTGCAATTTATTTTAGATCCGATGAATTGAACCAAGGACATTGAACAAACAAGAAAACAAAACAATAACGAAATAGAAGAAAACACATAACCAACGAATAATATTTGTGAAAACACATATATCAGTTCATTATAATTAAGAAAGATATATATAGTTACGAGACTTTTAAAACTAACAAACACAGGTAAGGGCATCTCCAAAGGCAACCTCAAATCTTCAAATATGAGGTTTTGTTCAGGCAACATTAAAACCTCAAATTTTGAGGTTTTGAAGTGGGAAGCCCTATACCTCATATTTGAAGATTTGAGCCTCAAATTTGAGGTTACAGTTTTTTATTTACATTTTAGTCCTTAAAATTATATATTTCATAAATAATCATTTTATTTTTAATATTTATCATTTTAATCCAACAATTTTATATCTTATTAATATTTTACATTTATCTTTATAAATTTTATATTTGCATATAAAATAAAATTAAAAATAGAAACTAAAACTAAAATTGATCATATTTGAAAGCATTATGAAAATAGTTTTGTTGAATAATCTGGTGAAATATAATCATTTATAATTTAGTTTTTGTGTTTTCATTATTATGTTTTTGTAATTTTATCTTATAATATAATGTTTCTGTGGTTTGTGATATTTTTTATGTATGTTTTCGGTTATTTATAAAATTATATAATTTTTATTGATAATGATTAAAAGTAAGGATTATAGTGCAATATTTTAAATTTTATGAGATTAGATTTGAGGTTTTGCTTTTGGAGACAAACACCATCAAACCTCAAAGTCAACCTCAAATTTGAAGTTGAGATGCTCTAAGAGACTTTTACCACTAACAAACACAATTTGGCTAACAATGCTTATTTATTGACCCAATTTTTACCAGGGATTTTATAATGAGATCTCATTAAACCCGGATTAGTCGTTAGTACTAGCGAAACCGAAATGTGAAGTCACCGTCAATCAATCAAATAAATTAACAGAGCATGTTTTGTTCCAATATGAGATGTAAAAATTTGGTCAAAACTCAAAACTAATGAACAATGCAAAGGAGTTAAACGAAAATTAAAAAAGAATAAAACGAAATGAAAAGAGAGAAGAGAGGAAAGATTGAAGTGACACATAGAAAGAAGGCTAGTTTCTGAGTCCTCTCCTCTGATATGTATCCTCCTATTCTGTCTCCCCCACTCTGTCTTGTTCCTTTCACCTTCCTTTCGAAATTACCATTTTACCCTTTCTCTCTCTCACCTTAAAATTTCTCCATCTCACTCATTTCAAACCTCTGATCCAAAAGCTTCTCCTACTTCATCTCTCTGTTTTGCTTTCAAAGTCTTGAGATTTCAATAGACCCACATGAAGTTTCGTCCTGTCTGATAATTCCCGAGTTCTAAAAAACAAAAATGTTCACTATTTACAATACTAGCCTCCTTCTCTTCCTCCTCCTCGTTTTCCTCTCTCCACAAGTCTCATCCTTTCTCCAACCTGTCCAGCCTCCGAATTCTCCTCAAGTAATCAAACCCATCTTTCACTCAATTCCCTCAAATCAATTCCAAAATCAATCACTTTCCTCCATACTTTCATTTCGACTGATCTAAAGTTGTTTGCTTTTTTTTTATGATTCAGGTGGTTTTGGTTGAAGATAAAGCAAGATTAGGTTCGACACCACCGAGCTGCCACAACAGATGCAATGGCTGCCATCCTTGCATGCCCACTCAAGTTCCCACTCTCCCGAGTCGCTCCCGATTCACCCGAGTTGACCCGTTCTCCGGCCGATTCGTCCGGCCTCCTTCGTCTCTAACCTCCGTCCTCGATCAGTACTCTAATTACAAACCCATGGGATGGAAATGCCACTGCAATGGCCACTTTTATAACCCTTAATTCATATATCCTCTGCTTCCATGATCTCTCTCCACTTTTTTTTTTTTTATTACTTAAAAAATTGATTTTCTATTTTTGAGAGCAGATGTGTTCTTTGCATTCTTTGTAAATGTAGGGCTCGATTTGTAAATAATCAAAAGTTCTATGATTATTTTTGATGAACATCAAAACCGCTAGCATTGGCATTGGATATGGTATCGCACCGATAATTGCATTTGCAGAGAGCTACGGAGAGATTAGAGATAGCTGTAACTACTTACTTGCGTCATTCATTTCTTTCAACACTTTTTTTGCTTTTAATTTTCCAATTCATTAAATTAGAGATATCTGTCTTCTTTGATTCCTTAACGTTTGCATGTTCACAATTTATTTTCATCAGCTTTTTCAGCTTTTAGTTTTTTTCTACTGACAAATCCTTTGAATAAATCCTTTTGAGCAAAAAAACGATAATTAACTAATTACTTCACGTTTTGTTTTTAGTGAATTAGATTTGATTTGAATGGAACAACACACTGTCAAAATTTGATTAATCAATTTTGTCTCACCTGCCTCGATGTCCTACAAGTCACTGTTTGAGCCTCTTCTCGTGAATCTTCTGTAGACCCATATCTGAGTAAGGCTTCGTAGTACAATTATTAACATCGCTTTAATTTTAATTGACTTTGTTGTTTTATTATAGCTCTACAATGAGTGTAACGATGGTGCAACGTTTTTCATCATGAAACAAAAAGTTAATTATCTAATCTACGTTGAATTTTGTTTGTTCATACCTCGGATGCTGCTTCATGTTTATAAATTTGCTTTATCAAATCAAAAGGAAAAAACAGAATGCATTAAACTTTTGTTGAACCAAAAAAAAAACAGAATGAAGTAAAAGTCATGATGAGTTTCGTTTTATTAATAAAGCACATAAACAAACGCCGTGTTAAGCGGAGTTTAGTTTATTTTAATAATCGGCGGCGACAGCAGAGAGAGAGTCAAAGAGTTGTTGGGGTTTGGAGAGCATCAGCATGTGATCCCCACCGTCGATCGCGTAGACTTTTGAGACGCTGAAGTTATCAATCATCCAACGAATAAAATCACACGGAATGGCTTTGTCTTCACTACCCATTATGTAAACTCGTCGCACCGAACCATACCCTTCCTCACTAAACTTTTCTTTCTTTGATAAATCCTCATTAAAAAACGACCCTTGTCTATGCAACATTTTTGCCAGCTCGTAATCCTATTATAACACGCAAAAATTAAATCATCATCTCGAAAGATTATACATACTATATAGGGAAAGGGAACCAATATTTTCAAGCATATTCTTTTAGCATATAGTCTCTCTAGATCATCTAGGGCCAGTTTGTTTTAGGTGCTTATAGAGTGGTTTCGGAAAACATAAATTATTTGTCCCAAAGCGAGTTTAACTTATAGTTTTGTGGTTAGTAAATACCTGAACAGGACATTCTTGGTAAAGACGATTCTTCATGAATTTAGGTCCCATCTTTAACAAACTCATTGTTCCATTTCTTGTTTCATGGGACGAAAATTCACAGTCTTCTAAACCGCCAGACATCTCCATATACTTTTTCATCAACAAGAACAAATAATTAATTTTCTCAAATACTATGAAGTTAGTTTCAAAGTGGGTATTAATTTATTGTAAACCTTATCTAGCACGTAAGAGGGCACGTGAGTTGTGTCGGGCAAGAAGGCGTTGACGAACACAAGAGCCTTAACTTTCGCCGGGAATTTGTCGGCGGCGAGAGCAACGTTAATGCCTCCGAAGCTGGATCCAACAAGAATCACCTGTTCATTCTCTGGGAGAGCTTCGATGGTTTCGATCAACGGTTGAGAATATTCGTCGAAGGATTCAACGGCCTGGATTGGCCTTGGGTCGATCCCGGAGGCAGCTAGTTCGACGGCAGTGACGCGGTGGCCGGCGGCTTCAAGGAGGGGTTTGAGCTTGTACCAGATCCAAGCTCCATGAAAAGCGTTGTGAACTAACACAAAGTGTTGTTTTCTCTCCATCGACGATTTTTGTTTGTTTATTGGTTCTTAGATTGATTGAGAATACATGGGGAAATGAGGTTACTATATAGTTGGATAGAGTTCACATGCGTTACGATTTTTTATGATTTTTTAATGTTATATGACATACGTCGAGTCTGTTGAGATATATAATCATAAAAATACATCAGTCTTATAGAAATGTTTGATTTCTTTATTGGTGTGTGAATGTGTTTTTGGAGGTATAGGTTTATTTCTTGATGTATAAACTAGACGAGACGTCTGTTTGTTTGTATACGAATTAGTGATGTACGCGATCAGTACGTGTCATATACAGTACACGTAGAAATAATAAATACGCGTACCTATAATTAATCCAAGTATCGGGCATGAACTAAACATGATTATAGTTTATATAATCACACTCCAAATATCATTATCAAAGTTAGTTAAATTAAATTATAATTACAAGTTGCACGCAGAAAAAGCAGTTCGTGGACCAACATCGGATTTTTCTTCAGACATCGCCATTAGCGAGAGTGATGATAATTGCGATTTGCCAAACAAAAGTCTACAGAAAATTAATCGAAAAGACAAAAGCTTTTCACTTTCTCTTTCAGCTCTCTCTGTTTTGTTCTCTTGGTTGTATCTCCCTGAGTGAATCTTTTGAGCATCGATTTTTTTCTTCTTTTTTTTTTGGGTGAATTTTGGGATTTTTCTTCTCCGGTACGAGGTTTTGGTTTCATATTCTTTCCTTTTGCCGTTGCCTAAATCGGCCTTATTCATGGGATTTGAGAAAATTGGTCATTAATCGTTCTGGGAAACTGAGCAGGTTCATGTTCTAGCACATCCCCCTTTGACTCTTTTACTATGCGAAGACTTTCCGTTTGAATAGTAGTGGAATCTATCCTTGTTATCTAATTTCTGTATACCCAAAGCTCTTAATTGTAGCTATTTCGGTTGAATTTGTCAATTAATATTCCGCTGTTATGTGTCAGATCCATTGAAAGTAAGAATTTTTTTTTTTTTTTGTTTCTGACGTTGTTTAACGTTTCTTGTAGATGGAACAAGCCCAGTTTATGAGATGAGATGTTCAACTTCCAGAAGATGGCTATGGTTTTAATTGTGTTGATATTTGCCTGTTTATTGTCATTTGTGTCACCAGATGCTCAAGGTGATGCCCATTTCTTGGTTTTCTTTTTGTTTATTTTGTTAAGATGTTTATGTATAATGTAAGAATTCAGATCTTGGAGGAATTGACTTATGGTTACTCTCTTACTCTTTTGGTTTCCCACATTTCAGGGGATGCGCTGTATGCGTTGAGGATATCGTTACGTGCATTGCCCAATCAGCTAAGTGACTGGAACCAGAATCAAGTGAATCCTTGCACTTGGTCCCAAGTTATTTGTGATGACAAAAACTTTGTCACTTCTCTGTAAGTTGATGATAACATTCTGAACTAGTAACTGTTGTTTCCATACGAGTTCTTTTTGTTTACATTTATGGCATTTGTAACCGCAGTACCTTATCAGACATGAACTTCTCGGGAACCTTATCTTCACGAATAGGAATCCTTGAAACTCTCAAGACTCTGTAAGTGCCCTAGAGTAACGTTTCTTTCTGTCTGAGATCCTACAACATGTTTTTTTTCTGAGCATTTTGTTTCTATATATAGTACGTTGAAGGGGAATGGAATCACGGGTGGAATACCACCAGACTTTGGAAATCTGACTAGCTTGACCAGTTTAGATTTGGAGGACAATCAGCTAAGTGGTAGTATACCATCCACTCTTGGTAATCTCAAGAAACTTCAGTTCCTGTAAGTAGTTTTGCCTCCCAGTGCTTTTAAATCTTGCACATGTTTTTAAACATTTAAGACATAGAAAAGGATTGTGTGTGTTTTATTCACCGTTTATTGGCCAAGCAGGACCTTGAGTAGGAACAAACTTAATGGGACTATCCCGGAGTCACTCACAGGTCTTCCAAACCTGATAAATCTGTATGTTACTTTGTTCTCTGTGTTTATGCTTCCCATCGTTTTTGAATTATTTCCTTGTCTTGTTCACATTGTTTGAAAAATACGTTTTACAGTTTGCTTGATTCCAATAATCTCAGTGGCCAGATTCCTCAAAGTCTATTTGAGATCCCGAAATACAAGTAAGTTCGACTACTTTAGGTGAATCTTGTTTTTTTTTTTTTCATTTCTTTTAGCAGTAATCTGATATGGGTTTATCGACTATAGTTTCACGGCAAACAACTTAAGCTGTGGTGGTGGTCAACCTCACCCTTGTGTATCTGAGGTCGCTCACTCAGGTAACTACGTTACTGTAAATTTCAACCGATTCAAAAGTATGAAAGAATCTCTGTTCTGCTCTGATAACATTTAGTCCGTGGTGCCTAATAGGTGATTCAAGAAAGCCAAAAACTGGCATTATTGCTGGAGTTGTTGCCGGAGTTACAGTTATCCTCTTTGGAATCTTGTTGTTTCTGTTCTGCAAGGATAGGCATAAAGGATATAAACGTGATGTGTTCGTGGATGTTGCAGGTCTCTAATATACCCATTGGAAACCTTTTTTTTCCACCGTATATGATTTTTTGATATGTTATGATGATGAATTTGATATCCACATTTGTGAAATAAAGATTGCTAAAATCTTAAAACTTTATCTATATTTCAGGTGAAGTGGACAGGAGAATAGCATTTGGGCAGCTGAAAAGATTTGCATGGAGAGAGCTCCAATTGGCTACAGATAACTTCAGTGAAAAGAATGTGCTCGGTCAAGGAGGCTTTGGGAAAGTTTACAAAGGAGTGCTTCCTGATAACACCAAAGTCGCTGTCAAGAGATTGACAGATTTCGAAAGTCCTGGTGGAGATGCAGCTTTCCAGAGAGAAGTCGAGATGATAAGTGTAGCTGTTCACAGGAATCTACTGCGTCTTATCGGCTTCTGCACAACTCAAACAGAACGCCTCTTGGTTTATCCCTTCATGCAGAATCTGAGTCTTGCACATCGTCTCAGAGAGATCAAAGCTGGAGACCCGGTTCTTGACTGGGAGACCAGGAAGCGGATTGCCTTAGGAGCGGCTCGTGGTTTTGAGTATCTTCACGAACACTGCAACCCGAAGATCATACATCGTGATGTGAAAGCAGCGAACGTGCTACTAGATGAAGATTTTGAAGCAGTGGTTGGTGATTTCGGTTTAGCCAAGTTAGTAGATGTTAGAAGGACTAATGTGACAACTCAAGTTAGAGGAACAATGGGTCACATTGCACCAGAGTATCTATCAACAGGGAAATCATCAGAGAGAACAGATGTTTTCGGGTATGGGATTATGCTTCTTGAGCTCGTTACAGGACAACGCGCGATAGACTTTTCGCGTTTGGAGGAAGAAGATGATGTCTTGTTGCTTGACCACGTATGTATAATCATATCACCTTATAAATGGCTTCTCTCAAGCTCTATTTACAATAGTCTTTTGTATTTTGTTTTGTTTTTGGGTTTGGACAGGTGAAGAAACTGGAAAGAGAGAAGAGATTGGGAGCGATTGTAGATAAGAACTTGGATGGGGATTATATAAAAGAAGAAGTAGAGATGATGATACAGGTGGCTTTGCTTTGTACACAAGGCTCGCCGGAAGACCGACCAGTGATGTCGGAAGTTGTACGGATGTTAGAAGGAGAAGGGCTTGCGGAGAGATGGGAAGAGTGGCAGAACGTGGAAGTCACGAGACGTCATGAGTTCGAGCGGTTGCAGAGGAGATTTGATTGGGGTGAAGATTCAATGCATAACCAAGACGCCATTGAATTATCAGGTGGAAGATGACCAAACATCAAATCTTCATTTTACTGTAAAGTTTCCAACTTTTTTGTTGTTTCGTTTATCTGGTTCGGCGGCGGAAGTGTATAATATGTTTTGTTTCATTAGCTATCTTTTGACATTGAATCCTTCGAACAGAGTTTTGTTATTGACATCCCTTGGAGTCGTGCAAAATGCCACTAGAGATTTGCCAAAAATTATCATGATAATCGATTTCTTGATCTAATGATAATATTATAAGAATCGTAATATGACAAAACCCAGTATTAACGTATTCAGATTAAGTAGTTACATCTGCTAGTGAGTAGTGACCGTGTAAAGGGAAAAACTAATAAATACGTCGTAGACATATAACAACTTGAGAAGTAGGAAACAATGAGTTTCAATAATACTGTGCATTTTTCTTGAATGATGAGGAAAAAACCTTGATTTTGCAAGTTTCAAACTCTCATTTTATGCATGCGTTACATGAATAAAACATGTATGTAAATATTTACTATTTAGGGATAGCAGTGATCAAAATTTTTTTTTTTTTTTATCCTCGATTGTGAGGGTTTAAATCTAGATAATGATGAACTGAATACACAAATTAATAGACTGTATCTGGTTAATCGATGTATAAAACAAAAAACTGATTAAAATATCCAAAATATATTTAGATTATTAAAAAAAAAACAAGTGGACAAAAGAAAATGGATAAATAGCATATATTATGTCATTATCCATTTGGATACGGATGAAGTACAATACCCTAATTTTTCGGGGGAATTCGATCTTTGCCCAAGAAGGCAAAAGACTCAATGAGTGAATTATTCTTTAACCTATAGAGAGATCACTTTATCTGACATCACATATTTATTTAATTATTATCAAGTATCCTACTTGGCCTTTTTATATTATCGTTAGCCAGCCGATCACATGCTTCTTCATTTCTTTCATTATTTGTCCTCGGCAAACCAAAAAGATATAGATGATCATAAATATAAACTTCATCAACATGATAATGAAACAAATCAACATTTAAACTCTGTATAGTGTTGGCTTTAGTTTCGACAACTCGACATGTGAAACCCACCTGTTCTTCACATGTAAATTAGCATACTGTATCTTTATTTTGTGTGCTCTCTGCTTAATTATTATTACTAATAGTAAAAATCAAACATAAATTAAAGATACACAAACTTGGATAACATCTATAATTCATACATGATTCGAGTGCTGTAAACAGGGAAAGTAAAACAAAAGATCCAAATAATTAGTAAAAAAACCCTAATTACAACTACAAGTGATCCTCCACTTCACAAAATCATCTATATATATATATATATATATATATATATAAAACTCGGCGATGGGTACAAACTTATGCTAAAGAACAATGATAATAACACGCTGTACATTCTACAACATGAGCACACATATATCATGTGTCTACAATATATATAGATACATATATATGAAAATAAATTCTTCAACAAGCACAGTCCCAAGAGTAAATTCGATTTTGAGTTCCTCAAACAAACCTGAAAAGACAAAGGCTAAGCAATGTCGGAAAATATGGAATCATCCAATAGGTGATCAGGCCATGCAGCTGAAGCTGAAGCTCCTGATTCTTGACAGCTTGAAGAGGTGAGATTGCTATTGACATCTTCAATAACATATTGGTTTCTAATCAGATCATCACTCACAGCAGAGGAAGGATCAAGAGAAGGTAGCAAACTCTGAGTTGAGCTGGAGGGATCTGAGAGCCAGATTGGAGATACGGGTAGGTTGGTTTCTCTTTGACTGAAGAACTTGAAGTGATTATCATCAGGATTTTGTGGGAAAACAGGTGATGGTCCGATGTTGGAATTTAGGGTTTTCAGGGATGGTAAGCTGTTGAAGTCCTGAAGATAGGAACCGAGGTCGAGATTGTTGCTGGGGGTATTGGAGGTTTCTTTGAAGGAGGCAATGGAGTTAAGGAGTCCGAGAGTGTCAAAGTCATTAGGGTTAATGTTATTATTCATGGAAGGTGGTTGAAGAAGGTATTGGAACAATTGGAGTTTGGCCATCTCGGTTTGGAGTTTCAGCATAGTTTGCTCTTGATCAGTTGGAAACTGTTGCTGCACATCAACAATACCTCTTAGGTTAGATGAGAGAGAAATGAGCTGAGATAAGCTGGAGAAGATATCGGTTCTTGGGCGATGAGTCATTGGGTCAAAACCCATCTGAATCAGCTTTTTCTTCAAATGGGTGTTCCAGAAATTCTTGATCTCGTTGTCTGTTCTCCCCGGTAAGTGGTTTGCAATCGTTGACCACCTTATAAAATTATCATCAAAAGCAATCAGTATAAGATAATTTGGTACACAAAGCCGTTGACTCTTAAATCAAAAGAACCAGATGATTACTTGTTTCCAAGAACTGCATGAAGATTCAAGATAGTCTGTTCCTCGTCCTGAGAGAATTTCCCTCGCTTGATGTCAGGTCTCAAGTAGTTCGTCCATCTTAGCCTGCAACTCTTTCCACACCTGTTAAGACCTGCACAGAGAAAATGGAAAGATATACAGTCACATACTCAGATTCATAAAACTTTATTAAAATAAGCTTTTAACAAGAACACAAAGCAGTACCAGCAAGCTTAGGAAGAGCTCTCCAGCTACTATGGCCATGTTTTTGGACATAGTTGACAAGTTTCTCATCTTCGTCAGGCGTCCAAGGACCTTTCTTGAGACCAGAGTCATCACTGCGAGGAGATCTTCCCATGTTCGCTGATCTCCTGTATCTAATTAACAACGGTCTCTTCTCTTTATTCTTCCTCCTCTTTACTTGTTATTTCTCTGAGATTTGGTTGCTTGCCTCCTCCCTTCACAACCACTAACTGCTTCTTATTTCTATTTATATTAAACCTAGCACCCTTTCCTCTTCATATCATGTCCATTCACCACGTGCTTCTTTCCTATTCGCGTACCAAAACAACCATGTCACTTTCACCTTTCAATTCCATTTTTCTATCATTTTTTTTTTCTTTTGTTTTGTTCTCTCACATACGCATTTCCTTACCAATGCGAAAAAATCATTTCTTCTTCTTGTCTCAAAGCAAAATCAGTATCATCTCGGGAACAGCCGTCTCCAATGGACATACCAATTGATGTCTTATTTGTCTTTAATTGGGAAGCAGTTCATTAGTAGCTATCACTATAATAACCCTAGTGCCAAATCCTGCATTTGTCAAGGAGAATAACAACACATAGTTATTACTTGGTCTCATCACATTCCAATTATTCAAATGTACATATTTTCAATAATTGAGACGATGATATAGGTTATTTGAGGTTCCTGCTACTGAAAGATTCCACAAAAAAGAACACACAGATCAACCAAAACAAGAAGGTTTTATCATCATCTTTCTTATGAAATCCATAAAAATCTTCTCCGAGTAGGTGATGATGGAGGAATAGGGCAATAAAAGGAATTTGACAGGAGGAAGAAACAGTTAGTTATATTTTTTAATCATTGCAGACAAATAAAAAGAGAAAGGATTTGAAATAGAAGTCAGCGCCAACAACACATGGCAACAAAAGGGTGGCTAAAAAGACATCTCCTCTGGCACGCAAAATAGGTTTCCTCGCATCATCCATTTCCGTGGCTTATTAGTTATTACTTATTTGTATATTTAATATTTCATATGCAGAGCTATATATATATATTATTACTGTATTTTTTTCTTAATATCAGTTAAAAGCTAAGATCAACCAACCAAACAAAATTCAAGCAATGAACCCTAAGAGCTACTGTCTCTGAAGATGAAAAAATGTTTCAAGAATATGAAACTAAAATAAGTCCGGAGAGATTATGAAGAAAATAAAAGATGCATAGTGGGTCTAATATGACTGTAATTTCTTGTTAGACACATTATGAGAAAGTCCTGTTATAGAAAATTTAGGTAATACTTGCAGAGATTTCCATCCCCTAAAATGATTTTTCTTTGAAGAAAAGATACCAAATGAAGAAACGATACCAAATGAAGAAACCTGCAACAGGAAAAGGATATCATCATTACAAGAAAACTTATCGACATATGTTTCGTATCATTTTGTGGCATTAAATACTATTTGTAACAAAACAAAATATTGTTTTCACAGATTATGCTAATAAGAACAGCATCATGGAAAGTTTTAGGGAAAATTACTTGTAACAGTGGAAAACGTTACCATTACATGAAACTCCATAGTAATAGTTCTTATGGGTAAGTAACCAACCATATATCATATTCTAGCTCAATTCAACGAGGATTCTATTGCTGAAAATTTAGAAAGTAATTAATAGTAATGGAGAGACAAATATGGAGGACAAGGTAACAGTGGTAAATTTTGGTATTATCAAAATAAAAACTTACTGTTGATGATGGTGACAAGGCTTGATGGGACAGATTTTGACCATTAGGGAGGAGCTGGTTAGGGGAGAGGTGGGTGCACAAAATTATCTAAATCTCCACCATATTTTGAAACCTAAAAGACTTTCTCCCTCCGCCTCAGTATTGCAACCAATGGCAGATCTTGTCTTTTTCTTCTGTGTCTTCTATATAATGAAGATCACAGATTTCGTGCAAAGTTCCAAATTGAAAGACATAATATCAAGAAGCAAAATTTAATTAAGAAATTAAATATAGAAAAATCAAACAAGAGGATGTTTTACCAAATGAGGGTGTCAAATCTGTCAGTTTCTAGAAGATATTTTAGTGTATGCAGTAACTGTAGGTGAAAATGAAATATGATACTCTGAACATCTTCTGTATGGATTTGCAGTACCATATTGTCTTATACATTCACTGCAAGAATAACCACATACGAATACGCATGAGGCTTATCAAATTAACATTGCCTACAAAGAAAACTTTCCTGAGCATAGTTTTTGAATTATAGACCAGCATTTAAGTAACTATATTTGTAATATTTTCATGTAGAGAATGTAGAGCCATATTAGAATACAATTAATAAAAACTATCATAGTAATCTCATGAAAATCCAGGGAAGCATCCGGATGTCAATTATATAGTTTCATTTCATGTATCCAATATTCCAAAATTTAGATAATTCCAGGAGTTTAGAGTGGTTTAAGCCTATACCATTATCATCATACTAGGAAAGATAAGTCTACGAATATCAAAAAAGAGTTTACAAAAAAAAGCAGGGAATTCGTAGTATTAATTAAATTCGGGGAAAGACGAATGAGAATTGCTTGTTGAATTAGGGTTCCACGCAGAGTGGACCACACAGTCTCGAGTCGAGGAAGCAGGTACAGAAAATACTAAAGAATTAAGGAAGGCGCTAGGTTCTTACAAAAGTATTTATTATGAAATATATGTGATGTCACTTAAACCGTTCTTTTCCTCTAATTAAAAAAAAAACTTGGTTGTAAATGTCAGCTAAACAACTGAATTGCTTCTTCTCCTAAGTTTCTAACCAACGCGTCTAAAAGCTCGGACTTTCTATGCCATGAATGAACATATTTAGCGACTTTATACCTATTGTATGTAAATCTGAAAAGCATGACAGGAGTTCATTTACAGGAATACACCTTTAATCAACCTATACTGAGCATTTTTCAACCAACTTATAAATTCCACAAAATCGATATAAGGTAAGAGAAAACACACAATACGGTGCGTAGGATTTATCTGCAGTAATACTAAACTCTTGAAACTTACACAAGTCAGAGAGAACCAAGATGCTCGTGTTTTGGATATCATGAGGTTCCTGAAAAATAATAAAAAAATGAGACACATGTGTAGCATCACACACATACGCATGCAAACGTACGTATATATACGTATATATAATCTTCAACATCCTCCTTTTCAACTGTTCACATAGTAGCAACCTTAGTGGAATACAGAAATGGGGCCAGCTTTATCTTTATCAGATCAAATTAATCGTGGTAACGTATAGAAAGGATTACTTTTATGTGATAGTGGTCTAAAAGGCATTAATCTTTACAATTCAATATAATATTCAAATCCCGAATATGAAAAACAAGAAATCACCATTCAAAATCTTCTTGCTTACTCTTCATTTAGAATACTAAATTAACACATTCTTTTCTCAACCGTTACGCCCAACATTGCTGGAGCATCTGGTAGAAAAAGCATCGTCACAAGAAACCTAACAAATCAAAAGGAAGAACGAGAATGTCTACCATCAATTTTATATTATATGAACTAAATTGTGTGGTTTCAAGTGTTGTTTTTGTAAACTATCAACCACTAAATGTCATTTTAAGTCGCTGAACTTCTTTTGTCGTGGACATCGTTTTACAGCTCAAGATAGTAAAATACATGGATGCTAACCATGGAAGAATATGCCATCCAAGAGCTCTACATTGGATGCAACAATGGTATATATCATTTAGCAAGATATGTTTATAGCAACAAGGATAAACAGATGAAGAGGGATTTGAGTAAAGTTTTTACTAAATGCAAATCTACAGAAGAAAACTATAGAGGAATGCGTAATTAATGCGTTCTCTCCTACGAACAAAATTACTCGAGGACAATCTAGGTCGTACTTGTAGTTGCGAATTTGAAGATGCATGCACTTAGTAGTTTGTCCTACAAAATCTAGAGGAACGCAATATATGGAACGCAGAAATCAACAATCTATCAGATTCAGAACTTCAACGAAAATGAAAAGAAGATATGATTTCACGATGTCGTTGTTGAATAAGTTTCTCTATTTCTTCAATACTAAGCTGAGCCTTAGAAAAATATACCGCCATATGAAGTTCAGAATTTTATTTTACCAGGAATTTCAAAACGATAAAATCTCTTTTCCGTTTCTGTTCAAGAGTTCTTATGTATCTCCACGCCCCTTTAAGGTATTCATATAGTTTTGCTTTCTGGGACTATTCCTGCCATGGAAAATAGTTTCATCAGACACTTTATCTTGAGCTCACTGCAAATCTAAAAAGAGTGTTATACTACTTAAAAGCATGTTTAGGATAATTTAATCTCAGATTTGTTAAACTCAATTTAACAAAGCCCAAACTGAAATCACCATATAGAAAGCCCATGAGCTCAGAGGCAAGAAGCAGTAGCTATCAACTAATAGGAAATTAGTCATGCAAAGCTAATTAGGCATCGTAAACTAATAAAGCAAGCCAGCTATGTGTTTTATCGGGAACTCTACACATCTATCATCACATTGGTAAATGAAAATATAAAAAGTATTTATATACTAATAATAACCAACCACTATAGTATAAATAAGCATCATCTTTGCTCCATCTACGGATCTACCAAATAAGTAGAATTAAAAGAAATGTGTTTAGCATCCAAAAAGGATTAGTAGTGGCTTTCTCAACTCGGTTCCTGATTTAGTTTACCAAGTAAGTAGTGCCTTCTCACTAAAAAGCTTTTTATAGGGGTTTTCAAAGCTCCCCCTTCAGCATAACTAATTATGGTTAAAAACAATTCATGTATATCTTTATCGTTTTCACAAATCCTCACTAACATCTAGACAACTAAAACATATAAGATACCTTTTTTGAAATTCGAGCTTTACTATGAAAAGGAGACGAAGTCAGTACAACTACAAAGTATAAACCAAACAAACAAGGATTTTTTTCACTAAACAATCTTAAAATAAGTATAAAAAGTCCAGCTTTCACCTTGACAAATGGGGGACAAAAAGGCACAGCTGAAAAAGTTAATTAACTTTACCAGTGATCATGTGATAAAGGTGAATAGGTAGATTTTGTCATCTTTTTCATGAATGATGTGCTTGAAAATATGATATTCCCTAGACAGTCCCTTTAAACCACCAATCAACATTGCTCAAAACCAGTGATAAAACCATAAATTTTGAAATACTTTTAGTTGACCTTAGTAAGTTTGTCTGTGCTTGGAGCAACCACATTTGGTTCAATAAGATTGTACTGAATGAGTATACCAGTGATTAGACGGATAAATGGGAAGAAGCATTTACGAACCTCTCAGAATCTAAGTGAGTCGCTATGCAACTCGCCATGTTCTTCGAGTTCATTGTTTCCCTCGCCAGCAAGCATCAAGCAGAAGACAAAGAGAAAATCTGAAAGACCCTGCAAAAATAACATTGTTGCTTTTAAGAAGGAGGTATCTAAAGCAAACAGGCTAAAGTATTTGATCTTTTCACGAAAGTGTAAGAGTTTAAAGACAAAAAAAATAAAGACTGGGGAAGCTTTTTGCATGAAAAAGTAAGTCACATGGCCTGAGCCAAAAAGTACGAAGATCTCTGCATGAATATATACGTAAGAATAGGATACATAATAGAATAATCTTGACAAAAGCATCATAAAAAGTTGTGCATAACTCTAAAACACATGGTTGGGGTTGGTAAGTCAGGTCTTTAAAATGAGTTCCAATAAAGAAAATAAAGCTATCCATGAGCAAATTCACCTCATAAGTTGCCTTTAGATCTGCTCTTTGTCCTAAGCCTTTTGTACTTATTCTAAATTGGTAGCACTTAACATTAAGGAAACACTGACCTATCCCTTAAAGCTTCAAATTTGTCCCTATCTTTTTCAGAAAACACACAGGAGTTCTCCCTAAACTATATAATAACACACAAATATAAATATAAAAGATTTGATGCTACGCTGGAAAGTTGAGGACGTACGTGGTCAATTAGAGACGCAGGATTAGAATCTGTGAGTGAACCCGTAAACTGATGGATGTGAACAGGACAGAGGCTACAGATGCCAACCCGAACTTATTAAGATAATTCTAAGAAAAATAACAAATATTTGGCACAAAAGTCTATAATTTTGACGATTTCCTCTATATAATATTGAGGGCAGATAGAAAATTTCAAAATATCTTTGACTTAAGCTTCAGATAAACTAAATTAGGTGATTCATCATGGACTAGATGATTGCTATTTCAACTGTCGAGACGTTATTCTAACAACAAAATCATGGAAAATCTGTAAAACTCTTTTTGTATACGACCTAGCAAACAAAGATTCAACAATCAGCTAGCACTTTACAACAACAAGACACCTGACTATTGCAACTTAGGTTCATGGAAAATCCGTAAAACTCTCTTCGTACATGACCCAGTAAACATGTGAATCAACACTGTTATATACAAGCAGCACTTCACAACAACAAGACATCTGACTACGTTAACTACAACTTAGCATCGTGCACTTTTGCTAGCAAACCAAAAGGATGAGATACCTGTATTGAACTGTGGCGACCTTCCTTTGATCGCAAACTCCTACGGATTGAAACTGAAACATGGGAAGAGAGGCTTCTCATTGCTAATGTAGACTTAAATAAGACTTTAAAGTATTCATTTATGGTGCAGAAAGTGGGATAGTTGTAGGTGTTGGATATATAAAGTCCCAAATGGCAGACCAATCTCTTGAATTAAGAAAACTGAAGAATAAAATAAGAGTGAGATCACCAGAATAGTAGGAGATGGTAGAACAACTCCACTAGGTTGACATCCACACAAGAGAGTGGCTTGGAAGAGGAATATTTTGATTAGCTTGAAAACTGCATCATCAGAGAGAAATGTCAGTTAGTAGAGAGGATCATATATCTCAACCCCAAATTGTGTAAAACGAACCAAATCTGTATAGATAGTGGAATGGATATGAGAGCATTGTTTATAGTCTTAAAGATTATTTAATCATGAGTTCATATATTAAAAACTTTCATCTGTCAGCTAGGAAGACGAAGAAAGGAAAAAGCCTATAACAAGTGAAGATAACGTTCATGGCATTGATGTGGAACAACAAAATTTGAAGAGAATCAAGACTTGAACCATCGAGTTGATAGAAACATAGCACATCTTTAAAGAAACCATATCTTATCTTTCCCATCACCCAAAATCGATTTCCAATACGGCCAGTTGCAGAAAGTGTAGTAAACAAATTATAGCTGAAGCTTGGATTTAGAGATGATGTGAAGGGATAAATAAAACAATGTCATGATCCATAAGAAACATATTCTCTATATAGAGAAAGCCTTACGTATAGAGAAACATTTTCCTAAAAATCGCAAAAAAAAAAAGCCTTACCTCATTCATAGACACTCAGCCGCAAATTTTTGTTATTCCGAAATTACAACTCTCTAACCCATTCTGAGCAACGAGATCAAGTTTCAAAGCCCCCAAAACGATTTCAATCACACGAATTTCGGTTTCCTCATCTGAGTTCGGGACTGGGGTGAAAAATAAGGGAAATTGTGGATCCTCTCTCCCTCAAGGGGCAGCAAAAGAAATCTAGGGTTTCTTCGCACGAGATTTTCCGACTGGATTTCAGTTTTTTTTGTGTGTGTGTGTGTGTACAAGAGCTAAATGACGTGCTAAGGACGCAAACAACATACGAGTTCTCTCTTCCATCAAATCGGTAACTCTTGTCACACAGACAGACATTGCTGGAAACACCTAGCTAATATACTTTTTCTTAATTTTCCCGCCATATTTGGATTCTTCTCAAATCCGCCTTCAACTGTGTAAGTATTATTTTCCCTTCATTTTTTTTTTAATAAAAAAAAAAAGCAATATGTTATAAGGGCAGCCCTCAGTTTACATTACATGATATTGGCACGTTAAAAAAAATAATATCATTGTGAACAAGTCACTTTAGATGAGAAACATTGAAAAATTACAATTTCCGGTGTGGAGTTTGTGTTTTAATTGTTTGCTCACTTATATGTAAAAAAGATCAAACTACATATTCAAGTTCGATTGATTGATTATTACTCTTTTTTTTTTGTCGGAAATACTGTCCATATATTTATTTATTTTTGTCAAATCCAAATCCATATTTTTGTTCCGGTGGGACCCTGGAAATTCCTCACATCTAATTTTTCAAACGGATCGATGATATTCCGCCAACCGCAAGTGCCAAGTGTTGTTGCAAAGGTTAAACCGGTTCAAACCGAGCAATGAACCGGATACTAAAACGCTAAAAACATCAAAAAGTTAGAACCTACGGGGAGTTGTCGGGGAAAAAGTGAAGCGATCGAGATTCGAGGAAGCGAAATTTGATCATCGAAGATGGCTCTGGCAGCTTTCGGGCAGCTAAACCTGGAGGAACCTCCTCCGGTCTGGGGATCTCGCAGCGTTGATTGCTTCGAGAAGCTCGAACAAATCGGTGAAGGAACTTACGGGTCTTCTTCTCAAATTCTTCCTCTTTTACTTGAATCCAAATTCAATTTTTATTTCGTAGTTTTACTCGGGATACTTGCTTTTCATGGGGATTGATAAAGTTGGGATTTTGAATGTGGCTTTAAACAATGCCTATAATTTTCAAGTATATTGTTGTGCGTTTAGGATGTTTACTGTTGTTGTTTTGCTCTCTTGCAGTCAAGTTTACATGGCTAAAGAGATCAGAACTGGTGAAATCGTGGCTCTGAAAAAGATCCGTATGGACAATGAACGAGAAGGGGTATTTGCTTCTTTCTCTTTATGCCCATCATCATGAGTATAAGGAATTGACGATTTGTAACTCATTTTCACATTTGGTACGATGCAGTTTCCTATAACAGCTATCAGGGAAATAAAGATTCTGAAGAAGCTGCATCATGAAAATGTTATTCAGCTGAAAGAGATTGTGACTTCACCAGGTATGTATAAGGAACACTCTGAAATTTAGTTTAGCAATTTCTATTGAAGAGCTCTAAAATTTTGTGCTTCATGAATTGTTCTGTCTCTTAACAGGCCGGGACAGGGATGACCAAGGAAAGCCAGGTTGGTGAAAATTAATTAAACTTCTCTAGTTTAGCCGAGAGATTTATTATAATTTGTGTTAAAGTTTGCGACTTTGCACGAAATTGTAGATAACAACAAATACAAGGGAGGCATCTACATGGTTTTTGAGTACATGGATCATGATTTGACTGGACTCGCTGATCGTCCTGGACTGAAATTTACTATTCCTCAGATCAAGGTATTAAAGTGTGTTAATGCTATCGACCTTTGCATACTAACTTTTACTAACATTCAATCCATGTTAAAAGTGTTACATGAAGCAACTGCTCACTGGACTACACTATTGTCATGTGAATCAAGTTCTTCACCGTGATATAAAAGGTGATTTTCCCAAGTACATTGTTGATGTATGGTTTTCACCTTTATTTGCTTATTAACCTTGATCTTGATGCAGGCTCAAATCTCCTTATTGACAATGAGGGGAATTTAAAGCTGGGTGATTTTGGGCTTGCTCGATCAATTTCCCATGATCATACTGGAAATCTCACAAATCGTGTCATCACATTATGGTATAGGTATGCCTAGGAATCATCAATTTGAAGTTTACATAATAGATACAGAGATAGTCTCGATAGCTCTGCATTATAGTTTTTGCTAATATATAAATTCTTGTTACTTTGCTGACTTACACGTATTGCGGCAGACCCCCTGAATTACTACTCGGGGCCACAAAATATGGCCCAGCTATTGACATGTGGTCGGTTGGCTGCATATTTGCTGAACTTTTGCATGCAAAACCAATCTTGCCTGGAAAAAATGAGGTCAGTGTTTCATCTTTTCTGATAGCCCAGTTCTTTTGAACATGTCATATGCTAGTACAGTGTTGCTTTGATGCCTATAGTAGTATAAAGATCCACCTGGTCTCCTGGTTGTATTGTGATAGCTTTGTATTAAATAACTAGCCATGGTTTAGATATATTATCACTGTTATTCTGTAACCATAGAGTCTGATAAGAATCTAAGCCTATATAATATGTGTACAAATTTGATCTGGGTTTTGGGGTCCGATAGCTTGTCAGAAACAGTGTAGTTCGCAGTTAAGTGTACCTCTTTTTTATAATCTCAAAATGATATTTTCTGCCTCCTACATTATTTCAGCATGAACAATTGAATAAGATTTTTGAGCTTTGTGGATCACCTGATGAAAATATTTGGCCTGGGGTTTCCAAGATGCCTTGGTATAAAAATTTCAAGCCCGCACGACCTATGAAGAGACGTGTGAGAGAGTCCTTCAGACAGTCAGTAAACTAAACCGATATATAGATTCACTTTTACGCAACTACTTTGATCAGAAGATTTCATTTGGCTTTTCTTCTCTTCTGCCACAGCTTTGATCGTCATGCTCTTGAACTACTGGAGAAAATGTTGGTTCTTGACCCATCACAGGTATTAGAAATCTTTATCCTTATTGGCAGCGAATACTTATGAGTGTATAAAAACTTTGCCTTTTATTGTGTCTTCAAGTCAGGACGTTGTAAACACCATTTAGAATTGTTCTTGACATACAAGTTGTTTTTTTTTTCCGTGTAGAGAATATCTGCAAAGGATGCTCTTGATGCCGAGTACTTTTGGACTGATCCGTTGCCATGTGACCCAAAGAGGTATTAGCATTTTCGGATTTTCTCGTAACTTTTTGTTTCTCCATCATCATTCTTCTGACTAAAACAATGTTTTGTATTTACAGTCTACCTACATATGAATCATCGCATGAGTTCCAGACAAAGAAAAAACGGCAACAGCTGCGTCAAAACGAGGAAGCAGCGAAAAGACAGAAACTGCAGCATCCACAGCAGCACCACTCTCGCTTGCGTCCATTACAACACGGTGGTCAATCTCATGCTGCTCCACATTGGTCTGCCGGTCCAAACCATCCCACTAACAACGCGCCGCCACAACAAGTACAAGCTGGACCCAGCCACCACTTCTATGGGAAGCCGCGTGGTCCACCTGGTCCAAACCGGTACCCTTCTAGTGGAAATCAGAGCCGAGGAGGTTACAGCAGCGGATCATATCCTCCACAAGGACGGGGAGCTCCTTATGTGGCCGGTCCTAGAGGGCCTAGTGGTGGTGCATACGGGGTTGGACAACCTAACTACACACAAGGTGGTCAGTATGGTGGCTCTGGAAGAGGTCAGAACCCAATGGGTGGTAGTAGAAACCAGCAATACGGATGGCAACAGTAAAGAGCTCTAAAGATTTGTTGCCAATATCCTAACACTAGGGGGGCAAATGTGAATCTAGTTATAGAAAGATTAATTAATATCAGATACTGAATTTCTTTTTCACACTTTGTTCCTCTCTGATAATTTCGAGATAGAAATTGATAGTGTATGCTGTAAAAAAAAGAGCAATCAGAACAGAGCAAAACATTGCCATTCTTTTGCTTAAGCTGTCTTGCGTCATTATTACACAACTCTATATAGAACAAAAATCATCCCAAATAATACTAGAGTTTCCAATAAAAAATCTCTTTCCTTATACCAGAATTTGTTTATTCCATCAAGTTATAAATCTTTTCTCTCTTTAAATCTTCCTACTCTGTTGCAGTTAAAGTATATATAAATTTAATTAACACGAGCAGCCACCTCGTTGTTGCTCCGCTTGAGACGAATTAGTCGATGGCTTTAGGTTCACATCAACCATATCATCTTGTTTCGTTGAAGAAAGTGACTCCATTCCTGGTAATGAAGCTGAAATCTTGCGGAATAGCGGCTACAAGTTTTCACATACCAAAAGAATAAACACACACACACACACAAAAGTTATTCAACGAAATCTCAGGAGTTTTAAACAGTCATGAGGATATATAGTTGCTTCTAACCTTGATGTTAAATCCTGCTTTTGCACTCGTCTCCATGAATATTACTCCAAAATCACGAGCTTTGTTATCCCCTTCCTCTATCGACACTTGCCTGTCAAATGGAAATGTCAAGTTGATAGCTAAATGACAAAAATTTCTATGTAACTTATTCATTCATGTCTTTTTGCTGTTCTTTTAGGCGTATCATTGGATTTGATGTTACTAAGTCATGTGGTTCGTCTTCTTAACTAACTATTTAGTTAGATTCCAGATGACAACCATTATCCAATAAAGACCTAAAATTCCTAATAATAATAGATTCATCAAGATCGGAAGGGGTTCCTCCAGCATCTTACCTCTTGTCAACGAGATCTGTTTTGTTACCCACCAGAACAATTATGACATCGCTACCTCTCTCTGTACGAACATCCTCAATCCACTTGGAGGTGTTCAAGAATGACTGCCTATCTATAATTGAAAATACGAAAACAAAATCCAAAACATGAGACTTTGCATAACATTCTTGCAAAATCTGTGAGAATTGAACGTAGTTTTTTGTCTATCTATGATTCTTCAAAGAACGGATGTATATAAAGGCGTCAATTCTGTGTAGATTGTACACAAAAGAAACTTTGGTGGTAAATCTAAAAAGTTCACACAGAAGCCTTACTTGCAACATCATAGACAATAACAGCAACAGAAGAATCTCTGATATAACTTGGTATCAGACTTCGAAATCTCTCTTGTCCGGCAGTATCCCTGTGCATCATTAAATCGAGGCTTACTACAACGCACATATCAAACATAAGACAGAAACTAGATGCATAAACCAGAATATATATGTCTAAAACAATGAAAATTTCATAGTCAATAAAGATGATACATGGTATTGGTATCACGTATATAAAGCTGAAAACTTCCATGGACATATATAGGTTCAACAAAAGATACCTAATGACCACATAGGCATTCATTGTTTGTTAATATTTGACGTTTCCTAAACGATTAGATATGGTATGTGGATTTTCCAAATGAACATGCAACCTTAAAGCAAAATTCCTTTGATAATTATGAGCGCAAAAAACCATGAATTGCGTTTGAAACATTCGGAGAGGATTCGTCTTTGAATCTACTCTCTAAAGGAACAGCAAAAGATGATTTACCATAGTTGCAGACGAAGAGTCCTATCCTCAAGGTACATTGTTTTAGACAAAAAATCAATCCCAATCGTAGCCTGCAAATTTTCGCATAACGAAGAATTACATTACACTCGGCAATACAAAAGTAAAAACAATCAGAAAATTTCAGGGCATATTAACCAAATCCGCAGTGAGTTTATTGCAAAATTTTGAATCTGATCCAAATCTTCCACACATAACAAGAGCAAAATGATCGCGGATCACACAGATTAGCATTCTGATTGAACAGATAATTGAAACAAAATCAAAAATTAAAACGGTAGATCGCAATGAGCTTTAGACAGAATCGATAGATTGGATGGATTTTCAAACCTGATAAGTGGTATCGAATTTGTCGTACATGAAACGAGTGATGATGCTGGTCTTGCCAACGGATTGATCTCCGAGGAATACAAGCTTGTACTTGGCTAAAGGTGACACAGACGCCATTTTTGTTTTCCCTCTCGAGGATCTTCACCGTAAGAAATTGAGGTATAGATCTGAGTTTGCGGGTTTTCTTCAGGTACAGATTTGTGAGAATTGAACGCGAGGTTTGAGTTAGACGCGTTTATATGGCTAGACGCAAAGGTAACCGCAAGCCACGAAAATTAACTTTTCTGAAGAATAGTAAAATACCCAAATCTTTTTTTCTTTTTTTTTTGGGCTAGTTAGCAAATTCTCTTTATATTAAAAAGAAAACTAATCTCGTCAAAAAAAAAAAAGTAATCAAGTTTATCAATTATCAGAGAGTTTTGCGTGCAATAACTAATGTGGGGGTCATATTTTTTATGTTTACAGAATTACAACAGTATTCATGGTAAAAGATAACAAAAAGAAAATGTAGTCATTTGCACATGAGTTTACACAATTTGTTGGCAAAAGGCTCTTTCACGCTCACCTCAACTCCAAAAAGAAGAAAAAGAAACGTCCAAGTTTCTTCTAATGCACACAAATCAAGTAATTAAATCAAAAATGAACTACATTTAATTAATGAAGACGATGGTGATATATCTAAACGACCCGTGTAGAACCTTTTCAAGGTGAGTGGTATCATTTAAACAACTAAAATTTCAAAGATCCACACCAAATACTATCATCAGTCACCACTTACATGATCGAGATTAAGCAGACCAGTGGATCATCTGGTAATGACATAGACAGATATCTCGTATTTAATGAGACAAACATTCTGTCCTGAAAAGGTTCTCTCAATCTTAACCACTTAAGAGCCACAAACTATGTTGAATATAGCTAGTCCAAATATTCCACAGAGAAAGGTACAACACAACTGCTTCTCTCAGTGTTAACTATTTAAGAGCCACATACTATCTTTTCACATTTACTCTCATATTTGTCCCCACTCTGATACATTTATATTTCATCTCTATCCGCCAAATCATCACACCTCTAGTTTCAGATTACCTTATTTTCTTCGTTTTGCACCCAAAAAAAAAACGAGAAAAGCGTGGAATGAATTCGGCATCTGCAGGACAGATGAAGAGCTCTGGAGTTGATACTAATGCTGATCAAATCTGTAACAAAAGCATTGTAATTCCAAACAGAATTGTTACATTAGCCAACAGCTTCGAGAAGAAAGACCGTTCCTGGTATGTTAAGTTTTGGTTATATACATAACATATTGCAGAATCAAGAATCAGCAAGAACTTAGGTAGCTAGGTAATGGGATAATGTATCTCTGCAGGTATGTCAAGTCTCAAATCCCTTCTGATCTATCTATTCAAGTCGACGATATTACCTTCCAAGCACACAAGGTAGAGTACATAAAGATTTGTTAGCTTGACAGTGTATTTACATATGAGTCTAGTGATTGCAATTCTACAAAACTAAGATGGAAAAAAAAAACATTATTTGGATCGAGTAACTTGGACTTCTATGTATGTCAACAAGTTTTACCTTATTTCTTTGCCTTCAACAGTTTCCTTTGATCTCCAAATGTGGTTACATAAGCAATACTGAGCTACAACCTTCAGCTTCTGAGAACGGGTATCATCTCAAGCTGGAAAACTTCCCAGGTGGAGCAGAAACATTTTGAGACCATTCTGAAGTTTTGCTACGGTCTGCCACTGGACTTGAATCCTCTCAACGTAGCCTCACTGAGATGTGCGTCAGAATACTTGTACATGACTGAAGAATTTGAAGACGGGAATTTAATCTCCAAGACAGATGCTTTCATCACTTTTGTGGTACTTGCCTCATGGAGAGATACACTCACTGTTCTGAGATCATGTGCAAACTTATCTCCATGGGCTGAAAACCTCCAAATTGTAAGGAGATGCTGTGACTTGCTTGCTTGGAAAGCCTGCAATGATGATAACATTCAAGAAGATGTAGATAGCAATCAAAGATGTCTATACAATGATATAGCCACACTTCAAATTGATCACTTCATGAGGATTATAACAACTGTAAAAGCAAGACGGGCTAAACCAGAGATCATAGGTAAAATCATCATGAGGTACGCAGAGAACTGGCTCCCGATAATCGATGAGGATTTGGAAGGAATTAGAGGTTTAGGGTTAGGAAAGAATGAGTTGCAGATTAGTGTGAACAGAGAAAGAACAGAGGAAAGCAATGTAGGATGTCAAGAACAAAAGGGAATTATAGAAAGCTTAGTAAGTGTGCTTCCTCAACCAACTGGAGCATTATCATGCCACTTTCTGTTAAGGTTGCTGAAAACGGCGATTGTTTATTCTGCATCACCAGCTTTAATATCTGATCTTGAGAAGCGGATCGGTATGGCATTGGAAGATGCTAATGTATGTGATCTCCTGATTCCGAACTTCAAAAACGAAGATCAACAGAGAGGAGCCAGGTGAGAAAAATCTGCTCTCTTGCTCATTTAAGTAAATACTTGAACTATAGAAACATTTGTTGACATTGGTTTATATGCGCAGATCACCTGAGGTATACACAATATACAATGTGGATGTGGTTCAAAGGATCCTCGAGTATTTCTTGATGCATGAGCAGCAGCAACAACAGCAACAGGTTCCAGGAAAGCCAAGCATAACAAAGCTCTTGGACAATTACTTAGCCGAGATTGCAAAAGATCCATGTCTGCCCATCACCAAGTTTCAGGTTCTAGCAGAAGCGTTGCCTGAAAGTGCTTGGAAATGCCATGACGGCCTCTATAGAGCAATTGATATGTTTCTCAAGGTGTACTAGCTTTCTTCTTATCTCCAAACCAAAAAAAAAACTTTCCACAGCTAATTATTTAGTCCTTTATTTCAGACGCACCCTTCACTATCAGAGCACGATAGAAGAAGACTGTGCAAAACAATGAACTGCGAGAAACTATCCCTTGATGCATGCCTACACGCTGCACAAAATGATCGATTGCCTCTGAGAACCATCGTCCAGGTATGCGATAAAAGAACCTTTTTTTTTAATTCCATAAGCCATTCTTGAAGTCGTCACAATAATTTAAGGGACTGATTCCATTATATAAACAAGATCAATACTCAGGTGCTTTTCTCGGAACAAGTAAAGATGAGGATGATGATGCAAGACAAGCAACCGGAGACCAAGGAAGAAAATCTTGTAGGTGGTGAGGATAAACGAATATCTAGGGATAATGAAATCAAGACACTTGAGGAAGAGCTCGAGAATGTGAAGAAAATGATGGCAGAGCTTCAGAACGATTACAATGAGCTTCAGCAAGAGTACGAAAAGCTAAGTAGCAAACAGAAGAACACACATAACTGGGGATTGCGTTGGCAAAAGATGAAGAAATCATTCCAGATCAAACGCGAAGACGATGAAACAAGAGACACGCCACGAAGAAGAAGTTCCACGGAACCAAGAACCAGCTTCAGGAGAAGAATGTCGATGTCATAAGCCCTAACTTGTGCTTTACTGAATTAAACCTATCAATTGTACTCTCAGTCAAAAACAAAACAAAAAAAAAAATTCTCAACCTCTATAATGCCCAATCATGTATTCGCAGTGTTTTGAAGACCGTGACATACGATATTTATTGTAAATTCCAATGCAAAAGACACTTCACTCTGTTTCGAATCCAATTTTTGTAATGTTGTTTGTTAACTAACTATTTCATGACTGTCTAGCAAAAACGATGTCGTTTGATATTTTTCCCAATTTTCTTCTCCAGAATCCGGTGAATCTCGTGAAAATACTCAGTCACTTGGAAATAGAATCTTTCGTTGAAATCAACGAGTCAAAGGCAAATTAGGGTAAAGTAAAATCGGAATCTTTTTCTCTTTGGAAATAAAAAATAACAACATTAATCGTCAGAATCAACGGCCCTGATTGAAACACACCTTATAAAGTTCATCTTTTTAGTTTTTCAGCATCCATTTCTCAGAAGCCGTTGTGTTATCATTGCCGCCACCATCACCATGTGTGGGATTCTTGCTGTTCTAGGTTGCGTCGATAACTCCCAAGCCAAACGCTCCCGTATCATCGAACTCTCTCGCAGGTTTTATCTCAAGTCTCCCCCTTTTATTATGCCTCACTCAATTCTTTGTTTATCCATCTCCTTGGTTTTGGTTTTGGCTGCGCATTGTTGTGAAAGTTATTGGGTATTGTTTTGGAAGAAAAAAGTTTCCAGCTTTCTGGGTAAAATGAGCTGGTTTTTATTAAATGAAGAGCTTTTCCTCGATTTCAATTTTGTGGGGGATATGAATACATGTATTGGTCAAATTTGATTGAATGGTTAAAAGTGATGGTATAATCTTTTCAATTGTTATGTAGATTGAGGCATAGAGGTCCGGACTGGAGCGGGCTCCATTGTTATGAGGACTGTTACTTGGCTCATGAGCGTTTAGCCATCGTTGACCCCACTTCTGGAGACCAGCCTCTCTACAACGAAGACAAGACCATCGTTGTCACAGTACATTGACTTGTGTCCTAATCTCAACTCCTTCACAAATGATCACATACATTACAAAAAAAAATAAAAAATCATGAGTCAAACCTCGAACTTTATGAGGATTTACGATGTTCAAGGATTTTTGTTTGTTTGTTTGGACGCTTTTCGTGCTTTCAGGTCAATGGGGAGATCTACAACCACAAGGCTTTGCGCGAAAATCTCAAGTCTCACCAGTTCCGTACTGGAAGTGATTGTGAAGTGATTGCCCATCTTGTAAGTACCATTCTGCATTTTTATGTCAATGCAAATGCAAGGAGGTCACCTAGATCTTAGATCTTTGTTACGTAATGGTAGTCAGAAAATTTCTTGTGTTCACCTTCTGTTTTATCAATCTGATTTATCATTTCTTAATATAATTGCAGTACGAAGAACATGGAGAGGAATTTGTCGACATGTTGGATGGCATGTTTGCATTTGTCCTTCTTGATACTCGGGACAAGAGTTTTATTGCTGCAAGGGATGCCATTGGTATCACCCCACTCTACATCGGGTGGGGTCTCGATGGTATGTTCACGTTTCTCTTAGAAATTCGCCTCAATGGATTAAGTGTATTTGTTTCTTGTCTTGTTTGTAACCCTTTTCATTGATTACTGATTTCCTCTCTGGTATATAATCATCCACAGGTTCTGTCTGGTTTGCTTCTGAGATGAAAGCACTTAGTGATGATTGTGAACAATTTATGGCTTTCCCCCCAGGCCACATCTATTCGAGTAAACAAGGTTTGTATCTCACATCAAGTATCTGTTTTATAGTAAATTCATGATGTTTCTTGGCTTACTCGTATCGCTTTGGACACACTCACAGAGTTCAAACTTGGTTGTAGTTACTTTTTCCATCTTTTTTGTGGATTTTTATGGCGTTTTTGCTGTGTATCATGTAGAAAACATTTCTTGTAGGCGGACTTAGGAGGTGGTACAACCCCCCGTGGTTCTCTGAGCTTGTCCCTTCAACCCCATATGATCCTTTAGCAGTGCGCAATGCTTTCGAGAAGGTAAATTCTTGAGCTTTATCCTCCTCAAGGTCTTAAATGTCTATTTCCAATTTATATCGCTTGTATAGTGGCTCAAGGTTCATTCTTTTATTGATAATTGCTGATGAGGTTTTCGAACCTATCGTTGACTTGCAGGCTGTTATAAAGAGACTAATGACTGATGTGCCTTTTGGTGTCCTCCTCTCTGGAGGATTAGACTCATCCCTTGTTGCTTCAGTGACTTTGCGCCATTTGGAAAAATCAGAAGCTGCTCGTCAATGGGGTTCAAAATTGCACACATTTTGTATCGGTTTGAAGGTCTTGAAGGCTTATTCCGATTACTCAAAATGTTTTCACCTATAGCTTTCTACGCTCATCAAGATTTGTTATTTACCTCTTTTTTTCTTTTCAGGGATCCCCGGATCTTAAAGCTGGTAAAGAAGTCGCTGACTATCTTGGAACTCGCCACCACGAGTTACACTTTACAGTTCAGGTAAATTTTCTCTTTTTGCGTCTGCGAGATTATTGAGTACTAAAATTTTAATCCATCGGCTGATTGCTTATCTCTTCTTGTAATGATAATATCAGGAAGGGATAGATGCAATAGAAGAAGTTATATACCATGTTGAGACCTATGACGTGACTACCATAAGAGCCAGCACTCCGATGTTTCTGATGTCGAGAAAAATAAAATCACTTGGTGTAAAGATGGTTCTTTCTGGAGAAGGTTCTGATGAGATTTTTGGAGGTTATTTGTATTTCCATAAAGCACCCAACAAGAAGGAATTTCACGAGGAAACATGCCGAAAGGTAACACCTTTGGACCAGAACTTTTTTGTGTTACTCTGCTTTTTCTAAACTTCTGAACCTTATTTGTGTGCTGATTTGCTTACAGATCAAAGCACTTCATCAATACGATTGCTTGAGGGCTAACAAATCAACTTCTGCATGGGGTGTTGAGGCTCGTGTACCTTTCCTCGATAAAGAATTTATAAATGTCGCGATGAGCATGGATCCAGAATGGAAGATGGTAGGTGGTATCTTTCTCATCATTTTCCTTTTTCATCAAAAGAGTGATTTCGATCCGTTTCTTTAATATAACAACACTGCTTTTGGAACATAGTTTCAGTTATATCTCAAATTTATAATCCCAAGTTATAAATCTGATAAAAAAATCTGGCTAAACTACAATGCAGATCAGGCCTGATCTCGGAAGGATCGAGAAATGGGTGTTACGCAATGCCTTCGATGATGAGAAGAATCCTTATCTACCAAAGGTTTTTATGACAAAAATTTCGTGCTCCCTGCAGTTTGACGAAATTATCCAGCTTTGCTAACAAGTTCTCATCTTTTTGGTAAATGTAGCACATTTTGTACAGGCAGAAAGAACAGTTCAGTGATGGAGTTGGATACAGCTGGATTGATGGTCTGAAAGATCATGCAAACATACATGTAATAAAATGTCTTTTTTAATTCATAGAAAGAATCTTAAAGTCACAGTTCGATTATTGTGGTGCTTTCCTTTCTCTCTTGGTTAGGTCTCTGACACAATGCTGACGAACGCAAACTTTGTCTTCCCCGATAACACACCTGTGACAAAGGAAGCTTACTACTACAGAACAATCTTTGAAAAGTTCTTCCCTAAGGTTACAATCATTTTCATTTGCGTTATTACACTCGTCTGATTTGATCTTTGCTCTGATTTGTTTTTCGGATTAAATGATGAGCAGAGCGCTGCTAGAGCGACTGTACCAGGAGGCCCAAGTGTGGCATGTAGTACAGCAAAGGCCGTAGAATGGGACGCAGCTTGGTCACAGAATCTTGACCCGTCAGGTCGTGCGGCTCTTGGAGTTCATGTTGCAGCTTATGAGGAAGATAAATCCGAAGATCCTCGTCCTGAGAAGCTACAGAAACTAGCAGAGAAAACGGCAGCCATTGTTTGAGGATAAACAAGGTTTAAGCTAATGTTTGATTTCCGCATTTCTCTTATTGTCCTTAAAAGACAAATACTAATCATCTTCCATACGATCAATGACTAAACATGTTCTCAATTTGGTTTGTTTTAGGGCCAAATCTGAATTTCTAAAATAATTTCAACAAATTCAGTTTGATGGTTTTGATTCCAGTTTTCGTATTTAAAAACAGTTCCAGTTTAACTAAACTTGATTCCGAAGGTCAAAATATCATATAGAAAAGAAAAAAAAAACTCACAAAAATGTAATGAGTCCGTCAACATATTGTAGTATTTTTTAAATTATTTATAGTGTAACTGTCATTATACAAGCATAACGACTCTGTGGCCCAATGGATAAGGCGCTGGTCTACGAAACCAGAGATTCTGGGTTCGATCCCCAGCAGAGTCGTATTATTTTTATTTTTTTTTAAGCACCATAAGATATTTTTTGATAGTCTATCGGAAATCATTATAGACTTTTTTTTTTCTTTCTATGAGTCATATAAAAAACATACTTAAATGCTGTGACGGTACGTTATATGATTATATATATATATATATCTATATTTTCGGTATTTGGTTGCCAAAAATACAACTGCTCCTTTCACATTTAGCTTATCACCAACCACGTGACCCCTACAGCTATTTCTTGGAGTTAAAACAAGAATGTAAGAAACTAATGACATAAGCCATGAAAATCTTGCTTTGTTTTAATACTTTTTTATAAACGTTTTTTGTTTTAAACTCTTGTTTCTTTCTCCAGAAAACTCCAATAAATATAATATTATTTCAAAATCGATTTATATAGGTAAAAATAATTGATTCTTAAAGGTAATCAAAACTGTTTTTCAATTTTAAAAATATAATTATCACATTTAAAAATAAACAATTTTAATTTGTAAATTATAGTTATCCGATAAAAGAGATTGTATTAACAGAAAAAATTATGAAAGAAGAAAAATTAAAATAAAAAGCACAAGTTACAAATTTACTTTCTCAAACAAATATACATGTATAAAAATGCTGGTTTCTCAACAGAATTTTTCCCTGAATTAGATATGTGCTCTTTTTACACGTCAAATTCAAACGTGTCATTCACAATCTAAAATCTTAATCGTAAGTTTCTGACCCATTCATATAAGTATATATGCTTAAACTTCACTGTATTCAGCCTAATTACTATTCAACCTTATTTTCAATTTATTAAAAAGTCCCTTTCTGCCCGCTCTCTGACTCTGTTCATACAAAAACTGTTCTTTTAAATTAAAAAAAAAAAAAACAAGACATGCTTATTCATTTTTGATGATTTATTCAAATTCACAAGTCTTTTTACCAAAATGGATATGCTTTAATACTCTACTTGAAATGTATTGTATTCAACTTACAACCTGTTTTCAATTAATTAAATTCATTTTCTGCCAACTGTCATGATTTGTTTCCATTTTTTATTTTTATCTTAAAATGCCAAGTCTTTTTACCAAAAAGAATTTTAAATTCAGGCAGACATTTTTTTTTTTTGGTTGGAAATAAGTTCCATTTTACTATATAAGTAAGACAATGTGCCTCTACGGATCCTCATCATCATTCAGACAGCAATAAGCAAAAATATTCACTTGTCCAAAAAATGGCGTCTCTCAAAGTTCCCGCAAATGTTCCTCTTCCCGAAGAAGACGCTAATCAGCTCAACGAAGCCTTTAAAGGTATTCGTCTCTCTATTTCTCTCTATCCCTTCATTAGTCAGCTGTGTTAACTAAAACTATAATTCTTCTTCTAAGTTTGAATCATTTATTTCTGGTATTATTACTTTGACTGATCATCTCATTAATCTATTTCAATATTAAGATCCTCATATCTGATCGTATGTCTATTGTTTGGGCATATTTTGTAACGAATAAATGATAGGCGCCTTTGTTGAGAAGAAACCTCATTTTCTTTTGTTTCCCAACGATCAAAATCTGAGTAGTTATTTAGTTAAATCTCATCAGTCATCATTCTTCTCCAGAGAGTTTTAATTTGATTTAAATCACGTAGACCTTCAAATCTTAAAGAGATCAAAACAATAAAAAAAAAATGATATAAGTATATGAGGTTATATAAAAAAAAATATGAGGTTATAAATCAAAACAATAAATAAAAATCTTTTTGAGGAAACTATAAATTTCATTATTATTAAAGTATATCAAGACTAATTCTGACTCTATTTTTCTCTGCCGGTGTAATTATTATGTTTTCCTTTGCTAGTCTCTAGCTAATAGACTACAAGATTTTACTTGTTATATATGACGTAGGTTAGGAATGGTTGAGCTAAACCACCAGCCACGGAAAAACACCGATAAATACAATATAAAAAAATGACGGATTTGGCCCGGCATGATCTTAAGATTTTTGCCTAGGGCTCGATCCCCGGGTTTTTGGTTAATTAACCACAATACCATTCGATAATACTGTTAATAACTTCTCTTCTACTCGTTAGAGATTTTGGGGACATGACTTTAGTTATTTTTGTGTGTTGTCAAATACAGGATGGGGAACCAACGAGGGAATGATCATATCAATCTTGGCTCACAGAAATGCAACGCAACGAAACTTCATCCGCGCCGTTTATTCGGCTAACTACGACAAGGATCTTCTCAAAGAATTGGACAAAGAGCTATCCGGTGACTTCGAGGTAAAATATTTGTATATAATTGTCATCTTTTGGTCTATGTTCTGTATACTGATCGGTTTAGACTATATATGTTCTGTTTGTGATAAAACAGCGAGCTGTGATGCTGTGGACTTTTGATCCAGCGGAGAGAGATGCTTATTTGGCGAAGGAATCTACCAAAATGTTCACCAAAAACAATTGGATTCTTGTCGAAATCGCTTGTACTAGATCTTCCCTTGAGTTTTTAAGTGCCAAGCAAGCATACCAAGCCCGCTACAAGACCTCTCTTGAGGAAGATGTCGCATACCACACATCTGGAGACCTCCGAAAGGTAGCTTATAACTTATAAGTCTGTAAAAATTCGTGAGTTTCATCTCAAAACCAATAAAAACGATTGAAATACTTCATATCTTATATACATATATATGAAGTCACTTACATTTGTCGATGTAAGATTGATTAAAAAGTTAGTTCATTTATCATCTCATCAAGAATGCATGTATATAAGTTTGTAACTTATCACTTATGTTGTTGTTTATGCAGCTCTTGGTTCCTCTTGTAAGCACCTTTAGGTACACCGGAGATGAGGTGAACATGATGCTAGCTAGTTCCGAAGCTAAGATACTTCATGAAAAGATTGAGGAAAAGGCCTACGGTGATGAAGATCTCATCAGAATCTTGACAACAAGAAGCAAAGCTCAAATCAGCGCAACACTCAATCACTTCAACGACAAGTTCGGAACTTCCATCACCAAATACCTAAAGGAGGATTCGGACAACGAATACGTTCAACTACTCAAAGCCGTGATCAAATGCTTGACATATCCAGAGAAGTACTTTGAGAAAGTTCTACGTCAAGCCATCAACAAAGTGGGAACAGACGAGTGGGCACTCACTAGAGTGGTCACTACACGAGCCGAGTTCGACATGGAACGGATCAAAGAGGAGTACTTACGCAGAAACAGTGTCCCACTTGACCGAGCCATTGCAAAAGACACTCATGGTGACTATGAGGATATTCTTCTCGCTCTTCTCGGACATGATGAACATGCTTGAAGTTGAAACAATATTAGCAAGAGTAAAAATCAAAAACGCATTTTGTGTTTAATAAGACAGTTGTGATTGGTCGTGCATGCAACCTGGTAATGTTGAATGATTTATGAGTGTTTTCCAGTTTCTTTGTTTCCTTTTTTATTTCTACAGTTTATCTTATCATGAAAGAACCTTACAATAGACTTTTTGGCTCGAATACACTCACAAAGACTTTTCACTCTCTCACCCTTCTAAGAATACTTTATCAACTTAAGAATATTGCATATTTTAATGAATAATTATAACAAATGACCATCCTGACAAGACTATTTGCAAAAATGACCAAGAGCAGCAGACGACACTGTTCAATTTTTTTAAATACCCTTTAACCCCTACTCATCTATGCTACTACCTACACTATAGAGGAAATTTTGTCAGATTCCCCAAAAATAAAATATTGATTATAATCTAAACTATTTCCCTATGTGGCATTAATTTGGGAAATTATTCAATTGTAACACCTTTTCAAACCAAAAATTCATCTGGTGTTTATCTTTCTGGCAACAGAACCGACGTTTACAAAAGACATCATTTCACATATTTTTTATCGGCTCTGGAGACTGTACAAATTTCGAAATCGGGTGAGTGCTCCTTTAACCAAGATGGAACCATTGCTGCCGAAGAGAATACTCGCCGCTAGCGAAGAACCCGGCGGCAAGAGAGTTAATTGCTATCACCAGTATGATAAGTGTGCATCTATCTGAATTGGTTGCACACTGGTATAGTCACCTGATTTCTCCATCATTGATCAAATTAAATTTCTTTTCTGGTTTTTTTAAGGAAAAACAACTTCGTATTCAACTGTTAGAACGATGATGATCCTATTAGATTGATGCTAACGTATATAATAGTGTGTATTTATCTGAATTACTTTTATAATTCTATTGTTAGACTGCTAACAATATATATAGAGTGTTATATATATATAGCGTACTAACTACAAACATAACATCTATAACAATCTAGATAATTTATTATTGTTATCAATCTAACATATTTTTTACCATATTAACTATAAGGTTAGACATTAATTTATATGTTACGTGCTAAGTATATCAATAACATCTTTAATCATTTATATAACTCATTCTTGTTAGCAATTTAACATATTTTTTATCTAGTAAATTATAATGTTGGACGTTAATTTATATGTAACATGCTGAGTATATCAATAATATCTTTAATCATCTATATAACTCATTATTGTTATCAATCTAACATTATTTTTATCGTGTATATAATAATTGTTAATCTATATCAAAATATGTAACTTGTTATTATAATGTATATGATACGTCTAGGAAAAAAAAATTTGTGTGGCTGTAATTTCTTGCATAAAGATATTGCCTACTCTACTTATATTTTAGTCCCTTATAAATTGTACCATACTGTCAGAACCTGCTGTTCATGTTAAGCTTCGGTAAAATATCTGGGGGTAAGATTGTCATTACTGATGACCATGAACACAGTGATAACAATTCTTGGTGGGCCCTTGGTCATGCAGCTAATTTCGTTTCCCATTTGGTATATTCACCTAATTCACTGTATTTTAATCAAAATATAGCTCAGCCTATTTTCTTCATATTGATAGCTAAATGCATGTAAATACATATCTCTGGAAATTAAATAATTGACTCTATTAAAAATAAAAATAGAAATCGATAAATATTATTTAACTCTGTATTCAAATTGTTTTAGTCCATTTAGTATTTCAGCCTTATGAAGAAAATGCAAAGATATGAAACTTTTTCTTTTTACTTTTTCTGTATTACATACAGCCTGTATCAATTTTTTTTAAAAAAAAAATCTTCTCTTACTTAATTAGTAGCTAAGTTTATCTTAATAAAATAAATGTTATTTAAAAAGAAGGGATTTCATTTTATTATTTAAGACAATGTGCATCTGTCTCGTCCCACAGTTTCTCAGTCTCATTTAGACAGCCCAAGAAAAAAACTAGAGAGATAATATCAGTGGTCGGAGAATGGCGTCTCTCAAAATCCCAGCAAATGTTCCTCTTCCTGAAGAAGACTCTGAGCAGCTCCACAAGGCCTTTAAAGGTTTACTCTCATCTCTCTTATCTCCCTTCATTATTCGATTGATTTAGTAAAACCTTAAACGAGACTGCTTCACCTTTATGCATGCTTGGAATCCTTTGCTGATTTTTTTTATACATATAATCATTAGTTGGTTATATATCAATATAGCTCAATCTATTCCGAAATCATCATCTTAAAAATAAAATTTTGTTAAAGGATTTTGTAATTTCACAATTCCAAATCCATGCTAGTATTTTTTTTTTTTCCAATTATTGTTACAATGCAAAATTATGATTTTACCTAAGGATATACCATGTGATCTACTTAGAGAATTTTGATATTTGATAATCTGTGATGCGATCGAAGCATCCAAATTCTCAAGTTACATATTGATTTTAGGTAAACGAACAAAACCTCGATGCTTACATTTGGATTCTGCAACCTAGATGTATAGATAAACAGAGTTCTAATTTTGGCTAGTCACTCATTCGTCAAAAATAATATTGGATTTGACTGGTTATCACAACATATGTTTTGGTTATCAACCAATCAACTTTTAACACATGCTTCCGATGCAGAAGCAAATAAAGACATTATGTCATTTTGTATGGAAAACTTAAGTGTTTTGCTTTCTTGATATAAAGACAAAAAGAAACGACCAGTTTGTAACTGACGATGAAATATTCTTCAAAAACGATATTACCTTTCTACAGAGCCGTGCCTCCTTTGATGGAAAAAAGACAATGGCCTTAAACTACATCTATAATTTCAGTTTTTAAACCACATATCAACTTAAGTAAAAAATTTGTTGTGAAAATTTATAAGAGATTTTATATTCACGAGTTCAGGTGTTATATTTTTACTTTCAAATCATAATTTATTTGTCATCCTTTTATTAAAAATGTAATGAACTTAATTTTATTTATCCACATATTATTTGTTATATTATCATTTAAATATATTTTTATAGGTATTTGGTACTTTAATATCTTATATATTTATTTTATAACATTTTAGTGATAGATTTTACAGTTCGATATATCTTCAATTTCTATGATTTGTAAAGGTTATACATTTATAAAAAGCCCAATTTTATAAATTGTCTTAGGCCACTAAATGTGTTGGCACGGCATGCCTTTCTATAGCTTTTTTACAAAAATAAAGACATAAATTTGTATTTAAGCTTTTATTTAAATAACGACGTTAGCTAAACCTAAACCATTCAGAAAGTTGGTTACCAGCAAAACCATTACAATCCTTATAAAAATGTTGGATATAAAGACAAGGGCAATCCTCCTAAATATGTAACACCAAATGAGATTTATAATATTTTCTTTTGTCAAACATGATTTATTTCTCAAGTCATAATTTGATTTTTTTTTTGTAATTTTATAGTCCTGAATTTTGGTTTGGTTTAATTGAGTTTGGTACAAGTCTGGTTCAGCTTCGGTTTGAAATCAGTCACTTCCTCGGCGTTGGCGGCTATTCAGTAATTCGAGTGAGAATCAAAAACAGAGCCCGTGAAAGGTTTCCGTTGAGGGTTCCGGTGATCGGAGAATCTTCCATTCACGGTTTCGTGACCCATTCAAATATGACGAGCTCAATTCGATTTGGGATCGGGAAACACACTGTGAATGTATACACATCTCTATACTGAATATCCAGACGAAGTTAGGTTATAGCTACAATGGCGGATATAGGCAAACTCAAAGAATATCTCATTTTGTTTCTGTTACCTCTCGTTTATTGTTATTTCTGACATATATTTCTCTGCACACCAAGTGTTCGACAAAATAACTAAGTGAGAAGTAAAAACCTTATGTGGAAGCAGGATGGGGAACCAACGAAGGGATGATCATATCAATCTTGGCTCACAGAAATGCAACGCAACGCAGCTTCATCCGCGCCGTTTATGCTGCTAACTACAATAAGGATCTTCTCAATGAATTGGACAAGGAGCTATCCGGTGACTTTGAGGTTTGTCAAAAGGAAACAAAATCTTTTAAATCTTTGCCTTCTTTTGATGTGATTATCACTATGGGTTATGTTGAAAACAGAGAGCTGTGATGTTGTGGACTCTTGAGCCAACGGAGAGGGATGCATATTTAGCCAAAGAATCTACCAAAATATTCACCAAAAACAACTGGGTTCTTGTTGAAATCGCTTGCACTAGACCTTCACTTGAGTTTTTCAAGGCCAAGCAAGCTTACCAGGCTCGCTACAAGACCTCTCTCGAGGAGGATGTCGCATACCACACTTCTGGAGATATCCGAAAGGTTGTGAGAAACTTCTTGATCTTCCTAAGACAAGTTTCTTCTAATCAATGTGTGTTTGTTGTTTTGATTTTACCACTTGTGAAAAAAATGCAGCTTTTGGTTCCTCTTGTGAGCACCTTCAGATATGATGGAAATGCTGATGAGGTTAACGTGAAGCTGGCTAGATCTGAAGCTAAGATACTTCACAAGAAGATCACTGACAAGGCTTACACTGATGAAGATCTCATCAGAATCTTGACCACAAGAAGCAAAGCTCAGATCGGAGCAACTCTCAATCACTTCAAGGACAACTTTGGAAGTTCCATTAACAAGTACTTGAAAGAAGATTCGGAAGATGAATACGTTCAACTACTCAAAACTGCGATCAAGTGTCTGACATATCCAGAGAAGTACTTTGAGAAGGTTCTACGTCGAGCCATCAACAAGGTGGGAACAGACGAGTGGGCACTCACTAGAGTGGTCACTACACGAGCAGAGGTCGACATGGAGCGGATCAAAGAGGAGTACTTACGCAGGAACAGTGTTCCTCTTGATCGAGCCATTGCTAATGACACTTCTGGTGACTACAAGGATATGCTTCTCGCCCTTCTCGGTCACGACCATGCTTGAAATAGCATCATCGTTTCATTATCTTCAATAAATAATCGTGATTTGGTCCTGCAACTTTTCTGATTGATGAGTGTTCTTCATTTTCTTTAGTCATTGCTCCTTTGTTTTCTCTTTTTTATTGGTCGACTCAATAATATATTGAAGCTTTTGATTTATGAGTGTTCTTTAGATTCTTAATGCTAATAACACATTCGAACTTCTTTGAATTAAGTCTTGGTTAGTGTTAGAGTTGGGTTTAGCACCCCCTATTTAGCCCAACAAGCCCATCAAAATCCACCAGCATTATAATTTTAGCCTATTATCAAAGCTCACAAAATCAATCTACCGTCATCACGTCACCTACTCGCTCACTATAAATAGAAGAGAGGAGGAGACCAAGAAGAGGGATCTGGAAAAGGAGAAGAGAAATAGCTCGTGAAGGGATGAGAACACCCACCTCGCCAAATTCACCATCATCTTACCTCGTCACCTCGCAAAACTCACCTCACCTCGCCACCTCGTCAAATTCACCTCACCTCGCCACCTCGTCAAACTCACCTCACCTCGCCACCTCGTCAAACTCACCTCACCATGTCTTAAATTTTGTTCTTATTTCGTTGCCGATTTAAGCTTAATTTAACAGAGAATCTCCGAACTCTCCAACATAAATTGAGTTGTTTGACCCGTGCGAATCCACGTTCAACAGTTAGCTTACACTTACAAACTAGATACCAGCTAACGTACATGCCACAACAAAAGCTTCATAATCTAAGCAATTACATCTCCTACAATCTCTACACCCACAAAGATCTTCCACTCTCTCAATGTTCACCGATTTTGAAGCTTGGACTTTTAAAGCGATCTTCAATAAAAGAGGCTTATTACAATCTTCCAAGATCCGATCTTTCGTCTCACCCATCACAACAAATCTCTCTGTTTCCATCCCATCCAACTCAGTAACGTCTTTCCAAGAAATCTCTCCTCTGCCCACCAGCTCCGATCTCGACCACTTCCTCAAAAACGACCCCGTTTTCCTTCTCCGCAGCTCGAAAACGACGCTTTCTTGCTTCAGTTCCTCGACCGCGGTTTCGTTCCCTTGGCACTCCAGACCGAATGATTGGTTCCAGATCATGGCCTCGTGGTCTGATCTCGAGCAGATCCCTGCAGTGTTTAGTTCGATCTTACGGTTACTCCCTGCATAAAGATAGAATCTAACGAAGAGAGAACTTGGTGATGACTTAAGCTCTACGTTTCTCGCTTCTACGATTTTCACTTCAAATTTAATAGAACAAAGGTTCCTAACGATACCCATTTGCTTAAAGTTTCCCAATCAAATCAAGAATCTTAGAGGAACGAAGGTGTGTGTTATGAATATGTTGTATGTGCATGGACGAATCATTAGTATTTATATATGGAAAAAGGTTGTAGGAAATTCTCCACTAGATTCCACATTGTGATCAATTAAATATTCGAATCAATTTAGTGAGTCTTGTATTTAATAATTTAGACTCTTGAGCATCTCTAAGGACCAAGGGTCGGTTTAAGCATGACTCTTGCCCATAGTTTTGGGAGATAATTTGATACGTACTATCACCACCACATAGAAATTTTTTCAAGTTACAAAAAGAAACTAAGGTTTTAATTGCAATTTGTAGACTTGATCATTATTATATTACATTTCGCGTGGACACCATCCAATAGTCGAAAGTTGTTTTGAAAAAGAGTAACACTCAACAGAATCAAATTAAAAAAAATAAAAACAGCCCTATACTGATACATTCGAAATAGGTATATAATTTGACTCCCAAAAAAAAATTACAAAAAAGTATGTATGATCCACGATCCCATGATCAACTGTTCTCATACAAGATAGACTTTGATCATTACATAAGAAAAGGACAGCATTCTTTTGGTTTATATTGCATGTTTGTATCCGTTGGAGATATCCAAAGGACAGCATTTTTAACTTTGTGAGCAGATTATAAAATAATTTATTATCACTGCAATATTTGCAAAAGGAAATTATTATTTCAAACCTGACGTAAAAGGTAAATGCGCCTTGGTACATATCCTCTTAACACCAATCAAATTTCACTCTCGTGTCGTCTTACTATGATAATCCACAATGGATTGGATGCTACTATGCTAGATCTTCCATTTTTCAAATTTTTTTTTAACGTGCTAATATACAGTTTAAATGCTTTTTCAATCTAAAATCTCCCAATCATTGTCAGAAGAAATCTACAATCTCCCTCCAAAAATCATTTCTTAGTACAAGAGAGAATGGAATTTATACAAATTGCAACTCATATTCTCTTGAATAATTCTTAGTTACATACACACCAAAATAAAAATAAATAAAATCACTGGAAAAACAAAACAATTGTTCCTTTTCATCTTTACTCCTTAAAATGGATAAAATTTACCACAAATTCTACACACTGAAAACTAAATAAGAAAAGGAAAAAAAGAAATTTAAAAAAAAAAAAGTAAAATAGAACTTACGATTTCCATGAAGCAAGTTTCTTGCTTGTAAAAACACTAATAACCCCATGCAAATACATTTTTTTCTCCACTGATTCAGGGTTTCACATTTCATCTTCTGCTAGCTTTATGCTGTATCCATGCCTCATACCTGAATAAGTCCATAGATTTGGCACCAAAAACGATTAACAAAACAGAAATCAGACAATGAGTTGATCATAATCATGCAACTAAACCGGCAAAAACCTCACCTTTAGCAGAAGTTTTCTCATTTTTATCACTCGATTTATCCCGGTTCTTCCACTTCTCTCCATGGCCTTCCACTTCCTCCTCCTCCTCATCATCATCAAGCCCCATATTATCCCTTCCATCATCTCCAATATCGCTCTCACTCGCAGTTTCCCATTCCGAATCATCAGTTTCATTTCCATACACTTCCCTCTCTTCTCCTTTCCTATGCACGCCTCCATGCTTCAATGCCGCTTCTTTAAACAGCCAAGCCGCTCGCATCTGCTTCTTCACCAACCTCTCTGCGTAATCAGGAACCTTGTTCTGTCTCATAGAGAGATCCGGATCATTCGACTGAGAACATTCGTTGATGAACAGAATCGCATCTAACAAGCTCTCTTTAGCCAAACCTAACATATCATAAGCTTGAGCTCTTCTCCAAAGACTCTTAGCATGCCTGTTCACAGGATTGTGCAAGCAAAGCGCACGTGTGGCGTCGCTTATAGCAACCAAAGGCTGTTGAAGCAAGAGATGGCACTGAGCTCGATTGCTATACAACACAACTCTTTCCTTCTTCGACCTCATTGGACACAAAGACAAAGCTTCCGAGTACTTCTCCGCTGCACCTGCAATGTCTCCTGATGAAAACAGAGAGTTTCCTTCGAGTTTGACAACTAAAGCTGCTGCTTGCTTGATGTGAAGATCCTCCTTTGGCATACTCTTCTCCCATTTGAGTCTCTGTCGAGAACTCACCGTCTCTTCTATCAATTCCCTTGAACGGTTTCCCATAGAGCTGCATTCTTGAAGAACACTCACAATGGAATCTCCCAGTTTCTTGTGATCTCCCAAGTTTGTGATCTCAGCAAGATCCACAAGCGTTGGCACAGCTTTGTCGATCACCTTGTGAGACGTGTTGGGATCTTGGAGCAACCAAAGAAGACACTCGATCGCCATGTACTGCCAATCATCAGAAGAACGAGCGATGTTACACAAGGCCTCGATCATTCCCGAACAAGCAGAGACAGGACCACGACCGAGTTTATGCTGACAGATAGTTCTAAGCAAACCTATACCAGCAGGTGAGTTCTCATTCACAAGACCTCCCCACATAACCGGAAGATTCACAAGAAACTCGGGTTTGCACAGAGTGGGAAGAAACTCCGGTTTAAAAGCGAAACAGTTTATTAGCTGAAGAGACCAGCACTGCAACTGGCTTGCCCATTCCTCTGCTTTTCTTGACTCCATCTCAACACCTCCCATGCCACGTGTCAGCAGATCGCAATGGTAACTCAACCTACGATCTGGATACTGGTAGAAATGAGAGTAAACAATCTCCAACGAGCTCATAGCCAATTGTATAGCGAGCTCGAGAATCTCTCCCTGATTTGCAACAGCTGGGAAAGTGCTCGGGTATGTAGCTAAGTGTCCTAGAGCACGAACAGCGACTCTCTGTTCGACCCAAGTAAGCCTACCTCTTAAAAGCTCAACAAGTGGAGGAATCACTCCAGCTTCCACAGCTCTCTCTGCAAACTCTTCCATGTTCATAGTGTAAGAACCGATGATGTGAGCCGCGTAGTAAGGAATGTATATGTTCTGGTCATGAGATAGCCAACGCCGGTTTTTAAGTCCTTTCCATATCAAAGCTGACATACATTCGAAGATTCCGAGCTCAATGAATTCAGGATCGTTTGGATGTGCCATTGCTGTGTTCCAGAGACCACTGATGGGAAGAACTTGACCGTCATCGTCTTGAGAAGGAAGGTCTCGGAAGAATTTGAGAATGCAGGACCTTCGTTTGCTCGGGTTTCCTTCTTTCATTACACAGAAGAAACATCCTGGATAAGGACACTCTTGTGAAGAAGCTTTATCCATTGACAAAACCAAGAACACAGAAAAGAAACTTGTTTCCGCTTCGATGTTGCTATCTCAATTAATCTACATAACACCAATACCCAAAAAAAAAAAAAATGCAAATCATTAGCTAAAAATATGTAACAAGAACAATCTTTAATCAGAGTTTTAAATAACCCCATAAAAAAAAAACTATTGGAGTCTCGAATAAATTAAAAGTATTTCTATTTTGCCAAGTCAATTCCTGAAAACGAAAGGCGATATTGGATCTTACATGAGGAATCGAGTGGTCCTATTTTATTCAGATACCGAGAGGGAAACAAAGAGACAAGTGCAATAGACACAAAGATCCTGTAAAATTTCAAAATCTAGAACAGAAACCATAAAATTTGAATCCGCAACTAAAAGACAACATTGCTCGAATCAATTAGATCTCTTGGACAAGAGGACAACATATATCAAACACCGGAGACTTTTAATGTGTCTAACAGTAAGATCTAAAAACACTTCAAAATTTGGGTATAAGAACCAAAACCCAGTAGAGAAAGAACACAGAAAGGATTCTAGAAAATTCACAAGGAAAGCACAAATCTTTGAGATACCCATTAAAAAAAATCCGGCTCGTATAATACGTTACAAACAACAACAATAGAAAGTTTTCTCCTTTATTATTTTGTTAGCTGAATTTTGACTGAGAAAAAAAGAGAAATAAAAGGCTAAGAGAAAGAAGATACCTAGAATTAGGAAACTGGCAAAGTAACCCTACAAAACAGCAGATCACTGCTGCTTCTTCGATCCTCGAGATTAGCTGACGAATAAAACAGCGGCATTTAGGTAGCGATTTTAGTTTATCTTCTTCAATCGGACATTGGAAGTGAGAAAAAAAAAACAACTGAAGATGAAGATGAAGAAGAAAGAGAGAGAGATGGATCTTCTCTTGTGTATAAAAGTTTGGGACAGAAAGAAGAGTAAAGTGATTTATGGTAACCCAAATGTCGAAATAACTCCAATTTACTGACGCGCCTGCCTCTTGTTCTGTCGGATCCGGTTTTAGTCCGGTTCGGTATTAATATCTTCCTAATGTCTAATGTCGAATACTCTTAATGTCTTACCAAATTAATGCTCGCATCATTTCCGTTTTAAGAATGATTGTCAAGAAAGAAAAGCGAATATCTTTCTCATCAACACTCATTAATATATTTCCTTGCCAAAAAAAAAAACAAGTATTCTACCCTGTTTCCTTTCAGACCGTTGTTGTGTAATGTTATCTACCAACCAGTATATTGCACTTGAGTGCTTTTCTTTTACAAAAAATATAATTATGACTCAGTCTTCCTATAATTAACTCACGGAACCCTAAAAAATGTAAAATGTCAATAACTCAAATCGTCATCTGACACTCTCACTCTGATGCTGCTTCAGCAGATAAGTCTCATCGTGTTCCTCTGCTCCAAAACACTTCACCTCAATCCCACACTTCTCATCTACTTCTTCTTCTTCTTCTTCTTTGAGTTGTTGCATCTCTGACTCGATCAAGGCCTGCATCTTGGCTCGATCTCGGTCCCTCGGGTACGTGCAATACAGGAACGAGTAGATTGTGCAACAGATCAGCATCGGGACCCCGATCGCTGAGTAGAGTGCTTTAGCGAGCGATGCTGCGTTTTCTCTGTCTGTTTCGATCTTGATCAAGCTTGATGATCCTTCAGGGATCGGTTTATATCCATAGACGTTCTGAGCAAGCATCCCTACAATAGGAGGAGCAAAAGAAGCTAATATGGACTCGAGTGATCTGTCTAACGCGTAGATGCTCG